AACCCAAACTAGCTGCATCGAGGAAGCGTATAGAGGACAAAGCACCACTATGAAGGATTGCGCTAAAAGACGACGCTGTGCTTCGATAGTATGCTAGCGTCTTGGCCGTGAAGACCTACTGCATGCAAGACTGTTCCTGTAGAAATAAGCACCGCGGAGTTTCATATTACCGGAGCTGCCTGATCCTCCTTCATGGATCATCTACCCAGGGGCTTTCTGGCATGGAATGGTTACTCAACACGGAGACCTAGGTTGGGCATAATAGAAGGTCATGGGTCTAGAAGAGGGGGAGAAGGATATGGAGGTAGACTCTCACCACGAGGTTGAACATTGGACGGCGCTACCTCCATACGTCGCTCTGTAGCCATTGGGATCTAAAAGATATATTGCTGTCTTGGCTGATGGCACAGATACTCTGAATACCAGGAAGGTGGCTTGAAACAAGGCATTCTTGGCAGCTGAACGACCTTCAAAATCATAGCAGAACGTGTCAGACTAGACATTTTAGATCTGATGGGCTTTTCTTAGCGTTGAAGGATTCACACCACCATGAACCATGGGAGCGAAGATCAACGAATGGTCCGCCACCCGCCCAATCCACATGCTTGTTTGAACGAGAGTTGGCAAATTCTGTCCGGCGTCCAGCAATTGGACTTGTCTCTCCATGGTCCTATATAGGAAGAGGTGCTACGTGCTCCCCTTCGCCTGTCCTGGCCCGTTCGGCTCGATATTCATAGTAATTCGGATTCCCATTCATGAGATGCAGAGAACGTACGAGTGCAGGTCCCCAACCAATCGGAGTGCCCGAGTGGGTATGTTTTTCTCCCTACCAGCCTTAGTGGAGTACCGTTACAACGACATTTTTGCTGTGAACACTTGGCAATTCAGCGGGTCTTCGTCCGTGATGGAAGGGGGTTCGGCAGGATCCACTACTGAGTGGAAGCACAGGCGTCTTCGCTTTGCGATTCCTTTACCTTTTGGTTGCGTGTGCCACGGATTATACCGCGTCAATCACCTGTCTAAGCATCCGATTGAGTTTCCATGGCCGTGGGTGATCGACTGGTTGATATTTGGCGCGATCTAAGTACCTGCGGCGATGACCGCCGAGACCACCCAAATTTTACGTACAGCCGCCGCAAAGGTACAAAAAACCAACCGTCCGAGACTCGGAGGATCCGCGGAGGATCCGCGGGCGGTCCGTGATGCGGGAGAAAGTGACGGCCTCCACCAGGCACTTGTCACCCCCCCCCCCCCCAAAAAAAAACATCAAAAATCCAAATAAAAAGCAAATGAGGAAAGAAATCTCAGGGAAAGGGGCAAGATGTACATAATCGCCTCCCTGGACTCTTTTCTTCCATGACACGAGGCTCCTCGCGTTTTTCTCCTCCTTCCCTTACGACATTGTGTCTGTTATTTGCGTCCGCCGTGCTGTTCACGAGATGGGAGCACCACCATGGGCGAGACTGCGCGCTATCCCATACCAAATGGGCAGCCGAAGTCCCTACCTGACTCTAGCCGTCGTGTGCGTTCCCTCCGCCGTTGGGCTTTGTCCCTGACTAACCGCCATAGCTGTACGGCGATGTTTCTGGACCTCGCCAATCTCAGTGCCATCACCATCGCCCTTCCGACAATACAGAAGGAGTGGGGCACTACCGAGGGCGATCTGCAATGGATCATTTCTGCCTATTCGATCACGGTATGCGATTCACTCATTGGATCTGGCTTGGGTGCTAATTCCCTCAGTTCGGAGCGTTTCTGCTGCTAGGAGGCCGAGGGGGGGACTTGTTTGGGTAAGTGTGCTCTCGGAGATATTCGCAAGACGACTCGTGCTAATGCAGACCATCCCACTAGTCACCACCGTGTGCTCCTCTTTGGCATGTCCTTTTTTGCGCTGTTCACCATGGTTTGTGGGCTCGCCCCCAACTTCATTGGCCTGGTCGTGGCCAGAGCCCTGCAGGGTAAGCGATTCCCATCCGCACCCCACCGTGGCGACCCAGCATTGACGTAAGGTCCCAGGCATTGGCGCGGCTTTTACGATTCCCTCGGCGCAGGCCCATATCGCTGTGTGTTTCCCCGAGCCGGCGAAGAAGGCCCAGGCCCTGGGCTTCTGGGGAGTGTCAGGATCCCTGGGGTTCATGTAAGCGGACCACCTCCCAGCCCTCATTTCTTCCCTGACATGTCACCAGTATCGGTCTGATTCTGGGCGGTGTCCTGACGGCATATGTTGGCTGGCGATGGATCTTTTGGATCTCCCTCATCCTGTCCGGAATCATCATTCCTGCGGCGTTCTTCATCCTCCCACGACCCGATCGTGCACCTGCAGAGGAGGCAGCAGCGTCCCCGGATGGCGACCTGGAGACTGGGCAACCATCCGCCCCGACCAACCGCCTGGCGGCAGCCGTCCGGAGAATCGTCACCCGCTTTGATCCGCTGGGCATTGCGCTGAGTGTGGCGGGCATTCTGCTCCTCACCTACGCACTCACGTCCGCGAATACCGAAGGATGGGGCAGTGCGCGTATTCTGGCCCCGCTGATCATCTCGGTGGTCCTCCTCGCCTTGTTCGTCTTCCATGAGTGTCGGACTGCCAACGGGATCGTGGCACCGCATCTGTTCCATTCCACCTCCTTTAACCTCACCCTCGTGCTGGCGGTGAACACGTATGCAGTCCGCCAGGCGTGCACCTATTTCCTGACCCTCCAGCTCCAATCCTACGGCAACAGTGCGATCCACACCTCCGTCCTCTTCATCGCTCTGGGAGTGAGTGCCCTCATCTTTAACACGTTGTCCGGTCGACTAGTGCCCATCCTCGGTGCACGCCTCATGGTATGTGTCCCAAAGCCGATCTCTCCGATCCGCTTCCTCTGCCATCGAGGCGAGAGCACACCTGGCTAACCCGCAGCGGGACAGTTTATCCTCGGATGGGGCTTCTCCATTCCTGGGGTACTCCTCTTTTCCTTCATTGACCATGATACGTCGTACTGGCGGTATACCTTTCCCGGAATGGTCCTCTATATTGCCGGAATCGGTGCCGTATACATCACGGCCAATTTCGTCGTCGTTTCCTCCGCTTCTCGCGCCGACCAGGGCGCGGTTGCTGGGGTGTTCAATGTGGCACTCCAGGTAGGCGGTTCGGTTCTGGGTCTGGCCGTGATCACGGCCATCGCACAGGGCATCCAGCGGCAGTACGGGGATCCATCTCTCCCGAAGGACGCGTACGGTCGCATCGGCTACCAGAGCGCTTACTATAGTTGTGTTATTTTGTGTTTCGTTGCGCTGTTGCTCAGTCTCTTCGCCATTGAGATCCCACCCAGCATGAGGGGAACGGTGTGGAAGAGATTTCAAAAAGAGCAGCCCAGTTCGATGGAAGAAAAGTAAGATTACTAGGCGATAGTACTCAGCTGTTTCGAGTACGCGGGTGTAGGAGTAGTCACAGGTGGCAGGAGTTGTTAGACAGGCGGTCTGTGGTTGAAAAGCATAGAGCATGGTGGTGCAACTAGAACTATTTATAATGCATTAATTTCTTGGCACCTAACGCCTTGGTATTCCGTGGTCGTCCTCACAGGGCTAATAGCTACGGCAATCCAAAGCTGAGATGCCTAGCCTTACAAACGTCGGTCCCAACCATAAGACTATTTATTAGTACAGCTCAGGCGTACTCGACCCTATCCTTCATACTATATCCATCCAATTCTCGTCCACAGTCTGTGGGTTGGGGGCTGTGTTGACCAGAGCTCAGCGCAACCGAACACGGAAATTTATATATCCACGATATGGGCACCTCACGACACCTCAGAAAAGGGACCTAAAGACCGGATTATGGTTGCCTGCAAATATAACTATCGGTGAAGGGTGCCAATCCACAACTGTAGTGAGACGTACATGTGGCGTAGTCAGAAGGATCAATAGACTACCACGATATCGCCACCGATATCATCACACATATGACATATCAACCATGCTGCGGGCCGTGACGAGGATAAGAAAAGCAATCTATCACCGTGCCCTCACACTTGACAAGCCTGGTATCTCAGTAGCTACCATTATGTACCACCCACCAGTTCAGCTGCGTAGGTGTGGACGCTCTTGCTCGTGTATGGAACATGGGATTGATGTGCATTCAAGGGGCCAACTCGGACGGGTTGTCCTTACACACAAACTAGTGGCGGTCAGATGGTCTGTGCCATCGGTCAGGAGGCCTAGTCCCCCTGTCAAAGCGTTGCATTCCATTAGTGCGAACGCTCAGATCAAGCATGGCACCGGACAGCGTTGGTGTCGATCCTTACATGTCGCTGGTTGTGCTGCCAGCAAGATTCTTGAATCCAAGCTACCATCTTCGAGTGGTTAAAGCACTCTTTCACTTGTCACACTTTTGTTACCTACGCGAAGGGGCCCTGACATATTCCAGGCCTTGCAATGGTGGTAAATCTCCATTCCGAGGCGTTCACCAGAATCCCTCCTTATACACAACCACTAGTTCCATACAAAGTTCCGACTCGAGTTTATCTGCGTCATCCATAGAGAGTTAGGGACCGGGTGATCAATCGAACCTTCTCCCCGTCCGTGTCTTCAGAGCGCCAGGTAACCTTGTCGCTGCAACTACGATTAGGCACCCAACACAATCAAGCCACGTCAGCTGGGCATGTCTACGTCATAATCTGAAGCCACTCGCTCCAGATGCATCGTTCACCGCAACTGGCCGACATGGCTGCGGTTCTATTGCGGTTGGACCGGGCCTCGAGAGGCCAGGAGTGGCCGAACAGAGAACTTAAAGACTCCGTAGCCCCGGAGACTCCGTAGGTCGAGCGGGTCCGTGTCTTCAACGTGTGACACTATTCCATCGAGCATGGATGATTAGTCTCTCGAGGATATAACAGAAGCTGTGGTTAATACCTTAAGCGTCTCTTTCTTCGAGATCATCCGGGCTGTGGCGTGTTAGGAGTCGACGGGAAACACGGCGGCAGGAGACTTCCTGATCGGATCTTTGTAACGTTCGAGGCACCATGGCCACCCCGGTGGTTTTGATTATCGGGTGTGGAATTGCTGGTCCTGTTCTTGCAATATTTTACCAGCGCAAGGGGTACCATGCGATTGTGTTTGAGAAAGTGAAGACGCTGGGAGATGCGGGAGCGTCACTGATGCTGATGCCAAACGGGCGAGTATTCGATATCAATCTGCGAAGCCGAAACAGCTAACCAATTGGGAAGGATGAAGGTTCTGAACCTGATTGGCCTCGCCGATGAAGTTGCCAAAGAATCGCTGCCCCTAACCGGCTTTTGGGACGGCGTCTCCTCCGGGGAGACCTTGGGTCATTCAGGGCTTCCCGCGGCCTTCAGAGCCACGTACGGACAGCCAGCAGCGGGGATCAAACGGACCTCGATCAGTTTAATGCTGAAAAAGCGACTGCGGGAGATGGACATCGAACTCCGCGAGGGGTGGAAATTGGAGGCGATCCAGGAGAATGAGGATTCGGTCACGGCGATCTTCGACGGCGGGCGCACGGTAACCGGTTCGTTCCTCATCGGCTGCGATGGCATCAAGGCAGCCTCCCGGAGGGTCATGCAGGAGATGCAAGGCATCCGCACCGGTCTGCCGACCTTCACGGGCCTGGCGCAGGTGGCGGGCGTCTCGCCCACGCCGGAGTCGCTGGACGCCTTCCGACGCGGCAGCCTCTGTAACTGGTACGGAGACGGCAAACACATCATCGCGTATCCCATATCGACCCGTCTTACCTCCTGGGCCGTCACACTCCCCCAGACGCGGGCACACGAAGAGACGTGGCGTCTGTCCGATCCAGCGGACATCGAAGCGCAGCGTGAGACGTTGGCATCCGAGCTGAGTGGTTTTGAGCCGACCGTGGTGGACCTAATCAAGACAGCCACCCGGATTATCAAGTTCGGCCTTTTTGATCGGGAGGAATTAAGCCCCGAGCAGTGGCATTCCAAGCGCTGTGTGTTGGTCGGCGATGCCGCCCATCCCACGACTCCTCACCTGGGCCAGGGCGCGAACCAGGCTTTGTAAGATGACACTTTTCTGGGATACTTAGTGCACACAGCGAACTGACCGTGTTTCAGGGAGGACTGCTACCACCTGATGCAATACATGCCATGCATCGAGTCAGGAGGTGTGGACGACGCGGAGAAGTTGAAATCCTTTGGCGCAGATCTCCCGAGCCTCTTTCAGGCTTACGCAGAAAGACGCCAACCTCGTACATCGGCGTTGGTGAAGGAAGCTCGCGCTCAAGGAGATAGGCGTGTCGTGGCCACTCCGACACGGTGTAAAGAACGTGATGCAGTGATTGCTGCAGCATGGAGCGATCCCAACGCGATCAGGGCCAAGTACGAAAGATTGCTGAAAGAGCCGTTTTAGTTTATTCTTATGGCGTACATATAGTTCCACAATCTGGCCAATTGCTTGGGATAATCAGCGTAGCGAAGTTCCTTGAGGGCTTCTGATTTCCTCGGCTCTGTCGGGTATTACACCACGGGAGGCACGTTGGGATGAGTATCATCTCATGCTAGATATTACTGTCTAAGGTCTAAATGACAGGTCGATTACCATGACTAGCTTTGCGGTATCGATAAACACAATAGGGATAATAAGATAATCTAGTATAAACTGTGTCTGAAGTCCGCATCCTCCACTGTCACAGTATATATGAGGATATGTTCAAAGCGCCTCGTTACATCGGTCCCAGCTCATTCACGGCGGGCGAAGTCGCGCGCATGCACGCTTCCCGATCCTGAACGGGATAGGAGGACCTTCAAAAGAGCCCGGATATCAGTCAAGAACTCCGCGGCAGATGTAGGGCTGGCAAAGGCAGCCGCGGAGGAGGTGGGTGTAGCCACTGCAGGGGTCTTGGTGGGGACTGCAGTCGAGGTAGCGGGGGCAACGCTCGACGACACGGTAGTCGAAACAGGGCTTTGTGTGGTGGCAGCCGTGGTTGGGCCCGCACTGGTCGCAGTGCTGGTTGTGCTTGCAGTAGGGGTAGCGGACTGCGCGGCCGAAGAGGCCGAAGCAGTCGCAGAGGTGGCGGCACTAGATGAGCTAGCGGAGCTGGACGAGCCAGAAGAGCTGGACGAGCCGATCTCCGTAGTAATAGGGCCCTCCTCCACGTAGACGCCGGACCAGAACCAGTCTTCCGCGGCATCGTCGGACTCGCTGCCCGGCAGACGCAGCTGGCCGACGTGCCAGTCCGCGGAGTTGGAGGAGGTCGAGGCACTCACCGGTGCGACAACCTGAGTCAAGGGTTCGGAACCGTTGGATGCCCACAGGCCAACCTTCTGGGCGTCGAAGTCAATGTCGTAGGCGAAGTTGTACCATTGACCTGCCTCCAGCTGGACCGACCACTGTGATTTGCCGTCCGCATTCCAGCTCAGGGTGTTGTCGGAAGAGCCAGATGCGCCGTATTTCAGCTCGGTAAAGTGACTTTCGAAGAACGCAATCTGGTGCTCGAACGATGGGTTGGGGGGATTCGTCTCCTTGGTGGAAAGAGAGAAGTGATAATACAAGTGGCCCGAGCCAAGATCAGCCTTAGTCTGCGGGATAAGCTCGGAGCGCTCCATGGTCTGCCCATTCCAGAAAGAGGTTCCATCCTAAGGCCCAGGGTTAGGTGCAGTGCACAAATGTATCACAATCCGGATCAACGCACAATAGTGATCCGCAGTCCCTGGGCGTCGGCAGCCGCCGGGTTCTTGAATTCGGAGGAAACGCCTAAATACTCGGACGTTTTGCCAGAGCCGTGGATGTACCATTGCCATGCACCGACCTGGTTCGACCAGGACCCTAGCACTGTCAGTCACGGTCTTGTTGAACGATGAGAGGTTCGTGTACATACATTTGTCAATCTCGTCGACGGTGAGGGAAGCATCGGAGATCCCGCTCCACAGCACGGATCCAGCCAGCGTGGAAGCAGGAAGAGCGAGAAGAGTAATGAGTGACTGCATCATGAAAAGCGAGAAGATAGAAATGAATGTATAGAGCTTGTGAATGCGACCGGCACAGTTGGCGAGCAGTTGGGATTGCGGGCTACAGCATCTTTAAAGGCACCATCGGAGGGAGTGGGTCCTGTCAATATTAGGATGAAACAAGGGAGGTGGAAGCTTGTTCCACATTGATTATCCCGTTGGCTCTTCTTGGGAGGCTTGATCCCATAGCCTCTGCAGTCTAGCGCCGGAGATTAAGCACGAGGTTCTTGCAATCTAGAGGTGAAACAACAGCAGCTGGTGGTTGTCTTACCATGTATGGCGTGGGCGTCAACCCTTGATCCATTCGAACTAGTTTCCTGGTTTTACTGGTGGAAGAACCGGATGTCCAGTTCTCAATCACTATGCCTACCCGATTACTCAGATATTCGGTCGGTTTATCTGAAACCTGCATTCCGCAGTCTCGAACCGATCAGTCTTTCCGCCAGTGAAGAACCCTAAAGTGAGGTCGAGAATAATTTGGGGGACGGTATGGCGCTGGATCACACGGTCCTACCGTTTTCTTTCTCGTTCTCGCTTCTTCATTGTACTGATTTTTCTTCTCTCTCGCCTCGCTACTTTGAGACTGGATTTGGACTCTTGATCGCCACAATCCCCGTCGTCAGAATGTTCAGAACACCAATCGCTCCTCCCAGTGGGCGGACAAGCTGAATGATACAATGGATATCGGAGGCCATGACCAAGTCCCAGTCGCCATATTGCGGCAAAGACGCCGCGCGGATGCTCAGATATAGGGACAGGATGGTGTCGTTTCTCACAGCACCTTAGTCGACAATCGAGGTGCACGCGTCCAACACCGCGATTCTTGCCCCGAGATTTGACCCTGTTGCTCCCTCTCTCACTGTCTCGCTTGTTCAATGCTTGGTGTGGCATATCCAGCTGGTACTCGCGATGAGAAGCTAAACGCAGTACGAGACGTGCTAACGACGTGTCCACATCTGACGCCTTGCGACGCGATTTTCCGTATGGCAAATGATCCGCAGTTCTTGGCACGTTTTCGAATTTTCGAATTTTTGCGTGCGACAAATCAAAAAAACCAAATTACGCGCCGCTAATGCATGGTAACTGCGCCGCAACAAGGACCTGCAGCCATTGAAGGGAATTGAGGAGCACCAGGACTTGCGGGAGAAGGAAATAAATGTCCTCCTGGAGCACGCTTCCCCGCTTCCTGTTTTTCTTCTTCCTCTATTCCATGTTTCTCAATGCATTCCTTGTACAGGCCAGTTGACCTTCGCCACCATGTCGCCGTCGCCCCAAGACCAGGCAATGCAACAACTGCAGTCGCAGCAATCCAAATTACTAGACCGAATCGACGAGCTCCGCGCTCTGGGGATTGGCGGCCTGGTCGAACTGCCGCAATTGATTGTCTGTGGCAACCAATCGAGTGGGAAGAGTTCGGTGCTCGAGGCGATCTCACGGGTCCGGTTCCCAGCCAAGAGTAGTTGCTGTACGCGATTCGCGACGGAAGTGATTCTTCGTCGTAGCACGCAGCCCAAAATTCATGTGTCCATTGAACCGGGGGCATCGAGGACCAACGAAGCCGAACGCCAGAAACTGCGCAACTTCGCGCCACAGGGGTTTCCCAGCTGCGAGGATCTGCCGAGGGTCATTGAACAAGCGACAGAATGTATGGGCATCCGCGATGAAGACACCGTCAACTCCGGGTTTAGCGATGACGTGTTGAAGGTCGCCATCTCAGGCCCTGATCAGCCGGAGTTGACTCTGGTCGACCTGCCGGGGCTATACACCTCAACGAGTCGTGCGCAGGGGGCAAGGGGAATCGAGATCGTCCGAGGCTTGACGGAGAAGTACATGAAGAACACGCGCACTATCATCCTGGCGGTGATCAGTGCGAAAACCGATTATCATCTACAGGAGGTACTCAACATGGCAGAGCGATTTGACAGCGAGCGCGAGCGAACGCTGGGTGTTATCACGCAGCCGGACATTCTCGAAGCCGGATCGGAGGAGGAAAACAACTACCTGCAGTTCATGCGGAATGAGAAGATCCACTTGCGACTCGGATGGCATGCGCTGCGGAACCGGTCCTTTGAAACACGCGAAATGCCCGACGACGCGCGAGACGAGATGGAAAGAAGCTTCTTCGAGCAGGGCCGGTGGGCGTCCCTGTCGCGTGACTCCGTGGGCGTCGAGAGTCTCCGGCGCCGGCTCAGCAGCGTTTTACTACAGCACATTCGGCGCAATCTGTCAGGTCTGATCACGGATATCCAGGATCGGATAGTCGACCGCCAGCAGAGGTTGGCCAGGCTGGGACCTGCACGGTCGACCCTGCAGCAGCAACGAGGCTTTCTTCTCGCCATCAGCAGCAGCTTCGAACGCATCACCAGTCAAGCCCTGAATGGGATGTATGCGGATGCGTTCTTCGGCGAATTAAGAGATAAGACGCAGGAGTCTCAGGACTTCCGTCGGCTCCGAGCAGTGATCCGTGAGCTGAATGAATGCTTTGCGGACGCCATGAACACGCGGGGCTCTCGTCGGATGGTCGTGGACGTGTTGATGCAACGCGATCACTTGCCACTGGAGAAGGGCAAAATGTACATGGACGATTGGTCCCCCGAATACATCACGCGTGCGGCGCTGGAGAAAGAAATCGGCGAACAGGCGCGCAAGAATCGCGGGATCGAGCTGCCAGGCAGTGCCAACCAGTGGCTTGTAGGCAGCCTGTTCCGAGATCAGTCCAAACCCTGGGAGGACATCGCTCGCTTACACTTATTGAATACCTGGGAGTCAGTGAAGTACTTTGTCCTGCTTCTCCTCCGGCATCTCACGGATGAATCTACATACACCCTCCTGGTGGGTACGGTTCTTGCCCCCCAGCTGGAGCGTCTGAAGGATGAGTTGTTGAACAAACTTGGGGAGCTTACGGCGTACACGAAGCGCGGACATCCCTTACCGGTGGGAAAGAGCTTTCTGTCGAAAATTCAAGTCGCCCGCACAAACCGTCAGATTGCGGCGCTGAGGAAGGGCCTTGGCCTTGCTCATCCAAGTGCTGCACGAGAGAATAATTCGGAGTCATTCAATGCCGATGATCTAGTGTCGGCTGCTACCAGGATTCAATTGTCCAGCGATCAATTCGCAGTCGCAGAGATCATCGATCAGATGCAGGCATACTACGATGTAAGTACAATGCATGAATGTCCCCCGAGCAAGTCTGACCCGCCCATATCGATAGATGAGTATTGTCACGTTCGTAGACAACATCGCGACCCTTGGCATTGAAAATTGTCTTCTCTGGCCATTGGAACAAATCTTCACCAGTCAAACGGTCAATAACATGGACGACCAGCAGATTCGCGAGCTGGCCGAGGAGGCGCCACATATTCAGCATGACCGACAACGACTGAATCAAGAGCTGAACCAGTTACAGGCCGGTTTGCGCACTTTCAACTTCTTTAATACTGAGAGCCTCTCATTCCAGCGGCCGTCTATCTTTGTGAAGCCGGCCTTGAGACAGCCGTCTCGTTCGCAAGGCCTGGATCCGACTGCTCGATGCAATAAGAGCGAGCCAATGTCCAAAGGTAAAGCTCCGGGACCCATGCCCCATGGTTATCGGTGCTAACCGATTCAACAGGAGACTCGACTCCTATAAAGAGTAGTCCTTCTCAGCCCTTGGCACCGAGCGACAACAGCAATAGACACCCTGCAGCTTCTTCGAGTCCACTATTTGGAGCACCCTCAATTTTTACCAAGAGCAGTTCTTCTCAGCCTATGGCATCAAGCGATAACAGTAACAGGACCACTGCAGCTTCAACGAGTTCACTATTCGGAGCACCCTCAATCTTTACCAAGAGCAGTTCTTCTCAGCCTATGGCATCAAGCGACAACAGTAACAGGACTACTGTAGCTTCTTCAACGAGTTCACTATTCGGAGCATCCTCGGTTTCTACCAAGAGCAGTTCTTCGCAGTCTATAATATCGAGCGACAATAGCGACAGGGACTTTACAGCCTTTTTAACAAGACCACTGTTCGGAGCACCCTCAGTTTCTACCAAGAGCAGCTCTTCTCAGCCTATGGCATCAAGCAACAAGAGCAACAGGACCACTGCACCTGCTTCAACGAGTTCACTATTCGGAACATCCTCAGTTTCTACCAAGAGCAGTCCTTCTCAGCCCATAGTATCAGGCGACAACAGCAACAGGAACACTCCAGCTTCTTCAACGCATAATCCGAGCCCGCTATTTGGAGCATCCTCATCCGTCGGTCCTGGTCCTATGTCCACCGGAGGTTCTGGTACTGGAATTGACTCCAGTGCCACTAATGCCAAGAATGTAAAATCTGCATTTGGGCAACCAAGTGTTCCGACATTTTCCACATTAAAGACTCCCATACCGTCAGACGGATTATTCGGCTCCTCATCTTCTCAAGCAGATGCCGCCAAATCCTCGGGAGGACCAGGACAGGGTTGGTTTGGGAGACCCAGCGTCGCCCAACCTACCGGTGGTTTCAATCTCGGAGGGTCCTGAGATACCCCTGTCAGACATGACCCTAGAAAAGCCCCAGCCACGGAGTGACCGTGCCGGTGAGATCAAGGAAGTCTGTATGCATATAGATGGAGTACGCTTCTAATCCTTGTAATCCTTGGCAAGCACCGTCTTCTTCTCTGAACGAGACCGGAAAGTGAATCGATTTCATCATTGTCATATATGTATGTGCCTACTAGGGCTTTGATAAATATTGTCCCGAGGTTGGTCAGGATCTCCCATCACTCCGTACTTCAGTATTGCGTGGTATGTACGGGCTCCATGCGGATGGCGCGGCTAACCGCTGGCCACGAGGAGCTGCGGATATATATTTAGGTCACGCTGTAGACTATAGAAAATTGGAACCTGGGTCACTAAGAGCGGCATAGGGATGATCGGTATAAACTGGGAGAGTTGTTGATAGGGTACGAGCAAGACGACTGTAGTCTACCTACGCTGTCACAAGAAAGCTGAAAGAATTGATCAAGCACGTAAGAGCAGAAAAACCGAATGTGGAAAAAAAGAAACAAAGAAAAGAAAAACATACAACAGGAGGGATTCGCTGGTGGTCACCCACCCAACTACTAACCTCCCGGCGTGTGGCTTAAGTACGGCTGAGCGGACGGGAAGCCCTGTTTTCCACACCCTGTGGTCGTATGTACTGGCTCTACAGTTGCCGAGACCTATATACACCGGGTCGGCACGCAACAACCGCCCGAAAGATTAAATCCCCCACTGCTGCTTCAGCTGCTGCTTCCACATCTCAAAGTCGACCTCCTCCCCATCCACCAGCATTTTCCCCGCGGGGACGTTCCGAGGTCGCGGGGGAACATAAATAAAATCCTTCACATGTTTCGGATTGCAGATCTTGATCCCCATGGCGCCCTCCGCAAGCAGGTTGACACAAGGTGGACAGAATCCGGTGTCGAGACAGATGGGACACTGATAATAATCATCCAGCGACGGCAGCTCTTTGCGACATGGGCCATCACAGGTCAACCAGTTGGCGTCCTCATCGCCCGCACTGTCATGGTCCAGGGCCCCATGGGGATCGTCCACGTTGTATTTCCCCAGGACTTCGTGATATGCCACGGCGGTCACGTTTTTGACATCGCCCGCGGCCACCAAGGCGTTGAGAAGGTCGAGAAAGCCTAACACGTCGTTCTCAGGATCATCGTCAGACAAAATCGCAAGGCCCCGTTGGATGGATGGCTTGAAGAGAGCCCGAGCTTCCGTGTCTCGCCCGCACAAGCGGTAGTAGATACCTAAGCAAATGGCACGCATACTGGAGACTGTCCACAGCGCAGACTCATCATTGAGCTTCACATGCCTTCCAAGCTTCTCGAGCTTTGCGCCCGCTTCTTCCGCTTGCGGGGTTCCGATTCCGGCCTCGACGGCATCACAGAGAAACTGTTTGGCCAAGGCAACGGAGGCCTTCAGCTTCGCAAAGCCAATCACCGTTTCGTCCTTCGACGATGCATACGTGTTCATGATCCGCTCCCAACGCTTGACGGCCTTGGCCTGATCATGGAGGAACTCGCTGTAGATGCGAGCCAGGGACATGTCGAGCTGCGCGGCGGTGACCGTCTTCGACGCCTTCCGAGCTGCGCGGGCGGCAGTCCGCCATGCCTCCACCATGAAGCCGAGGTGATCGGTAGCCAATGCCGCATCGGCAGCGAGCACGAAGTAACGCGTGTCTTCTTCCGGATTGTCCCACAGCGACTGGGTCAACCTGGAAATGTCTTCGTCCGGAACCGGTGTGTCGGCCAACTGCTGGAGCAGGTCGATGGTGGCTGCATGGTCGTGATTGGCACCGTAATGCTCCAGAAGCACATTGATACACGTGTCGCAGTAGGGTGTTAGCGACTGGGCCCGCTTATATGCCTCAAACCGCTTTTCCAAATCCCCGAGCTGCTGATAGCAGTTGCCCAGCCGTTCGAGACTGGTGTGAATACTGGCTTTGAGTTCCGAATTCTCTGGATCGGATTCAATTTGTACGGATAAGATCTGCACAATGTCCTCATCCAGGTCGATGGCCTTCTGCCATTCCTGCTTCATGGAATAGACGATCGCCATACCCGCTTTGCTCAGCCACATGTCCGGGTCGAGCTCAACGGCTTTCGAGAAGTACTCCAACGCCTGGTCGAAATACGTCAATTGCCGCAAAACCATGGCGCATCGGCGATACCATAGGGCATTCTTTTCCAAATCGCCAAACCCAGCAGCTTCAATGATCTCCTCCGGCGTCGGGTCAAACCTTTCGAGGAAGTTAACCTCCTTGCCCTTCAGGAGACTCTGGTAGCTCCACGCGACAGCAGCCACCGGAGCAGCCAGCCACCTGTCGTCTGCGACCCATTTCTTCGTGCATAACATGACAACCGGCTGGAAGGTCGTGATGGGATCCGCCTGGGTCAAGGAGATGAACGCCTGTTCCTCGGGCGTCAATGACGCCAACACTTCCTCATCTTCCCACCACTGTCGGATGGCTCGCGTATTCGCCTCCGTGGATACCCAGCCCCGATAGCCAATCCAGCCAGTGATCGCGTCTTCGGATCGAAGCGCCACCAGCAGCATTTTGGCAATATCGCGTCGATCCTCCAAGGAGCAGTCCGAAGCGGGCGTGGTAAGGAGATGGTGAACCCAATTCTCGGCCGCATGACGCAGCATTTGCTCCGAATCGTCCGCTTTTTTCGCGAACTCCGGATCGGTAAAGATTCGCAAGAAGGTCTTCAGCACATGTGCCTTCGCGTTCAGGTAATTGACACCCACCGGAACATGGCTTTCCTCATCGGACGCCTTACCTTCCGTTGGATCACGGAAGAAATCGCCAATGGATGCGTGGCAGAAAGTGACGGTCGTTGTTTCTTTGTGCGAGTCAAAATCCGTAAAATTCTCGACATCCTCAAAAGCCTCCTCATCAGCATCTCTCTCTTCCCCTTCATCCTCAGATGCATCGAAATCGGTCTGGTTCGTGGACATCGTCTGCAATTCCGCCGTGGTGAGCCCATCCTCGCGGTTCAGGCTGAAGAAGGAGGCAAATTGGCGTCGCAGGGCGCCTTCCGGATAGATCATACCGTCCCCTTCGGGTGACTTCAGCCTGAGTATGGACTCCACCTCGGCCAGCGTTAAGGGCTGCCTCGAACAGGTCACCCATAGCAGGATCTCATTGAGGAACTCCAGCTCCTCTTCATTCGAGCTAGTCGAGAAGCTGAGGAGAACATGGCGGAGCATTTCTTTGAGGCCCTTGGGTGCTTGGTCCAAAGCCTTCCGAATACTGGACTCGTTCCGTTTCTTGACAAGCTCTTGCAGCATGAGGTTTACCCAGAGAAACATACCCTCCGCTCTCACCGATAGTTTTTCCACAATCTCCTGTCGTAACTTCGCCGACACTCTCCTCAGAACCACAGACTTCTTGATGCTCGTGTGGATATACTGGTTGATATCTTTCGAGTTCTTCTGCGTCGTGACATGAATTGTTGGGACCTCCACCTCGAGACCTTCCAGCAACTGGTCACTGATGTGAGGTCGACCGATCATAGCCAGCTGCAGGTGTGACTCCTGGGCAGAATCGTACAGGTCTTTGGCTAGACTCAGGAATGTCCTCCGCTCGTCGTCGAGCGCTTCATCCACGCCATCGAACAGTATATACACATTGCTGTCGACGTTGGGGTTTCTCACGAAGTACTCGACAAAGAGCAGTCGCCATGCGCTCTCGAGTGTGCTGATGGCCTCGTAATCGTCAATCGCGGCGAGGTGCTTCAGATACACCGGGTCATTTTTGCTGATTTGCAACGCGAGGTCTCGCAAGGCCTGGTGAAACGACCGCGTGCCCGGATTGTCGTCCTTGAAAAAGAAAAACCCCACCGAAGTCAGCGACGTGTTGTGAACCCCCTGCGGATGCAACTCGAGAAGATGGCTGATCATATTCGCCACAATATATGACTTCCCAGCTCCCGGATTGCCCGATATAAACATCACCGGAATATCCTGGGTCCGCCACTCATTGAAGATCCGTTCATCTCGAACCCAATCCCCAGTGCCCGGGATACGGGCCTTATTGATCTTATCATACCAGTCCTGAGCAGAATCCGTCTTCGATGGCCGCAGGATCTTGTTGACATGTTCCTGCAATGCCTTTTCACGATCCTCACTGTTTTCCTGCTTGTTCTCCTTCACCGAAACCAGCAAGGTGCCCAGCATCTCCTGCACCTCATTCACCCGTATATTCACTTGGTTCACCGTCATGCCAGTTTCGATCACGGTGGTATGGGTCGAGGTGACCGTGGCCGACACCCCGTCTACCACACGACCAGTCCGTTTCGACTCGGTCAGCGTCTCGGCCCCAACTAAATCCGCCTCGACTCGGGTTAATTTGTCCAGCTTACCCATCGCCCCCTGGATAGCATCATTGCTGCCAAGCAGGATATTGCGTGTGAACTTGAGCAACCGACCGCGGCGAATGGCTTTCGTCGACAGGGCAAAAATCTCGACCAGTGTGACGAGAATATCGCTGAGCTTATTGCTCAAATCATCCGAGATGGACTCCCGGCTATACGCTTTGAGCCGGATCGTGAAGTCCTAAGCAGGATTTAGACACCTTTGGTTCGTAATCACTGGCGGATTCCCTAGTCACCTTCAATGTACCCATCAAATCCTGGATCGCATCGTAGGACGCAGACACCCCCTTCGCAGCACCCATCAAGTAGGTGACGGCCCCAAAGACAAGACTACTCGGTGGGAAGACCATGGAGGCACCGCCCGCTGCCAGATCGCCGAACAACTGCACCGGGATCATCGCGGCGTTGAGCACGTCGAAGATGGCGCCCCGCTTCTCGCGAAATTCACGGAAGCTGTTGTTCCTCGCGTCGATTTCTTTGGTGAGATCCTCGACATTCTGAATTTTCACCAGGAATTGCACGTCGAACGGCTCGTCGGTGATCGCCTGGTACTTCTGAATGGCCCGCTCGTAGATGGCGGGGATCTGGTTCTTCGGAACCGTCATTGTTGCTGTGTCTCTAGGGAAACAGATGGTCGCTACCTCCGCTCAGGCATGATCTAGAGAGAACCACGGTGGGAGAAAGGATGACACCGGCTTATGGTGGGATCCCTCGCTTTATAGTGATCACGCAACTTTGGGCCGAAACCTCATCCAGAAACGAATGGACGGTGGGGTCTGGCAGCAGGTGACAGTCTTCAGGGAATCAGGCCCCGATTCCTGTCAGATTCTGGACATCTGATCCCATCCTCTGCGGCTGTCAGCATCGCTTGTACCGATTAGCCCTTGACCCCAAGGCACAACGGACCAATGTACGCTGAAGACCTCTGCGGCGGCTGACGAGAGCGGGGTGCTTTTACGAGGGGCTAAAAAAGAAAGACTCTCTTAGGGCTCGAACAGATCGTCGGGCTGCTGATAACTGATGCGATTGGTGTGGCTGCGGTGGGCCGGCATCTAGCGTGCAGCGACTAACGACCGAGTAGGAAATTCCCCAAGACCACGCTTGCTCGACAGACGAAAACCTAATTAAAGGACTGGCGGCGGACTTGAAAGAGAAAGAGGCTAGAGTCTCGATTGGTGGGTGTTTCTCTCGGATTGAAGGCTTTCGCCGCAGCCCTATACGCCGAGCGTCCCAGTTTCCGATGAAAACAACAAATAAAGACAGTGTACCTCCTTCGTAAATCATGTTGATATTCATAACAATCGAATGTCTCTGTATTTATATACATTAGTTCGATCTTCTCATACTACCCGCTCATGACTGGTTGTGTATTCGCGGTTGGACGTATTCGCACAGCAGTGGTCCTCGGTGGGAGGTCCATATGGGCATAGTTGGTGTCCACCCATAAACAAGCACCCTGTGACTTCCGTGGCGATACTATACAGTGTCAGACTCGCCAAGTCATCTAGTTCCGGTATGTCTTGTGGCAGTATTGCGAACTGTCGTGCTGTTCAGTCCTCCGTGCTGATACATATATTTATTGTCCACCGGGTAGCGGTACCGATGCTAGTAGTCCAGTTGAGACTAGCGATGTGTCGAGAGCCCTAAGGGGTGGCTGAACCCTGCTACAGTTTTACTTTCTTTTGCCTCGCCTTCACAAGATGCCTAGAGATTCTCTAGCCACAGAGCGCAAAATAGCGAAAAGATCTCAACACCAGAGACAAGGGACGGGTGACGTCAGGCTGGAGGGTGTGGAGCAAACCGGTGGAGTCGGGAGAATTCGGAAGCCAATGATATAAACATCTCAGCTTCACATAACCGGTTCTGGGATGCCACACTGCAGGCACGATGTAAACATCAGTCGGACCCGTGGAGACAGTGCTCTGCACAGGAGGATCCGCGACATCATCAACGTCATCGATCGTCGTCGGAATGTCGGCGCGCTGGTCGATTAAGCCCACGGTCATAGGAATACAAAAGCTGGGGAAGGCCCACCGCAATCTACTTTGCTCACACTCGACTCCTTGTCAGCTTCATCCCCGCACATAACCGGATGTATTTTCCAGAGCAAGAAGGAACGCATACGGTCCACGCCGAGAGTAGTCCGCCCTCGGCCAATGGCACCGACAGTGAATTGAACGCGCCCGTGGACATCGCTGACAAGCTCGCCGAAAAGCAAAGCGAGCGCTCGGATGGGAAGCGCGAGTTGAAGGAAGCTGATTGTTATGAGATCCTGGGCTACTCATGGCCGCGATGGAAGAAATGGACCTATCTCGCCGCGGTCGCCTTCGTGCAAGTGTCGATGAACTTCAACACCTCGGTCTATCCCGCAGCCGTCAAGCAGCTCTCCGAGGCATTCAATATTAGCGAGCAACACGCCCGGACGGGCCAAATGGCTTACCTGGTGACCTATTCTATAGGCTGCGAGCTGTGGGCGCCCTGGTCGGAGGAGTTCGGTCGCTGGCCAATCCTCCAGCTCTCCATGTTCCTGATCAATGTCTGGCAGCTCCCAGCAGCTCTTGCTCCCAACTGGGGCTCTCTAGTTGTCGCCCGTGCATTGGTTGGATCTCCTCCCCCCCGCTGGTAAGCAAGCATTCGCGAACCGGATGAACTAACATCACATAGGGTGGTATTTCCACTGCAGGCGGCAGTGTCACTCTCGGCCTCATTGCCGATATCTACGAGCCCGAGACACAGCAGTTCCCTCTTGCCTTTATCGTCTTATCCTCCTGTATTGGTACCAGTATTGGTGGTGTGATTGGTGGGCCAATTGCACGCTGTAAGTAAACACTATCTTCTCTCATACGGCCTTCTTGCTAACAAATGTGGTTGAAATTGATGTAGTCCTTGACTGGCAATGGTTCTTTTGGATTCAGCTCATCTTTGGCGTAGTTACGCAGGCCATCATCTTTTTCATGCCCGAGAGTCGTTCCACCATCATTATGGACCAGGAGGCGAAGCGCCGCCGGAAGTCAGGAGAAGACCCGAACATCTACGGACCCAACGAGCTGAAGGTTCCGCGGGTCTCCCTCAAGGAAGCCGGTAAGATCTGGATGCGACCATTCCATATGCTGTTGCGCGAGCCCATTGTCCTTTGCCTGTCCCTTCTATCTGGTTTCTCCGATGCTCTGATCTTCACTTTCCTCGAAAGCTTCGCCATCGTTTACGAACAGGGATGGGGCTTTGGTACGCTTGGGCAGGCGTGGGCGGTCATCCCCATCAACGCGGCCTACTTCATCGCGTACTTTAGCTACTTTCCCTGGTTCATGCGGGACGAGAAGCTTCGTCTCCGACATGGTGATGCGGCGATTCCACCCGAGCGTCGTCTGAAGTGGCTGCTCTTCCTGGCACCGCTGGAACCCATCGGTTTGTTCGGTTTTGCGTGGACAACCTTCGCCGCAGGCGACTCGCGCAACGTCCACTGGATCGCGTCGATGATCTTCTCCGCGTGTGTCGGGATTGCCAACTACGCAATTTACCTCTCCTCGGTGGATTACATGGTCGCCTCCTATGGTGTCTACTCTGCCTCCGCGACGGGTGGTAATGCGTTCGCTCGTGATCTTCTCGCTGGTATCTCAGCCATGTACGCGACGCCCATGTATAGCAACATTGGCGACGAGTGGCATGTCCAATACGCCAGCACCATTCTGGCCTGTCTTTCCTGTTTGGTCGTCATTCCCATCTATATCTTCTATTGGAAGGGACCGCAAATTCGTGCGAAGAGCAAGTTTGCGGCGACGCTTGCCGCGGACAGAGTGCAGAACAACGGCCGGCGTGTGAGCCAGATCAGTGCTGAGCCCTGATTTAGGGTTGAGCGGATACGAATGCATGTAAAGACGGAACGAAATCGCGCATGTTTGCTTCCTTTTAAAACCTGTATATATGAATTATCATGAAGAATTGAATAACAAATGTCTTATGTACTCTATGATGACACCTAAGAACGTGGTCATTGAAAATGTCAAGCCATACTCGCCCATTTGTGAAATGTGGCGCCAATGTCGACCTTCACTATACGGGATTGTGGTTAGATACATGAAGTTTCAATGTGTATAGCTCTTAATCGGGGATCTACTCGATGAGGTCCTGTCAATAGCATTCGAAGTACTGCATGCGTTCTTATAGATCATTCTTTCGCTGAAAAGTAACCTCGTGTGAATCTATTATCAACGGTATGTAAAACTAGTCCTGGCACCGAACTACAAACGGTATTTCGTGATATACCTGTGGCCATGTTCGGTCATCATGGACACAACGTAGTCCAGGAAATACCCTGGCACTGTTTATTCACGGCGTAACTTATTCACAACCCGTTGTGCCAACATGATCAAACTATTGGCGTTAAGGACATCAAACGTCGTCACTTCAGCCCCCATCTGCGCCTTGATCCAATTGCGCAGTTCGACCATGGAGAGAGAGTCCAGCCCATAGACCGAGAGCGGTTGCCCAGGCTCAATCTGTTGGTTTTCATTATAGCGCAACATCCGCGCCAGCCGAGTGGCGAGGATGCTCAGACACGGTTCGTGCAGTTCATCGGCCGCTGCACCAGCGCGAATCATGGCGTGGAACGATTGGAGTGCGGCCCCGAGCTCGTCGGTCGGCTTTCCTGCGTTGGCCTGGGAGTTGGAGTTCCCGACAAAAAGTCCGCGGAAGCGAGGATCAGATCGCAGCCCAGATTGAGTTGGGTCTTGAGGCACTGCGAGCCCAGTTATGAGCCGGGTTGGGAACTCCGAGAGCCCCGAATTCGGCGGGCAGGTATACTGAAGGAACTGCTGCCGGAGTGAACAGTCCACCATACAATGGAGCACACGTTCAGGGATGCCAGTCAGTTCCTTGGATGCTTCAAGGCGCCGAGTGAGGTCCTCTGATTCAGCCACGACCCCAACATCTTCCACCACACCCAGGTTAATCGTCTGGGCGGCAAGTCCCATGGAGCGTCGATAACCGGCGAAGGAGTCGAGGAAGCTGTTGGCAGCGGCATAGTTTGCTTGGCCTGGGCTTCCCACTACACTCGAGATGCTGGAAAGGAGGAGAAAGAAATCTAGTTCACGGCCGCTTTCGATGGAGACATTGTGCAGGTTCCATGTGCCTTGGACCTTGCCCGTAATGGATTCGTGAAACTCGTTGATCGTCATCAGCTCATAGGGTCGGTCACGCAAGAGCATCACACCCTGTACAACACCCTTGATGGGAACAGGGGCTTGTAGGAAAGCCTGTCGCACGTCGGAGATGCGCGACACATCCCCGCGGCAGTCATATACTTTGCATCCAAGAGAGTCACAATTGGAAATGACCGCTTGCGAGCGAGAATCTGCACATCCGCTACGGGACATCACCACTAAATGGCGGGCGCCTCGCTGGGCCAGGTGCAAGGCTAAGCTACCACACAGGCCTTTGAGACCGCCTACAATGAGATAGGCAGATCCGGCATTGAACGTTATATCCTGGCGTAGAGGGCGTACCGGTGCTGACAGTCCTTCCGTGGTAGCCATCCCGTCGATCACCACCTTCCCAATGTGCTTTCCACTACGCATATAAGAAAAGGCCTCCGTGGCCTGCGTGATCGGGAACGTTGTAATCGGATTGATAGGGTGAACATGACCTTTGATTGCAAGATCAAAGACACGGCGAAGGATACTGATGATAGCGTAAGTATATCAAACCCCAATGCAAATCAAGTGAACATACCTAGGCAATTTCCGTAATAGTCTTGGATGTGAGAGATCAACAGCACGGAAGGAACAGCCCCGGTCGAAAGGCTCCATGGATAGAGTGTTACGTTCCACCATGTCTCTCTTGCCAAGTTCAACCAGAGTTCCACCCGCGGCACATAGTCTCCATGTTGCATCGAGCAAGTCTCCCGTGATCGAGTTGACGATCACATCGATTCCCTTCCCATCGGTGGCCCTCATGATCTCAGCAGCAAACTTGGACGATCTGGATGAGAACATGCGTTCGTACGGGATCTTGTATGTGTCATGTAGGAAGCGACGTTTTGCATCACTACCAACAGTCACGTAGATCTCAGCTCCGACATACTGAGCTAATTGAATACAGGCAATACCGACCCCTCCCGATGCAGAATGAATAAGGACCGACTGTCCGGGTTGCAGGTCTGCCATATCAAACAGGGAGTAGAGCGCCGTGCAGAAGGCGACTGGAATGGTAGCTGCCTCGCTGAAGGACATCGTCTTTGGGATAGCATGTGTGAAATCTAGTGGGACCTGGATACGGTTGGCGAAGGCTCCCTTCTCCATGAAGACGACAGGAGCCCCAACGATAGTTTTGTCCTTAATGTTTGATCCAACCCGACGAATGATGCCCGACCCTTCCAGACCGAGTAGATGCTCATTCTCGGGTACTATGCCCATCGTAACAGCAACGTCTTTGAAATTTAGGCCAGCGGCCTGGATCTCAATTTCAACATGATCGTCGGGGAGGGTGTCGTCCGGCGTTTGGACGAACCGTAGGCCTTCCAGAGTACCGATATCCTCGGCTACTAGACGTGTGATGGCACCATCAGGAGACAATGATGCCTGCACAAATCCCTCCCTCCACGATTTATTTTCATGGTTGAGAGCTTGGTAGGGTACGACCCGATGGATGTGTAGGATACCGTCTTTCTCGACATATTCACTATCGGGCACCAAGCCAGCTTGTCGCACCTCAAGTTGCTCAAGAAGCAGAGGAAGATAAACCAATGCTGCTGACGCATCTTGACTTTGTATATCCAATGTCATTAGTCCTGCCGCGGGATCCTCGGATCGGATTGAGCGGAAAAGCCCAGCAGCTAAGGCACTCCCCGGCTCGGACGAAGAAATTTGGGCGCCTCGAGTCACCCAGAGAAGCTTACAGCCGTTCGTGATAAGGTGACGAAGGCACAGCCACTGTGCCTCATTAATGTGTACGAGGAGGGGCGAGTACAACTCATCCAGAATAAGGACAGGCGCACCGGCTGGGACATTTGCGGTCAGATATTGATGCTTGGTGATTTGCCACCCTGCCTTTGTCAAGCATTGTTCAGCTATAGGGGGAAAGACGGTATTCTCTTCCATAGAGATGACATGTAGCTGCTTTGCTGCTGGAGGGGCGCGGTCTGCAACTACTAGTGGTGTGCATAAATAGGTTGCCCATGGTTCAGATGGAATGGAAAGCACCCTTGCGAATGTCATATTCTCAAGCACGTGGACCAACGAGGAGTCCGAGTGAAGCTTAAGACTCGCCTCTGCGTAATCGGTTGCCAGTATATAGCCATCAAGCGAGAGTAGGTTTTTCACGGCCCCTGCGATGGCTACTGACCGTGGAGGCAACGGCGAGACGGCCTTCAGTATTATCAAGTCAAAGCTTTCCTGATTCCCCACACCCAAGTGGCTACATTCGAGATCCAGAAGCTGAAAGGAGGCATTAGCTTGATCGCGATACTTTGATTCCACGCCAGAAAGATTTGTGGCATCGCGGGCCACATAACGGTATTGGCACTGCAAGTCAGCGCCTGGCTCCAGTGATTCAAGCCACCGGCTACCGGGTTCGCGAGTTCCCAAATCAATCTCAAGCACCTTCAGGGAGGGCCTTTTATGAATCATCAAACGAAGAATGACGGGTGTGAGATTCGCGTGTACTCGTCCAAGTTGCTGGATAGCCTCCTCGTTCAGCGTGGAAATATCTGGCTTCAGAACATCCTGGGTGAGGGTATGCCGATTGACCGGATCAATGCCTAGATCAATCCGATGGCTCGATAACCCGGTCATTCGAACCAGTAGCGCGCCACTCGTTGGATCATATACGGAAGTACTTCCAAGATAACTCTTCTCTGTATCTTCTCTCCCGCGGCCAGAGTAATAGCTGGACGCAACCGCGATGCCCGCGCGTGGTCGATGGGTAGGGTTGATTATGAAATCATCAACCATGGCGGGAATTAGGGTTTCAGCCATTCTGCTGCGGTCTCCAGCGATGGCTGCAGGTACAACGGCTCGGAATACACCATCCAACGCAGCCGGATGCACGGGATACAAAGACTGAGGATCATGGGCTGAAGGAGGGTCGGCTAGTGTGATCAACGAGCGAGCCCGTCGCTGCCCAGTACGCGATTCCACTTTCTCCAACAGGTGGAATGCGGGCCCATAGTGATATCCCAGCTCGGCGCACGCCTTGGTCCACAAGTGGCCGGGAGACGCATGCTCGAATGGCGCAATATCTGCCGCATCAGCCGGGTCCAGGACAGGCTCTTGAAGGCGGATCAATCCAGCTGCATGTTTTGTAATGGCACCCTCCCGGTGAGAGGAGATCGAGAACTCAAACCAGTTCTCATTGCTTCCCGGGAATGGGTTCATTGTAAGATAGATCTCGCTCTCGACGTCTTCATCCAAAACAAGCGCTGCATTAAATCGGACATTCCGCAATTGGTAACCGAGCTCGTTGGAGAGGGGGAATGGACCGCTTGGTGTACGCATACAGCCGGTCTGGTACATTGCCTCGACCGCCATTGCGATGTATCCTGATGCCGGAAATACAACGTCGGTCCCGATTAGGTGATCCTTCAACCACGGGAGAATACTGAGATCCATGGTCTTCTTGAATGTGGGATGGAGCCACGAGGTGCCGAGGACTTTACTCCCCAGCAAGTCATGATGCACAAATGGTCGAAATCTCCAGTCCTTGCTGGCCTGCGTCTCGAACCAGTACGGTGTAGAATGGTCCCAACAGTAGTTCGGCAGGTCTACGATCACCATGGGACGGGTTCCTTTGCTGTCTGCAATGACCCTCTCAAGGTCGATGGGAGCACCCGCGAGAAACAGCTGGCCGGCCACTGCGAGTGTGTTATGAATTGAGTCGGAGCCTCGATTCAATGCTGAAAGATACGGAATCTTGGATGCTGCCCCCTCGAGGCCCCTTTGAATCTGTGTGATAGGTCCTTTGAGCGCACCATGAGGCCCAATTTCCACCAGCAAAGTGGCCGACGACTTGCCACCCAACATAGCACGAGCCGCATCCTCGAAGCGAACAGGAGAGATCATGTTTTTCTTCCAGTATTCAATGCCCGGACGCACCATTTGTTGGGATCCCGTGACTGAGGAAAACATTGTCACGTCGCCTGATAGTGGGGATTGCTGAGCGATTGATGGGAGGTCCCGGTTGAGCAGATGCTCATACATTTCACCAATGGTCTCCATATATGTGGAATGGTAGGCCAGGTCTACTTGGAGCATTCGAGCAAACACTCCACCCTCCGTGAGTCTGGCTTTCACTTGCTCGAGCACCGAGGAAAGCCCAGATAAGGTCACGCTTGCAGGGCTATTGTAACACGCAATCTGAACACCTTCCAACCCATCGAGGTAAGGCGCGACCTGCTCTGCACCCAACCCCACCGCAAGCATCCCAAGAGGTAGAGTGTCGTTGGGCTGCCCCTTCTGAGAAGCCATGCCGCGATGGTATGCGACAACGATCGCTTCAGCATCGCTCAGATAGCCAGCCGCGTACGCAGCCGCAATCTCACCCGAGGAATGACCAAGAACACTGGTCGGCGAGATCCCCCAACTTCGGAAGAGTTCGACCATTGCTATCTGCAATGCAGTGACCAAGGGCTGGCTCAGCTCCGGGTTGCGGATATGATCAGGGCTACATGGCCCGGTCAATTCGTCATATAAGGACCATGTCGGCCTGTTCGGCAGACGCTGCAAGACAGTATCCAGTTTCTCCACACACCTCCTTGCCACAGGAAATGAGGCCAGTAGCTCTAGGCCCATCTGCGGCCATTGTGCTCCTTGACCGGTAAAAACAAACCCTACTTCTACCGCATTGACACTCTTCTTCCCGTAGACCACCTTTGTGGGATCGAGATGTTTGACGTTGTCGGTAATGAGGTAACCTCTGTGGAAATGCTTGCTTCGGCGTACGCCGAGTGTGTAGGCCACATCTTGGGCATTGAGCTGTACGCTTGGGCTGGCGCAATGCTGCGAGAACTCTTCAATATAACGTTTGAGAGAGCTCTGGTTGTTTGCCGAGAAGCATAGAATATATGGTTGCTTCGCAGCCTCTTCCACGACGGCAGAGTCTGGACTAGGAGATGCGTAGGATGTTTTGTGAGCTGGGCAGTAATCCAAATGAACCACTCGGGGCTCTTCCAAGATGGCGTGAGAGTTGCTGCCACCAAATCCAAAGTTGTTCACCCCTACACGTCGAAACGGGACGTCCTCGGGGAACGGGATGACACTTCGACTAACCTTCACCTTCAGCCCGCTGAAGTCGACTGTCTGGTTTTAGCACCCTCTCCCAGAAAGCCTCGCGCATTCCATGTTACTTACTGTTGGGATTCGGCGTTTCGAAAGTCGGATTGCCCGGAATGAGGCCGGTTTCCAAGATCATGATCGCTTTCATCAAGCCGGACAAACCCGCTGCGGTCTCCGAGTGCCCGATATTACTTTTGATCTAAAGCGCCCATTAGTGCCTGTTACGACAAGATGCAACCTCCATACCGATCCAATGTGCAGTGGTCTATCATGCGCCCGGGACCCTGCAAAGACCGAGGAGACGCCCGCCACCTCCACCGGGTCTCCAGCCAATGTGCCCGTTCCATGGCATTCGAGGTACGACGTGAGAGAAAAGTCCGTGATGTTGGCATTCTCATACGCAGTGCGTACCGCGGCGGCCTGGGCATCGGCGCTGGGAGATGCAATACCAGGGGTGCGACCACTATGGTTATTTGCGGTGCCTCGAATGACCGCTCGGATTGGGTCGCCGGCCTGTACGGCATCATCAAGCCGTTTCAAGATCACGGCATTGATTCCTTCGGCCTTGATATATCCGTCTGCCTTGGCGTCGAACGTGTGGCAGCGTCCTGTTGGCGAATGGGTGTTTCTGATCGGCCCAGCTGCACCAAGTCATCAGTCGCTGAATCTGGCACCGTTTCTGTTGTACTTACTGTCACAGCCATATTCGGGGCTATATTGTATCAGCATATCTCTCTCGGAATGTGGTGATGCGAGTATGGCTTACTGGAGGACCAGGTTGGATGCCGCGATGACGGCTCCGTCAATCTCCCCGGTTTGAAGGAATTTGCATGCCATGTCGAGCGCCACCAGGGAGCTGGAGCATGCAGTATCAAGGGACATACTGTCTCCTTATGAGCATTCTTGTACTCGGACAATCGGGTGCACGTCAACAACGTACCTAGGGCCTGTGATGCCCAGGAAGTGACTAACGCGATTGCTCAACATTGTGCCGGAGCCACCAATGCCGGCATTGACTGGTCTCGAGTCTGGATCCCGTGCGAACACATCCCAATAGTCTAGCTGAGTATCAGCATATCGTTGCGATCCGAGAGAAGAGACGATATTTCTATACCTCCAGGGTGGCCTCCGACGAAGCAGCCATACCTTTGGCCCGCTAGCGACTCCAATGGAAGGCCGGCATTCTCCAATGCTTCATAGATAACCTCAAGGATGATCCGTTGTTGAGGGTCCATGGCCGTTGCCTCCTGTGCGGAGATGTTAAAGAATGATGCATCAAACTTCGCTGGGTCGACGGATTCCATGAACATGGCGCCAGGAGAGCGCATTGTTTTCGGTCGATCCGACCCATCATAGAACGCGTCCAGGTTGAATCGTGTCTCTGGGACCTTGGTGTCTGCCACACCTCCGTTGACCAGGAAATCCCATAGCTTCTGAGGGGAATCGCTGTGTCCGGGTAGTCGACATGCCATGCTGACGACTGCGATCGGCTCCTGGATGGATCGAATGGGCCCCCCCGAGAGGGAGGAGTCCGACGTTTGTGGTGTCATCGCCATGATACACGAGGATATGTGATGCGACAGGCAACGCTTGATAGAGAGTTGAGGGACCCTGCGGTGGACAGCTAGATAAACGGGCGAAGTCCCTCAGCGTATCCCACATGGACTGGCTCCATTCGTCATTTTCTTGGCGAATCCCTTAGCTTGCTTGGTTTCCTCCAGGATCTGCATCCTGACATGTGTGAAGAATATTCCGCGCACGAGGATTGGCCATGATACGCATCGCTCGGATGCTGGGTTCCGCGCCTGGTCCTCTATCCAGAAGTCTTAACTTTACACAAGACTCAGCCACCCGATATCAGCCCTGGGGACCAGGCTATCTGGGAGCCCGTTGCAACTACAAGAGGCGAGCAAGATACCCCGCCATCTCTCGCGCGGGGTTCTCGCGCTTATCGTCAACACTTATGCAGGAGACACGTCCTCGGTGATTGATTCCCGAAAGGATGATCTTTCTCGTATTGGCTCTCCACTCCTCATGCTGCAGAGTGGAGATTGTCTCTGGACCTCCGCATTTGCCCGACCCATTCCTCCCTCGTCGCATCTGATTGCCACTGCTCCGATCCGAGTGATGGTTCTCTCGGTCCATGGGCTGGGTGCTAGGCCTACGCAGCAAGCCGCCCGAACAGGAGCTCAACACACGTCGATCCCGCCGAGACCCTTCCAATACGCTGACATAGAGAGGCAGTACGATAAGTAGATATCAATAATGGTCATGCTTGTACTATGGCTTGTAGCTGCCGGCAATATTCATCTGGCTATAAAGATTCTCTTTGTCCACATCGTCGTCCACCAACTGTCGGAACAGGCCGTGTCGGGACCGCATCAAGTCCTGGGGAGATCCGAATTCCACTGCCTTTCCTTCATGGAGCACAAGCACGCGATCAAAGTCGGCGATAGTTTGCAAACGGTGTGCGATTACAATCAGTGTCGGGTTCATTTCTCCGATCTGCGAGCGAATAGAGCGTTGGATCAACTGATCTGTGCCGTGATCCATGGCAGAGGTGGCTTCGTCCATCACTAGCACCGCTGGGTCGGACAGCATTGCCCTCGCAAGGCAGAGCAGCTGGCGTTCACCACAAGATAGGTTAGAGCCTCCTTCGGACACGGGGGTGTGAAGTGCCTCCGGACGGTCCCAGGAGACACGCTGAAGCGCCTGAATGAGCCAGCGATCGGAATATTGGTCAAACGGGTCCAGGTTGGATCGGACGGTGCCGGTGAACAGAATGGGATTCTGTGGGATCATCGCGAGTCTTCGGCGCAGATGCTGCAACTTCACCGTGCTTATATCGATCCCATCAATCAAAATGGCCCCCTCGCGTGCCTCGAGGCACCGGAGGAGTGCCAGGGCCAGCGAGGATTTCCCTGCTCCGGTCCGTCCAACGACTCCAAGGCGTTGTCCGGGTTCCACGGTAAACGTAATATTGTGAAGCACTGGCGACAGCTCGGGCGAGTAGGCTACGGTCAGACTTCTGACAGACAACCTCCCCTGCGTCGGCCACCCGTCAGGAGCATCTTCGCCTCCACTATTCTCGGTGGGCACCTCCGTATACTCCATCGCTCGCTCCACGGCACTGAAATCCATCTCTGCGGTCGCATACGTCCGACTTAACATGACCAGCGCATGGCACAGATGGTTGGTAAAAACCAGGGCGAAGCCGGCGAAAGAGCCCGTGATTGAATCGCTTGTAACCACGAAGAAAAGAGTGCATAAGGAGAAGAGCGTGCCCAACACATTGATGCGACACGTCAGCCATCGGTTCAGCAGATATAAATACCAGGACGTCTTTGCCTGTTGGTCAATCTTGGCATGCATGACGGTCGTATAGTCTTCCCGCCGGCAAAATGCATGGATTGTGCTGAGCCCTTGTGAGGACATGTCAAAATGCTCATATACCGTCCCCCTGGTGGTTGCCTCGAGCTGTTTAATTTCACAGACCGCAACGACGTATCGCTTAGTATACCAGATCACTGCGCAAAGAAGCATCGCAGCGATGATTGTCAGCGTCGGACACACCAATACCGCACCCATGACCACACCCACACAGTCCATGGCAGCACTGAACAAGCCGATGAGATCAAACCCCAGTCGTGAGTCAATGAGATAAAAGTCTGAAGCGAACAGGTTAACCAGGGTTCCTCTCGGGACCGACTCTAGCCACTGAAGCTGTGCTCCTAGAATGGCATGCAGCGTTTGGTGGAAGAGCCTCGTGGCGGCGTGGAGTGACACATCAAACACGAAGTAAGATCGCAATGTTCCCACGATACATGCGGCACATGCAATAATGATATAGCCAAGCGTGTAAGATCCCATTCTGCGAGGGTCTGGCACGGTCGTAGATCCGCTTTCGGTCCACAGGCGTACCCAGGAGTACTAAGTTCACAGTATTAGTTAATGGAGTATAAATCACAACAGGATCAATAGCAGAGGAGTAGAAGTGTATACCAAGGCAAGGAGAAGACCATTATAGGTAATATAGCACCCTGCTACGACAGCCCACGGCCTCCACCCACCGCTGGTCTGAATGTAGTGTTTTAATATGTCCCGTTGAACGAGGTTCTGTGGTGGACGGCCATCCTGCATATAAGCAGCCCTTGTGCGCTCCCCGGAAGCTGATGGGGTATTTGAATGTGGCACGGGTATCGGGTGGGACGTATGTATCTCATGGCCATGTTCATTATCTGGTGGATCTCTCTTCTCCTCGAGGCTGTCATCCAGTAAATGAGATGGTGTTCCTGCGAATGTAACAGTCTCATTATCGAGAGATACAATGTACTTGGCCTTCAGGGCACAGAGCTGAACGTGGTGCGTCACCAAGATTCGCGTTCGACCTGCAGCGAGTTTCCCCGTCAAGGCATGGAGCAAAATATGCCGCGCGGTGTGAATATCCACCGCACTGAAAATATCATCCAGAAGCAGGATGCCCGCTCGAGAGTACAAGGCTCGAGCAAGTGCAACACGCGTTTTTTGTCCTCCACTGAGCTTACAGCCGTCTGGGCCGATATCAGTCAGATCGCCACGCTCCAGATGCTCTAGATCCTTGGTCAACGCGCAAGCATACAGCACCGATTTATACCTCTCTGGCGCGAGAGGCAGGCCGAAGAGAATATTTTCCCGTATTGTGGCAGCTTCGTTCCACGGAAATTGGGGCACAAATGCTACAGCATGGTCGATTACCCACGTCTCGCGTGCAGTGGCGGTCTCTCCGTATATCTCATCGTATGACGCTGGTACCGGACATCGCAAGGTCCCAGACTGTATGCGGCATTCACCCAGAATCGTCCGTAGCAACAGGCTCTTCCCCACTCCCGTGGCGCCCGTCACGATACTTAACTCGTTTGGTGGGAAGCTGGCCGTTACATCGTGCAAGGTTCCTGAGGGCTGAGCTTGTTGGGAGCTGTCATAGCATATAGTGGCGTTGTGAAATTCTATCCGTTCTCCCGGAACCATGGTTGACGGGAGGTACTCCGTTGCCAGAAACCTGCCGATCCTCCTTAAGCTGATCCTGGCACCAACAATGCCAGACCAAAGGTCCGGAATGAGCCCCAGGATGAACTGAATGTATCCCAACAGGGACAGCGCAGGAAACGCCACCGAGGGGGTCAGGCTGCCATGTATCCACGTGTATATCCCTATCGCGGTTGCCGAGACTAGAACCGGTCCTACAAGATGGCAAGCCAAATTCATCAAGTACCAGTGGAAGGCTGTGCGGTGCTCCTGCTGTCCTCGATCCAGAAGCTGGTTGATTTTACCCTCCCATTTCTGTTCCAGTGCCGCGATCTTGACCTGTCGGATACATTGGAGGGCCTCTGTCAGTGCAGCCATTTTGCTATCCCGAAGACCGGTCAAGCTGTGCTCTGCTGCACCGTACCTCTGCAAAAACGTCCGGTGCAACGGCAGAATGAAGAGCAGGGTGGACAATCCCCCCACTAAGCTTTGCCATCCCAACAAATGTGCCAGCATGGTGCTGGCGACCATGAGCTTCATTGCCTGTAGGACGTTGGAGTAGAGAAATCCTGCCACGCCGGCAATGCGTTGTGTGTCCATGGAGATCAGGTTTGTGACGCTTTGCTCGTTAAGACCCTCTTCAGCCCGTGGACGATGACTGATGACTTTGTTGTAGAGAATCGCCGTCACTTGCTGCGTCATGGGAACCGTGATCTTATTCATCGCCAGCCACAAGAGCCAGTTCTCGAGCCACGCGGAGAAGCCAATCGTGAGGCCACAAACCAATGCCCACCATACCAACGACGCAGTCTCTGACTGCCTCGCGGACTGTTCTTCCAGCAATTGCAGCATCATCCACAAGGCGAACTGCGGCGTAAACGCGACCACGGCCAGCGGGATAGAGAGAATAATTTGATTGCGTAGACACTTGCCGTGCGAACGGAGCAATAGCCTCAGCAAGGATTGTTCATGACTACGACGTAATGCATCTGTGGAGGCGGCCTGAGTAAATTCTTCCATCAGAACCTTTGCTCGTGTCCGATCATCCAGCTCCGGCAGGTCCTCCACAGTAACTCGACGTCGGGTCTCAGCTAGTGCGACCAACTCGCTGACCCAGGAGAAAGAAAGACGCCCCAGAACAGAAGATGAACCTTCTCCATCAATTGCCTTTCCATCCCGGAATATCCGGGAGCGTCGTGGCAACGACAGACTGATCAAGACCGATATCCCCACGATACATTGGTTGATCTGCACCATGACAAGCAGAGCCTTCGTGGGTTTTTCTAATTCCTCCCCCGTTTGCCGCTCCACCACGGAGAGCAATGCTACTACGACGCAGCTGAGGCATCCTCGTAATCCAATCGAATATCTCTCACGGTGGACTGACTCAGTCACAAGCGTGGTGTAATGCATCAGCATGGCCGTCTGATAGCTGTCAGTATATGCCACTACGAACATCTTTCTTGACTCACCCAAGCCAGACACTGTAGCCAGCGTTCCAGTATGAACCCGTTGTGCGCTGGAAAAACAACGCGCAGGAAGGCGATAAACCAACCACACGCCATGCATATCAGCAGATACCAGATTCGCTTGGTCGGTGGGATCTTGGGTCTTCCATCCTTCTCCGTGGGTGCGTGGCCGCCATAACGTGTGCCGCTCACCAGCGTGAAGGCACCTGCTGCGACCTGTCGCAGAGCAGGAAAGCTCAATTGAAGCACTAGTCCTGCACCAATAATATGCACAAACACGGATAATTCTTTGAGACCAATCATCGTGATATGTCCTGTCCGTCACGTCGTTCAGCCAGCGGCTGCGCGGGCAATCTTGGTTTCCCTGGCTAAGGCCGTGTCCACCTTCCGCGGCCAAGGGATACGAGAGTCCTCTTGGCAATGACAACGGGGTCGACCCGGAGGAACTTGGATCTGACAGTGACTGACAGCACTGAGACCGGAAAAGACAGCTCAAAAATCACAACTACGACGAGTGAAGAATGACGGTGGGGAATGAGAGTGCGAGCGGATATATCGTCGTGGTGGAGTTATACTCGCCCAGTCAAATTCCCAGAAGGCCGCCTGTCGGGGTATTACGGCACTGAATCTCCTCACGCAGTCGGCCTTACGAGTTGCCAATTTAGTTCGTAAGGTGCATCTGTCTGGTTGGCACGATGCGCTGAAACAGTCTCCACCGTCAGCACCAGATCGATAACCTCGGTATCTGCAACATTCGGAAGAATGGTTGTTGCGTCTGGCATGGCATGCCGCAGTTGGGCGGACGTACAAGATATATATATATTGACCCGGAAGTAGAAGCCCTAAGGTACTGCACAACCCATCTACACGCTGTTCTCTGTCCACGTTGGGATAGTTGAAGGAGTTGAAAGAGGAATAGATGGCACGAGTCGAGCCCGTGGGCTATAATCGGTGACATGGCCAATGCTCCCCGATTGTCCTCCACCATTAGTAGGACGAGAACGATAATATTCTACCATACTCTACCATACTCCGTACAAATGTCGCTACTCCGTGCCTCGCCCCTTCTTCGAACGAGCACGGGGAACACATCTTCGAACGAGAATTGATCATTCAGACCGTAAACTACTATACTCTCTGGTAGGGACACTAGCTACCCAACATCCTAGAAGATCTCTGGCCGGTACACCCGCAACACATCGTGCAGCTGGATGACAAAAGTGATCCACATCAAGGCAGATCCAGCGGCATCTCCACCGGCCGCATTCCACTTGGTATTGTTGCACCACTGGCCCATGCGGTTGCGGAAGGCCACGGTGCGATCGTAGTCGGAGGCGCTGGTCGAGTACTGGATCTCTTTCCACTTTCTCCAGTGTTCTCCCTCATAATACCCCCCATGGCCGTAGTTTAACTGGAAGCCGTATCGGGTGTTGAGATCGCCAATGATCCGTTGCCACTCCTTCCAGTCCACATCGCCGGCCAACTGGCCCAGCGCACGGATGATCTGGTGTTTCAACTCCCGTAAATCGTCGTCATCCAACTTGTTTAAAAAGTCCAGCCGGATCAGCCCGGCATACCCCACGAGAGTGCCTTTCTTGATCTCCTCCAGATCCTGCCGATGCAATTCTCGCTGCTTCTTCAACTGGTCTTCTAAGGTCCCGATATCGTCGACGCGGTCTTGGACTATGGTCTGAAGCACCCGGTTCTTCTGCTCCAACTCCTCGACCTTCTCGCGTAGATCCCTTACCACCGGGTCTTCCGGGAGCTGGTCTTGCACGGGACGTTCGTCCTCCCCTTGTGCGCTTACCGTGTCGGCTGAGAAGTGTTCCCTCAAAGCCCGGAGAGAAGGGGTGAAGAAGTATTCACCACCTCTGGCATCCACCCAGGGAAGCCCAAGGTCGACCTTAACCGTCTTCGTCGCATCGGTTCCATTGTACAAACTGATGTGATCTTCGGGATGATCCTCACGGAGTCTCTGGCGAATAAACGGGTCCATCCCCGGACCGTCCACATGGGCCTTGTCCTTGTGCTCCGGGAATTTGGCGTTACTGCCCCAACCTGTATGGACGAGTTAGCATCTTTGCGGGGGATGCGAGAGGAGGCAGTGGATGTGGTCAAACCTACGTGTGACGAGGAAGTTGAACCCATCCCGAATGAGACTCTGGTAGCACGTAAAGTAGATGCCACGGTGTTCAATGGTCTTCTTCAGGCGCTTTTCTTCCTCCGTCAGTTCCGGGCCAAAGGTGATACCGCGACGAAGGATGACACTAGCGTCCTCCATTTGTCCGAGATCAAAAGCCTCGTTGCCACCAGGCTTTGGAAGTGTGGCATATCGTGGATCGTCCCCATCGTCTTCGGTGCCGTGGTCTTTCTTCTTATCGGCTCTCGGGCGCATCTTGCGGACGTGCGCCGCAAACGGACAACCCTTGATGCTCTTCTTGGGTCTAAAGTCAAATGTGTTGTCAAACGCTAACTTGGGATCGTCCTGGTCGACGGCTTTGGCGACGGGCGCTCCTGTCTCCTGCATTAGCTGTCGTCCCGACGGATGGGATATGATCTCACGATCATAGACGCACCGCTCTTCCATCGACCCATCATATGAGCACCCAGCTTCTCGGGACCATTCTCTCCGGCGTAGTTGGTCCCTGGAATTTCCTTGGCCTTCTGTTCGAGGAAAGTCTCAAATTCAGGCACCTTTTGGTCGAGCTGCCGGAACACCAGGTAACTACCCTCCTTCGCCCATTTGGGGTTTCTTCTCCGGTCTGGATCGCCCTCATGCCCGAGGAAGATGTAGCTAGGATCCGTCAGTAACCATTGCATGACCGACAAATCACCAGCCTGACATACCCAGGAGGACAGGCCTGAGGTTCCCCCTCGGCCGGGGGTTCATCCAAGCCTTCAATCTTGGGCTGGGAGATGTGATCCTCGTAACCGAAGCTAGAGCACCAAGGTTAACACTCTTCCCGGTTGCATGAATGGGACAGAAACGAAGGGAAGCCATACTGCTCTTTGCCACGGTTCGCCCCCGGACGAACATTACCGTCCCTTCGGAAAGCGACCTTCATACTGACCTCGTCCGGCTCACCCACATGGAAGGCCCCTTCCAGATCCGCAATCTTGCGCCGCAGGGCTTTCGCGCTCTGGGCCGCGACAATGAACACACCATCCACTCGCCACTTCCAACGGTCGAGACCGGTCTTGGTTTCATTCCCGGGAGGAGCCCTGAAATCAGGGTCCATCGTGGCTGGGTTATCAGCAAACTCGTAGACCAGGTCGTCGAACATGCCCTTCTCAAACAGACCCTCGTTGAGCCGATCTCGGCAATACTCATCGGGATCATCCTCGAGGGCCATCGCATAATTCACCTCGACGTCCGGATGTTCCACCTGGGAAGATCGCCCCGATGTTAGCGCACGTACGGCTCTGGGCCTCAGGGGATTATGGAGAGGGACCAACCTTGAGCAATCCCATATTCGTGAATGCAATGTTAATCGCCGTAAAGGGCAGCCGTTCCTGTTCGGGAACAGCACGGCGCGAATACGCACAGGCTTCTTCAAACTCGCCAATGTTCTTCAAGTAGTTCTCGCATTCCGTCCCGGTCGTGATTAGCCCTCGGTCCAGGACGCCTCGTAGGTGTTGTCGGAACCGTTCCTTGTTGGTAATCCGGAAGAAGAGGTAGGATTCATTGTTTTTGGGGAGGCGAGGCCAAATGCTGCCTTGGATATTGTCGGTATCGACCGCTCGCCTCTGCTTGTTGATCGTCATGTTGATCTCGGATTGTGAAGGACAGCTGAAGTCAACGGGGTCTGCGAAGGCCTCCGAATGCCTGGGGGGAGGAAGACCTTTTTAAGTCTGCTCTCCGACAAAACGAAGACCACGCCGTTCACTACCAATGAGATTCACAGCTTTTCGGATTTCAGCCTAAGATACGCCATGAGAGGGCAGAATGCATCATCAGGGTCAGCTCAGCTCAGCCCCTCTCTCCCCCTCTCTGAGGTCCTCACCACCGCTCCATTGCAAATGACCACCACGACCATGGAGTAGATCATCGGCCAAAGCGATAGGTAATCAATGCACCGTCATTTGTGGACCTTCCACCCAGATAGGGGGTTGGCGTTTCCGGTTCATTGGGTGTCTCATCTGTTGTCTGCGCGGCAGGTTGATCCACTCTGGCTTCCTGCTGAGACGATAAGGTCCAATCCAGGGCGAAGCGAAGATTCTTCCGCCGATCGAGCTGCTCCCGACGTCTCGATCACACTAATCACGTTGCAGACATTAGTACTCGTCCGGGCCATCCTGGGTGGGATCGGCATCCTCGACTGCGGCATTTCTTCAGCTGAACTGTGGGGGCAGTGGAGACGCGTCGACGATCCAGAGGTCCTCCGGACACCGTTCTCAGACCCGGCCATGGGCCCTGCTCGGTTGTTATCTGGAAATCTCACCTCCTTGCATACCACCACCAGTAGGGACCATACATCTCAATGGCGACAACGAGGGTTCCAACAGAAACAGAGCGAGGTTACATGGAATGGAACCCTAACCAAGGGACCGATCCGCCCGCACGGTGGGGCGGAGGAGATCCACTTGAGTCGTCGATAGTGTGCACCAGCTGCCCACTCTGCCCACTGCCCAGCAGTCATAGCTCCATATCCAATGTGAAATAGAACCATGATCGGCGGTGCTGATCGGATGCGCTCAACCATCACAAAACCACCGCCGCGGAAGCAGGTTTGCCGACTGACGTAGGATCCCAAGCATCCGCACCAATGCGACTGTGTGTGCTTTCCAACCTCACGGTGCGCCCCAGTGGTTCTGCTTTCGGCATGAAGATCCGTAGCGAGGCCAGTGGATCACGTACCCATTCCATGAAACACGGGCCCCAATGTGTTCATCGTCACATTCTCAGACTCCAAGTCAGGGATGTGTGTGGTGGTGCGGCTGAAGATCAACGCTGCAGAAGCTGCCACGAAAGATACCAGACGATGTGCCCACGTCCAACAGGGAAGGATTCCCGGTGCCAACCAGCCATGACGAGCTGAAAGAACAGTCGATTGCCTTGCCAATTGCAGCCCGGACCCACAGGCGATCCCTAGGCGACCTGGTATTTTGTGGCGAGCTGCGTCCCCACTGGCACGGCAGCCACGGATATTCAGGATCGCGGTTCGTGGTGAACCTTCCTATCCGGCTTGTTATTTATATCTCCTGGTGTGTTCTTCCTTCGTCGTATTCTTCACGACCAGTCTCACCGGACTTTCTGCAAGAATGAAGTGGCAGTGGGCATCGGGGCTCCTCGTGGGCGCCGCTGCTGTGGACGCCTTCAAACCAGCCGAATTTTCCTATGAATCCTCGGCCGCCGAGTGTATCGAGATTGCCAAATCGGTGACGGGCGGAATTAAGTACCAGTCTCCCCCGGCGGATTCAAAGCTCATCGCCAAATCGAACCCGGAGAACCCAGAGGAAAACTGGGCGGTCAAATGCTCCAGTCAGCATAAAGGCTATGCCTGCGATTATGCCATCGATGATCGCGACGACCGATACTGGCGGAGCAACCCCAGTCCCGGAGAGACTTCGGAGATCGTCGTCGATCTCCGCAAAGAGCACTATGTCTCCGGTCTAACCATGTTGCCTCACTTGGAGAAGACGAGTCGCGAGGGCCAGATTGGCGAACACCGCATCTATCTCTCTCAGGACAATCAGACGTGGGTCCAAGTCGCATACGGGACCTGGGGATCCAACAAGAGTCCCAAGATGTCCGCCTTTAACCCTAAACGGGCGCGATATGTCAAGCTGGTCTCGGATACCGCAGCCCTGCCCAGTAAGGCGCAGGAGGCGCACGGGCAGATCTCGATCGTCAACCTGAGCGTTTACGCATACGACGGGGAGACCTACCCGGAAGACAATCCCAGCAAGGGTGTCTGGGGGCCCACGATCGATCTCCCGATCGTGCCTGTCTCCTCCGCGGTCGAGCAACACGGCGACCTCATCATGTGGTCGGCCTGGGCAGACGACCAGTTCTTCGCCTCGCCCGGTGGTAAGACGCTGACCAGCACCATGAACCGTGACGGCGTGATCACCCAGAGCACCGTCTCCGAAACCCACCACGACATGTTCTGCCCCGGCACCTCCATGGATATCGACGGCAACATCGTCGTCAGCGGTGGTGCCGACTCCGGTCGCACCAGTATCTACAATGGCACCGCATGGGTGACCGGCCCGAGCATGGCGATTCCCCGCGGATATCAGTCGTCGACCACCCTCTCCGACGGTCGCATCTTTGTGATCGGAGGGTCTTGGAGTGGTGGCGACAAGATTGCCAAGAACGGCGAGGTCTACTATCCCTTGCCTGATGGCAAGGCCCGGTGGGAGGTACGCCCGGGGGCTGAGGTGGAACCGATGATGACTGACGACCGGAAGGGCCAATGGCGGGCGGATAACCACGCCTGGCTCTTTGGCTGGAAGAAGGCGAGTGTCTTCCAGGCCGGTCCGAGTAAGGAGATGCATTGGTACGATGTCGACGACGAAAACACCGACCGCAGAGGCCGGCGGAGCGTCAGAGGTTCCGTGCACAGCGCAGGACTCCGTGGACGAGACCGCGACGCCATGTCGGGCAGTGCGGTCATGTACGATGCGACTCAGGGCAAAATCGTCACCTTTGGTGGGCAACGTCATTACGATGGCTCGTTGGGTTCCAAGAACGCCCATCTCATCACACTCGGCGAGCCCTATCAACGTCCCGTCGTGAAGGTAGCAGGTAAAGGCCCCAACGGTCGAGGTGAGGGCGGAATGCATCACCCGCGTGTGTTCCACACCTCGGTGGTGCTTCCGGATGGCACGGTCTTCATTGCTGGTGGCCAGACCTGGGGCCAGCCCTTCCACGAAGGAAACATCACCTACACGCCCGAACTCTACGACCCGAAGACGGACACGTTCGTTGAGCTGGGCCGCAACAACATCAAGCGCGTGTACCACAGTATTTCGATGCTGCTGCCCGACGCTACCGTACTCAATGGTGGTGGCGGTCTCTGTGGTAACTGCTCTGCCAACCACTACGACGCCGAGATCTTCAGACCCCCCTACCTCTTCGCGGCCGACGGCACGCCAGCTGTGCGCCCGGAGATCACCAGAATGATGAACGGGAACGTGCTGACCGTGGGCGGGCAGGTCGCCTTCGAGACCGACTCGGAAATCGAGTCGGCATCCTTAGTCCGGGTGGGAACCACGACGCATACCGTCAACACCGATCAGCGTCGGATTCCCCTCAAGACCACGGATGCCGGTGGAAACAAGTACACCGCTGACTTGCCCGCGGAAGCCGGTGTCATCCTTCCTGGGTGGTACATGTTGTTCGCCTTGAATGGTGAGGGCACTCCCAGTGTGGCTCAGATGGTCAAGGTGAAGCTGTCCGCCACTCCGAACTGGCCGAGTAACAAACCCAGCTGGGAACAGGCAGAGGAACTTGAATCTGGGCCTAGCGAGGATGCCCCTGATTGCGACCATGAGGAGGAAATCAAGGGAATAATTTCCAGTCTGCTTGCCTCGTCCAGCAAGTTCTGGAATACCTGGAAGCCTGCTCTGATCACCCAGGCGTAATTGTCTATAGTGTCTTGGGTTGTCGGTGATATATCCACCATACAATCTGTAGTATATCAATAAATGTATCATGATTGTCTTTCCATCTTGCGTAACCTACCTATATGTCTCAGATCTGTATTACCATACCGCCCAAGTCTGTAGATGTGGCGAACATGCCATAGTGGGAATACTTTACATGTTACTGATTCGATATGGAATCCGCACCGCTCCTGACATATAAACCACCCAGTCCTTCGTACACACACTGGAGACGGCACACTGCTACCCCCACGGCATCAATCTGGATGATTTGCATGGGCACTGTCTCCAAGATAAATATTCCTCGCTATCATCTCATTCAATCGTTCGCTCTGCATCTGGCTTGTTTTCCTAGGATACCGTCTCTAATCACCACAAGATGTACTAGCGGTTGCGCTCTCTCTCTGAGTTTAGCACGTCGAGGTCACAGATTTCAAAGTGGTTCACAAGTATCGCGCGGCGCGGTAGAACCGTGCTATTCCTGGTAATGATATTTCTGCAGAAGAGTATAAGCTGTTCTACAACCTACAGTCATCTCCCATCTTCAACGGGAGGTTGGGGTCGTGCAGTGGGCGTGTAATTTCCGACCCTGGAGCCAAATACGAACCAATATTATTAGGGTTTCGAGGGAATGTGTCACCTCAACGCCATCCGTGCAGCTACAGGCACGGGGGTTCAAGTTCATTCCTCACATTCCTTTCTCAGTTCCTCCAGCCAGGCTCACATCGGACTTTCCTGCACTACGATCAGGCTCGGTCATTGGTCTTCACATCCTCTGAGTTGGAGACTATTACTATACAGGAGCCCGTTCAGAGGGCAGTTCAGTCAGAGAAGGTGTGCTCAGGAATGCCAAAGGTGCTAATAGTCCAGGTCTTGCCGCCATCGCTGGTGGTCATGTCTCCTCCAGTGACACCCTCCCCCTTGCCCAGAGTGTTGATGTAGTTGGCATCGGCAACGTCAAGAATGATCTTGGTGTCGGTCCAGGCTAATGTATCCGTTAGTCTCCTCAGCTCTACCTGGGAATGATTTTTCACTTACAGTGAGCGCCCACAGTGCCGCAGTTGTTCTCGGCGCACTCAACGGAGCTGCCCCAGCCCTGAGCCTGTCCATCACTCGTGGAGAGAGTCGAGACCGTCTTGCCGTTGATCTGGAGTGTCTGTGTGTAGTTGCCACTGGCATCGTCGAATTTGTCTGCACACGATTAGTGTTACGCACATAGGGTGTAAGAGAGGGTGCCATGTTTCCTTACAGTGCATCGTCACCTTGTCCCCCTCATTGCCATTTGCTTGGCCCTCACCATACAGTGGCATCTGGGTGGTGTCTGCTCAGGGCGTTAGCCGGCATCAGCACCACCGGGATTCTGCGAATACGCACCGCTGGTCTTCATGAGAGTGTAGGCATACATGGTCCAGTCACTCTGCTGCCAGTTGTCGGCAATGGACTGGATCAAGTCGCCGTTCGAGGTGCCCATGCCCACCCAAAGGGAGGTGATGGCGTCGGTAGACCCTCCACTGGGTCCCTTTGGCAGGACAAGGGTCGAAGTAGCTTCGCGGATAAAAGAGTTGGATGCGACAGGGCCCGTGCTCAGCGCGGGACCCATGGCGGCGTTCACCGACGTGATGCCGACAGTGGCAAGAGCCGCCAGAACCTGGTTGCGAGAATACATGGCAGTGGCAGTGTGTTCGAGGGTGTGCTGGTAGGAAGTTCAGCCCGAGTTGCTGGGAAAACGAAGGACGACCAACCGGACAGGGACAGACCTCTTTATACGCCGGACGTCGACATTCCCGATTCTTGTCTGATTCTGCGACAGCGCATCCCCTTAATAACCATGCTTGAGCGACATTGTTTTACATTCTCCACCAGTTGGGGACTGGACCGCGGAGACGTTTCCGGTAGAAGACTTCGGACAACATGGATCTTCGGCATAATTCCAGCAGGCGGCAGTTGGCACCCGCAGCCTAAGCCTGGGATTTAATCTATTCGCGGTGGACCAGTGCCGCAGCCTCCTACGGACCTTCCTCCGTACTGACCCACACGCTTTCGACATCCTATCGTGTCTCTCGACCGCGTCGTCGGATTATCCTCGAATCAGAATCTCCTCGCAGTCTGGAAGACAGGGGGGGTTTAGCGCGGCCTGTTTTGAACTCCAGAGTCCAGCCGTAGGATGAGCAGTACCGAATATTAACCGAGCCATTCTTCAGCACTGCGTTCCGTTCCCTGTGGAGCACACGTCTCTTAGCACAGGGCTCGCCAATGAACTTGATACAGAGGGTCCAGTTGCACCGAGCGGAGCATTCTCTGGTGCTTGTCTGTACCACAGTTGCTGTGACAGCCTGTGCCGTCGTGAAATTAGAGCTTATGCAAATTCCCAGAAGCACAGACCTGGCAGCTTCGCGGGTTGTGTTGTCCGAGAAGTCCAGTGGAACCGCAGTCAGCCTGTGTCTCCAAAGGGATGCATGCATGACAGAACGCCAGCGACGTCGGTATCCTCTCAGACCGAGGTCTTCCATGGCGATGTGATGATTTATGTGATACAGTCGATGATATATGAGTAGATTAGGAATGCCAAAACCCAGTCCTGCGTACCGCCAAAAGAATACACGTCCGAACAACTCGTGGTCCAACTACGGTGAAGCAATCTATCGCGACACGTCCAATGCTCACGGGCAATAGTTCGATATCTCTACTCCTACAGTGCATCTGGGCTGGAATGACCTACGAGTAGGCGAAGCTCCAAGGCAGCCTTCACAATTCTCGGGAGCCTCAAAAGCAACCGTTTGTAATGCGTGTCCGGGAATCCTTCTGGGAATTTACTCGTGCGTAACTCCCAGATATGTTCCAGGGTTACCATGGCGCGCATTCTTGCTCTGAGGAAGCCAATAGCAGCAGTGCAAGGCAAATGGTCTCCTCATGGCTGCTTGTCATGATGCGCAGAGCGTGGTGTGTCCGGTGGGATTGGAGGGCGCCCATGATGTTCAATCAGGGGATGTTGGGGCCGGTGCGAATGCCGGGGGTCAATAAATCGAGACAATCAACATGCCCCTGGAGAGCAATTCCCAACTGCCGTCATGCGACAGAGAGCACTGGACTACGGGGCGCGGGAACTCAGGAGCGCCCCCTTGCGGGTCATCGAGGCCATCGAGGAGCAGCATGCTTGCGGGTTCGCACCATCGCCGTGCGACCGGGTAGCCCGGGTCCAAGGATCACCACCTTTACCCTGAGCAGTCATGATGACTTGTCCCCAGCGCGGCGAAGAAGAACATTCCAACTGTTTGCTCGGCGGCATCATCTCGTCGTTTCCCGCGTTGTGTCTATTTGTCCCATTCGTGGCTCGTGTGTGTGAATGGTGGACTGGAAGCGCTGGCGCACGAATGGGGTGGGGCTCGTAGACTGGAAGTCGCGGGAACTCTGGAGTTCGCAGAGCGCGAAGTGTGTAGCAGAGGGAGGGATTATGGAAATGCGATCAGTCGGGAATTCGATGGGTGAGACGTTTCCAATCGCAACCATGAATCCGCAACGGACGAACAAGACAAGAGACCACGTGACACATCACGTGTTGCTTAGCTCAACCAAATGTCCACCCTGCCAGAACGAGGCGAACATACAACATGGCAACCATCCTGGCACCCGCTATGTTCTGCCGTGCTCGTCCTTTGATACAGTGGGGCTATCATGATGTGAAGCTCCTTTAGAGTCATGGATACACCATGGACCATCTAGTGAAGGGACGCCCGGTTGCCAGACCTTCGGTGTTTGCTCGGCATGACAAGCCGAGAAATGGCCGACGAATTGTAGACGATCCAACACGCTGGATTAGGTTTTTGCAGGATCAAATCATGAATTGAGCGCATGGTAAGTCTGAGATCTGCATTGTCATCATAACCTTAAGTTGCGAACATGATCGAGGCTGCCGTGTACAGCACATCCTGCGTGGTGCAGGACCCGGGGTACGCGGTAGACGGGAGAACATAGGAATGGATCAGGAAGTTAACGACAAGATTCTAGTCTCCTATCCCGTTGATAGCCTCTAACTGGCTAGGATCGCAGTTCATGCTTCCGGGAAATCCTCGTTGAGCTGCAACGGCAATCCTCAACATGCCCTCAACGTCACCCAGTGAGTGACTCACTGCTTGGTTCTCCCGGGGGGATGCGTCAATCAGGGGAGCTATGCCGAGAATCTGGGGAGCCAGCGCCAGGACTAGACTACAATTCTGACGATTGCTCTCCATGTGTTATGTGAGCACACTGATGGGCGCTCCCTGAGCTCCAAGCTCGACTCGAAATCTAGGCCTAGTTGCCCAGTCCATGGCTTATAAATACCTGGGCATCCCGCATCCTGGACTTTCAAATAAGACAAAAGGACATCACTGGGCTTCAACTTGGCGATTATTCTGAACGCATACCATTTCCACCTTACGTATCCCCTGTGCCCTTTCTCACCAGCCAACCATGACGTCTTTGTTTTTAAATATCACTTGCCCCTACAGAACCCGTCTGGTTGCTGGCAGTTCGGCACAATTGATTGGGAAGCATAATCGAACACGGGCCTCCCCCTGGACAGTAAGCCTGTCTGGGAGAAGATCCCAGAGTACACAGTCTCCCCTCGTTACCAAGTCATCATGGACGCACCCTGTGTAAGTCTAAACCCGTTCGTTGCATACCATCAATTCCACTAGCAAGTTCAATATAAGTTCGAGAGCGGCACCCCTTCTTACACTGCATGCAGATACACGACGTCTCAACTCCAATCTATTCAGACGGCTCATCGCAACGCCGAAGACTGGTCGGATAAAATGGCTCTGGGAACGGTCCGCTTTCTACGATGGGGCATGGACTTGGTCACAGGGTATCGTCATTCACATCGACGCGACGTACACTCCTCTCGCTTCCGAATGACCGAACAAAAATGGATTACAAGATTCATTTTCCTAGAAAGCGTTGCGGGAGTTCCTGGGATGGTAGCTGCTATGCTACGACACCTAAAGAGCCTGAGGAGGATGAGGCGGGATTATGGATGGTAAGTTGCGGCGAGCCCTGATACGAATCGATTTGTAGCATCACTCCAGGATTGATACCTAACATCTCCGCTGCAACTGCATAGGATTGAGACACTCCTAGAAGAGGCCTATAATGAAAGGATGCACCTTTTAACCTTCCTCAAACTATCCCAACCAGGCCCTGCCATGTACTTCATGGTCCTAGCAGCACAGACCGTCTTCTTTACGGGGTTTTCTCTCGCCTACCTGATTTCTCCCCGGATATGCCACCGATTTGTCGGGTACCTGGAGGAGGAAGCCGTGATCACATATACCAACGCAATCCAGGAGCTTGACAGGGGAAACCTACCCCTTTGGAGCAACATGGAGGCTCCTGCAATGGCAGTCAAGTACTGGCAGATGCCCGAGGGCCAACGATCTATCCGTTCTCTGTTGTTGTATGTACGTGCTGACGAGGCGAACCACCGGGATGTCAATCACACGCTTGGGAGTTTAAACCAGGATAGGGATCCGAATCCGTTCTCGGCTAAGTTCAAGAACGCGATCAAGGAGGCCAGCCAGCCATTGTCCCCCATGAAGGAGTATCGTTGAGGATTGGTTTGGAGTTCAGCGTCCCGTGCATATGTTCCTAAAGTTTATTGGTATTAATTATAGAAATAGAGAAATAGAAAGATGCCACTTCCGCAGGTTGAAATGTTTTACGTTTTGTCAGTACCAGACAAAAGCCAATTAGAGTGGTAAAACGTCTACAGCAAACGCACACTGAGGGTGCGTATCCGCGCTCGTGATAGAAGAATACGTTTATGATATAGAGCCCGGCCTAGGTGAGCATGCTATCGCATAGCAGGCGAGTAATTGCTCTATGATTCTCTCCACCCACGGGTTCGCTATCCCACAAAATTTACTTTCAAGTCCCATGCCCTAAAGACCCTACAGAGTGGTCTCAGATGCTTATTACTGAGTGAGAACGGGGCCACAGAGATGGCCAATCCGAAGGACTAATGCGAATCCAGCAGTCCTGCTGCTAGACACCAAGAGGTAGGTGTCCAGGATCAAGGGGTCCACCTCCAATTGGGGTCTTTCCATCCTCCTACCAGAGTCTGGGTCGCAACATCACCGGCTGTCAATCGTACACCCTGTTCCTTGTCTCTTCTTCGATTATCCAGCCGGAACCATGTCCCTAGCCCTATCACCACACACGCACCCACCAAGAGAAAGACACAATTCACAATTAACGCAGGCATGTACCTCGGTGCGGTATCCGGCTTAAATGAAAGACTTGACGGAATGCCCGCACAATTCGCGGAGCCCACCAAGAACCCCACCGTCGCTGCTCGCTGGCTCTCATCGGTGACATTGTTGGTATGCCAGCTATGGAAGATACTACTTGGCACGAAAGCACCGGCCGCAAGAAGGAAGCACGCGAAATAGGCAACCCCTTTATTGGTATCTGCATCAACAGTAGCGAGAATGATATATCCAGCCAGCGTGATGACCAGTGCGGCCGCCAGGTGGAAAGAACGCTCTCGAAAATGATCCGAGGACTTGGCAATGACCCACAGAACAACGGTCCCGACGCAGTACGGAGCCACCGTATATAAATTGGTTTTCACGGCGGAGTAGCTTGGAGAGCCACCATCTGCGGGAGGAAATTGCTGACCGAGCTTTGGGCGACCCCGAAGCAAAAGCAGCTAACGGCCCAGACGAGGACCCGCCAGTCTAACAGGGCAGCCAGGGCTTCAGTAATGGACAGCTGATCTGTCGTTCGGACGGACCCGTCTTGCAGCAGGCGCATCTGTGCCACCTGGGATTCGGCTTCGTTGAACCAGTGGCACTTGGAGCCGCTGAGGGGGAGCCACCAGGCAGCGAATGTGGCGATGATCATGGTTGCACCCCCTTCGATCAGGAACAGGTACTTCCAGCCGGGGAGGTGTTGTTCGATCTGGAAGACACCAAAGGCAACGAGGCCGGAGAATGCACCTATCGTTCATACAAAGAAATGGCCGTTAGTTGGAAGGTTGTAGTGTTTTGCGTAGCGCGGGATCTAAAGCTCACCTGCAATCGTAACCATGCCGTAAAATATCGAGAGTCGGAAGGCGATTTCGTTTCTTTTGTAAAACTGTGTGAGGTAGAAGATCACCCCAGCTGAGTATTTCATTAGCCATGTCTCTGTCACTCACTGGCCATTCGATACATACCGAAGAAGCCCGCTTCGAAAATGCCCATGAAGAGTCGACACACGAGTATGCCAGCAAAGTTGAACGCTGCGCATTGAAGAAGTGTAACACTGCCCCTATGGAATTGTCAAAATGGCCATACTAATAGCATCCTGAGTGATAAAGGCCGCCGCCTACCAGCCGAGCATCATTATAGGAAGCATGGTTTTACCGCTGAACCTCTTCAGCAGCAGATTGGAGGGCAGATCAAACAGGGAGAAGGTAACATTGAAAATGGCAAGGATAATACTGTATTGGTTGCCAACCAGCTTGAGGTCTTCGTCAATGCCATCAGTCTTCGCGTTCCCCAGATTACTCCGATCGAGGGAGTTGAAGAAGTACATTAACGAAAGGACGGGAAGAAGTCTAAATTTGGGAGTCAATGATGGCTGCACTGGTCACATAGGTCAGGTCCCTGTTTTACTTGAAGTCCAACTTTCGAAGCACGGATCTCTCGATGGACGGGTCGACTCTGACAGATTCTCCCGGCACAGTGCCCGACTCTTTGGCGGTGGCGTTAGAAACTACGAGCTCTAATTCTTCCTTCTTCAAGGTCTGGGGCTCCATAACTGTGGACGGGCAAGTGACTTCTAAGATCAATGGGGATGTGTGCAGGCAATGGACGGGAGCTGGAAGCATAGGGCCGCATAGACTCTTATATGCCCAGCTTCAACACCCGTAGCTCTACAGTACCGACCACACTATCACTCCAAGCCAGACAGACATTTGCTAACAGTGTATGCACCCATGAGGAGCAGCCGTCAGTCGATCTGCTTTGTGGTGACGCGGAAGATAGGCAGGCTTTTGAGCCGGACGTCATACTGAGGTGCCTTGTCCTATCATATCGTACACGATCAAGGTTCACCATATCATCTTATCTAGTCTGCGGACGGCATGAGACACTAATCTGGGGTCGTTGTTGCTGTCCAGCCAGCGGCATAGATACGATTAGGGCCAGATTCGACCGAGATGGCAATTCCTGGTCGGTTGCACCCGCCCGCGGATGGGATGCGATATCAATTTCCCCGCACGCCATTATCACTTCACTTGACAACATCTCCCACCAGGATCAGCCCGCCGACACGTATCATTCGATCATTGAGCAAACCAGGAAGGTCCAGTCGACGTCGGGGTATCGGTGTTGTCTCCGAGCAAGCCATACCTGAGCTGCTGGGTCCGTGACCTGGAATTCCGGTGTTCGAACCCAGGCCAATGAGGAGATTGACAACGGTCTTTCTGAAGATTGTACCAACTGAGGTAGAGATATAACGCCTTTCTAGGTAAGACGCCTGAATAAAAACGCGATGGAACCTTCCGACAACCGGCATCTTGTCACGTAACGCGGGGCTGGTCCATTTCGAAAAAGCAGCCACTGAACAACCACAGTCGTCTGCCGAGCGGCTTGCTTCCCCCGACACGTTCAAGATACGACCGTTCTGGCTTATGACGCAGTAGCTGAGTTCAGATGGTCGCAAGGCAGGCTGATCGGAAGTAAAAGCGAGTTTTAGGTACCCCCCATAATCTTAGGTGGGGTTGCATCCTGATATACACATAGAGCTCCAACGGGATGGTCCACCTCTAATATAAGATTGGAGTACGGCTGACTCTAAGCAGTTGATTTCATTTCGCCTGAATCACGCTGTTTGATATCTCTTTCAGACCCCCCTGGGTTTCTACAATGGCATATCACATACCTCTAAAGGACAAACAGTCACCGATTGTGATTGTGGGTGCAGGAATCTTTGGCCTCAGCAGTGCCATCCATCTAGCCAAGAGAGGATTCACAGATATCACGGTCTTTGACCGACAGCCATACCATAAGACACACTACGACTTCGACAAAGGCTGTGATGCGGCCTCTGCAGGTAAATATACCGGCCACACACAGGATTCATGCAGCAATTTCTGACGGAAAATGCAGATTGTAACAAGATCATCCGTGCTGCGTACGGTGACGAGGTGTGGTACCAGAATTTGACCCTCAAGGCGATCGAGGTTTGGGAATCATGGAACCGGTCTCTCGCAGAAGGAACGATATTGCCGCCCGGCATGACAAGCAAAGATCGGATCTATGTCAACTGTGGCAATTATCATTTCGGGGACGAAACTAATGGTCTCAACCACTTCGAGAAGCGGTCGGTGGACAGCATTACGAAAGCTGGTCAAGGCCATACACAGTACCTGCTGTATTCTGGTCCAAAGGAGGTGGCACGCGCCAGGGCGAATGGGTTTAGCTACGCGGTGGATCCATTCCGTCTCTCCAAAGATGGAGATCATCAGGGCTATCTGGATATGATCGGTGGATTTGTTTATGCTGACAAAGCTTGCACCTATGCCCTCCATCTAGCCAAGGGGTTGGGTGTGAAACTGGTCCTGGATAGGCAGGCGGGCAGCTTTGAAGGCTTCCTAGAAGATCCGTCAGGTAAGGTGGTTGGCATCAAGACGGCCGACGGCAAACCGCACAAGGCCGCGGCGACGATTGTTGCGTGTGGAGGCTGGACACCCAGTCTGGTCCCCGAGATCGATGGCCTCTGCGAGACCACGGCCGGATCCATCGCCATGATCCAGATCCCGGAAGGATCTCCCCTGCGGGAACGTTTCTCACCGGGCCAGTTTCCCGTGTTCCAGTGGAATACGCGGGCCGGGGAAAATGGCAATCTATACGGATTTCCGCTGGATAGCCGCGGCGTGATGAAGATCGGGTACAGAGGGACCAAGTATACGAATCCACAACAGGCCCAGTCGGGTCAAGTGCGCAGTGTACCCATCACCAAGTGGACCTCGCCGTTCATTACCGGGTTGCCGGAGAAGTCCGTCCATGTCGTTCAGAGCTTTCTGGACAAGTATCTTCCCGAGTTGAAGCAGAGTGGGATCGGAATCTCGCAAACCAGACTGTGCTGGTACACGGACTCGTTTGATAACAATTGGGTGATTGATAGCATCCCAGGCAAGGAAGGGGTCATTGTGGCTACCGGTGGCAGTGGTCACGCTTTCAAGTTCCTACCTTTACTGGGTGAGTTCGTCGCCGACAAGGTGATGGGGATCGAGTCAGACATGCTGCGCAGATTTCAGTGGCGGAAACTACCGCATGGGGAAACCCCTCGTAATCAGCTCATGAAGGGTTTCAATGATGCAAATGCTCTCCACCGAGTGCGGATGGTGCCGGACCACAGCGGCCAGTATGGCTCCAAACTCTAGGACGGACTTGACGACTAGTTCATAGGAGCGAGTGGCTCAGCCGGAGAAAGAAGCTGTCAGGATGTGCAATATTGCACCATCGTAGATATTGTCAATTCATCCCTTATAGTCCCATATTCTCTCACAGGTCGACAGACGTCTTGGGAATGCTCTGATCTGGTTTGATGATTCTTATTAGGGTTATTCCTTTCTTTAAAGAATGAACTGGACTGCGGACGTATATGGTAGACCAAAGTTATGATCCTAACCATGGGCCGAAGATGGTTTATATATCCAACCTGGCTATTGAGGCAGGGATCAGCCCTTCTACACCACGTAGATACTGAAGGATATCAAAGCCTTACCACAGTAGCAGTAATCACAGCATTAGCCCCCAACAATCCGCCTCTTGATTCCTTTGCCCAGTGTGTAATCTCTAGCGAGGCATACATATACACCAATAGGATAGAGAGAGATATATTTTTCCATTCTCTACCGTCGCCCACATTCATCCTTGCTTGTAAAGGTGGTTTCCTTTCTCCGCTCGTCGGACGCAGAATTAAGAGTTGACGAGTTCATATAGTACGATAGAGTCCCTACTAGTTGTATTGGTTGACACCGGCCAGGCGTGCATATCCAGAGTGAAACTCGGTGCTGGGCGATGAAAGTGGAGATTTCCGGATATTGGCGGCCCCTCGGCAAAATTTTTCCCTTTACCCCTTTTTCCTCCCCGAATTTTACTTCTTGGCCTCAGGGTTTCGATTTCACAAAAAGAGGTGTACTCGGTAGGAAAGGATCCCGCCGAAATTGCCCCTGGAGGGTCGTGCTACGAATTAAGTTGACCAGGTTGATAACCTGGATCGTGTCGTTGCCACTCAGGGGCAGGCGCTCTTTTGCGTTCGGGGAAGAAAATACCAAGACAAAATGAATGACTGCTCACGCCACTGGCACACGAAGAAAGCCAAGAATGCCCATTGGATCGAGTCTATCATCCCATTTCAATACGTACCAGAGTGTAGCCTCTTCGTAGAATGACCAGTGGCGGATCTCCGGGAGGTCAAACTCTTGACCCTAATGAAGCCCCATCACAGGATCTGGACGAGGGTCTCGTGGAATCGTGCAGACGAAGTAGTCTGTATCAGAGCAAACAAGCATTCTGACTCTGTGGTCATAATGATGGTGTTCTCGAGATCCGAGGGAAGGCCAACCTTGACGTCAGAAACCGTTTGCTTTCACGATCTCAAGGCGATGCAGCCATCCATTGGACAAGAAGCCAGATGCAGTGGGACATAATGTCAGAGGCACAGCGCTACAGAGCAACCGGCTCGACCGGCGCGTTGGCTACGGTGAATGACCCCTCTGATTGACCGAGTAGAGATCCAGAGCCTTGTCAAAACGGCTCCACTTCTGGCGGAAAATCTCCACCACCTCGTTGATGAAAGCTTGTTGAAGTACTCGGCGAGCGCTATTCATTTCCTATCATGGAGTAGCTCCTTGATTCAATTTTCGGGAGATTTCTCTGCGCTCATCGACAAAAAAAATCCTCGTGCTGTCCTTATCTATCTTCCTTGCAGGCCCACCAACCAGGCCAGGACTCACTTCTGCTCGCGCGTTATCTTCTGCCCGTTATTGTGGTGCTGTCGTCGAGATTCGACTAGTGTTAGCGACACATCACCTCGCCGAGTTCCAGTGAAATGTGCGATCATGGACGACAGTAGCCCCAGACGCCCCCGAGCTAGGGTGAGTTCCTTGATAAGGGATTGGGCCAAACCATCTCACAGTGCTCACGGCTTCTTGCTAACGAACGCCGAATCGCGGTTGCTATAGTCCGAAGCGACCAGCCAGAGTAGACCAGAATTGAACAGGGAGACGTCGCCGGGCTCACCGAGACGCGGCGTGAGTGATACTGCCAACTATGGCTCTCCCACCCGTCGTACTTCAGGCGTGGACACCACCCGAGATGGTGGTGAATCTGACGGGATGCGACGCCGCAGTACTGTCCGCTCGGCGCGGACAGGCAGTTTGGCCCAGCGAACGACTCTAGCGGAGCGCACGCAGGGGCAATTCACCATGGGGGGCCCAGAGGACGGTCCTCAGCTGCGGCAGGCTCATGAACCCTTCGTCCAACCGGGCTATTCAGATCTCAACCCCTCTTATGAACAGCCCGCCAATACGAAGCCCGTCTGGTCGCTCGCAAAGCCCTTGCCGCGTGTCGTGCGGGCCGGCATGGTGCCCACCAAGGAGGAGCTGCTCGATGCGCGGTTGCAGCCAGAGCGTCCGGCTGAAAACTCCCAGAAGCTGGGACTCGATGTGGATCCGAATGACCTGGAGCAAGGCCAAATTCCCAAGATGGCAGACCCCCGGAAAATGGCCGCACAGGTCGAGGATGCCCGGCTCCAGCGGGAAAATAACTTTGTCAATAAAGTTCTCACGGGAGATGTTGGTCCATCGCGCGTATCCCGGACGTCCTCTACTCGCCGCCGCCGCCCGTCAGTCCGGATTGATGCTCCGAGCGATCAGCTTTCCACCGTGCCAGAAGGGCCGAGCGTGGTCCCCAGCGCAACATCCGTTCCAGCTGGGGGAGGCGTACTTCATGGTAGTGATGAACACTGGAGCCTGTGCCAGAGCAACCGGAGGCGGACCCTGCCGTGGTGGATGCCCTGCCCGACCTTTCGGCGCTACATGAATCCACACTCCCGGACGATCTGCATCCGCTCGTGCAGGAGCTGGTGGAAGACGAAGTACACAACAATCATACGACCTGGTCCGTTGTTCGCACTCACCATCGGGAGGCGCTCGCGGAATCCCTGGCGGTATGGGTTCAGCTGACCATTGGCTTCTGTGCCGATATTTCTGTCACCGTGCTGATGCCGGGAATCCGAATACAACGGCGTGGGCGTGGGGCTTTGCTACAATGATGGCGATCTATATCTCCGGTGGTGTCTCCGGTGCCCATCTCAACCCCAGTGTCACGATTATGTTATGGTTTTATCGGGGCTTCCCCAAACGTAAGATGCCGGAGTATTTTCTCGCGCAGTTCGTGGGTGCCTTTGTTGCTGCCCTGACTGCCTACGGTGTATACTACCAGTCCATTCACCAATACCTCCTTACCCACCAGACGTGGGGATTGTGACCAGCTTTGTGACTGGCCAGCGTCAAGCTTGGATTGATCCAGCAACCGCTTTCTTTACGGAGTTTCTCGGGACGGCCCTCACAGCCACGACGATCCTGGCCTTGGGTGACGACCAGAATGCACCACCCGGGGCGGGCATGAACTCGCTGATCATTGGGCTCATGGTGTTTGTGCTGTCGAATACCTTCTCCTACCAGACCGGGGCTGCATTCAACCCTAGTCGAGACTTTGGGCCGCGCCTTGCCCTTCTCGCTCTCGGATACGGGTCCGAGCTTTTCACAAACCCTTACTGGTTTTACGGGCCATGGGCTGGTTCTCTATGCGGTGCTCTGATCGGAGCATTTCTGTATGATTTCATGATCTTCACCGGTGGGGAGTCGCCCGTGAACTACCCTTGGGAGCGCACGCAGCGCTCGCTGCGAAAGAGTCGCATAAAATGGAAACGCCGGTTACGCATTGACCGTCGACGACGTGGTATCCCTGACAAAGTGGTTGCTTAATGTTGGGAATTGGAAGGCCTATCAAGTCGTTGAGGCGAGCGTGGTGACATTATTGGCATGACTGCACGGAATCCTCCTTTCATTTTCCCCCGCCTGCAACGATGGGTCTCCCTCGAATGCAGGCTGTGTCGCGCTGGTCGTTATTTGTTCCTGTATATACATCATAGAGATTGATATAGAAGTCGAATGAAAACTTACTGTTCCTACGACGCGTTCGATTGTCAACCTGGGCCGGGTAGCCCAATCGGGAAACCCGGGTCACATGGGTTCAGCTGACAGCACGTGGGGGCGTGGAAGCCCGCGATCGCCATTCGAGCAGCGTCGTCGGATTGACGACCTCCACCATTCCACAGCCATCCAATGCGCGTCCCTGGACGCGTACCCACGTCTAGAACCTCTTCTCGCGTGTTGACTGCCTCGGCTTTCGGGAAGCTCCAGACGACCCCATTCATAATGCCGCCTAAGGCACACGCCATAACAGAACCATCAGATCTTCCAATTCACCCCTTTAGATCAGCCACTGACTTTGAACAATTCCTCGAACGGGAGCATGCCAAATCTCCAGGGATCTACGTGAAACTGGCCAAAAAATCTTCAGGCATTCCATCTGTGTCTCGCGACCAAGCTGTGGAGACAGCGTTATGTTTCGGATGGATCGATGGTCGGGCACACGCCTACGATGAGGACTGGTGGCTGGTACGATATACCCCACGACGTGCGAAGAGCATCTGGTCCAAGAAAAATGTGACGACCGTAGAGTCGTTGCTCAACGCCGGTCGTATGCGGCCAGCCGGATTGGCTGTGGTGGAAGCTGCACAGGCGGATGGTCGTTGGGCTCGTGCATACGATGGCCCGGCCAGTATCACGGTGCCAGAAGATTTCGCCACTGCGCTGACACAGACGCCGGCAGCCTCGATTTTCTTTGAAGGGTTGAACCGGTCAGACCGCTACGCGGTGTTGGTTCAGCTTCAGTGGACTACTCCGCAGCGCCGGGCGAAGCGTATCGAGACATTGGTCCAGATGCTAGCAGATGGTAAAACACTAGGAGCGTCAGACAAGTCAGCTAAACCAAGTAAAAGGAAAGCTGTGGGCAGGGACCATGGAAGGGATGGACGTCGGAAAACATCGAAAAAGGCATGACTGATGCCTACTCCACGATATCGATAGACAAGGCAACGTGAGGCTTCAGATTCGCCAGGCACAGAGTGCTAACTCAAAACTCTTTGCGGCAATTCAGGAAGAGTAGATCACTAGAAAGCGCTGGCTACAGCCCCTTTACCTGTGTCTGGGATGCTGGATTTGTAAGGACTGAGAAAGCGACGATTCCCCTTTGTCACCTTAATAATATGATGGTGATATTTATGCCAATTCTGCACCTGTGAACTCTGCGAGAACTAGTATGCAGCTTCTAGCCTTCTCCAGATGTACTCAGGAGCCAGGATGCCTATGTATCGGAGGCATGTAGCCTCCGAGGCGTAGCTTAGTGTGTTGCTTTCTTTTCGTACTGAGAACAGTATGTGTCTATTCTCATACTACCATCCCCATCAAGGTAGATCCCGTAAGGAAAGCAACGGATGAAGCCAGCAGGTACCTGCACGTGGTCGATATTGTCGGCAACACCGATACGAATCTACCATCGGCAAGCTGCCGATCGAAGCTGATCGGGAGCCACCCGAACAACTCGGGAGGAGCCGACGTTTCTGCAGAAGCAGAAGGATTATCTGACGATGCCAATCGAAATTGCAGCTGCCTAGAAATAGAAACTCCTCCTAGAGCCACTTTCCACCTGGGGTAACCAATCGACAACAGAACTATGATTGGCCTGCCATGACCCGCATTGCGACAGAGGTCCCATGCGTCTCTGTGGAGAGGTACTTTAGCAGCTAGAACGGTTTTTTTAGTCTCACCTGGCTGCTTGGAAAACTACCGCGGCCCCATTTCACCATACTATGATCATTAGACTGTCCCTCGTCATCTAAGTCCCCTGCGAAACAACAGGACTGGGGCCCTATCCAGTGAAGGTGTAGGTGATCATAATGTTCCCTCTAATTGATAAGAACATCGGGCCAAAATAGAGGAGCCTCGGAAGCTGGTGGCATGCTGGATTCAGGGTTACATCGTCTCGAAGGAATGAAGCTGATGATCTGATGCATCAGGACCAGGCCATTTCTATTGCCCTGACGATCCGGCTCGTGTATGAGGACCACCCACGCCAGCGAGTTCAACATGGTGCACAATTCGGCATGCTGGGGCCATACCTTCAGGGGGAGCCTTAGATGGAAGGTTGGAAGTGCAGATCAATGGGGTCACTTCACGGCTGAGGGGGCACTGGCTCACCCGGAGCCATAACAGCGTTACATTTCAATGCGTCGATCGTTTTGGGGGCGATGCTTCGTAGGACTCATGGCAGTAGCCTAGCCATTGCTTCTAAATCATACGGTCGAAGGGTTAGATAACGTATAAAGCCCAGAACATTTCTTGTGGAATGACTGTGGAATCAACAGGCCTACTTCCTCAACTCCAAATTCTCATCGAGCAATCCACTGTTCCTTTGACACAATGCGTCTTTCTGAGATCCTCGCTGTTGCTCTGGTCACTGGCGCTACCGCATATGATCTGCCGGACAACTTGAAGCAGATCTATGAAAAGCATAAGGTACATTCCTCTACCGTCGGTCAATCCTATATCCTGGGAGTTAGTGTCTAATACCCTGCATTACTTCAGGGAAAATGTTCAAACGTACTAGAGAGCGGCTTTACCAACGGTGGACATAGCGATGGCAAGTCCTTTGAATACTGTGGCGACATCGAGGGAGCAATCTTTATGCACTCCTCCGCCAAGGGTGGCCTGTACACGAACATGGATGTCGACTGCGATGGAGCCAACAACTCTGCTGGGAAGTGTTCCAATGACCCCTCTGGTCAGGATGTGACCGCCTTCAAGGATGAGGTGAAGAAGTTCGGAATTCCCGACCTCGATGCCAACCTTCATCCCTACATTGTGTTTGGAAACGAGGAACACTCGCCCAAGTTCAAGCCTCAGAAGCACGGAATGGAGCCGTTGAGTGTTATGGCGGTGGTGTGCAATGGCAAGCTGGTATGTGTATTCGCCTACCCAGGAAACATTGCTAGCTAACCTGAGCTATTTAGCATTATGGTATCTGGGGTGACACCAACGGTGGCACTTCTACTGGCGAAGCTTCCCTTTCTATGGCGGAGCTTTGCTTCCCCGAGGAGAATCCCGATGGCGATCATGGTCATGATGACAACGATGTCCTCTACATCGGATTCACCGGCAAGGATGCAGTTCCTGGAAAGAGTGCCAACTGGAAGGCCAAGAAGACCGAGGATTTCGAGGACAGCATCAAGTCGATCGGTGACAAGCTGGTCGCTGGTCTCAAGGCCTAGGCTGCTGATTATGGGGCTTGGACGAACGGCGCGGATTAGCCCGGATCATTGTACAGCATATATCGGTTTTCAAGTGTCTAGTAGAAGTGGCGTGTATATGTACACTTCGTGAAATCATAGTATCTATCCACAATCGTTTTTTGATAGTAGGCATTGGGTTAAAATAATCTCCTATACTATTGTTCTATCTCTTGGGAAACCTAGAAGAGCCCATGACACATCGAGATGACTTACGATACCACAGCAGCTTGGGGCGCCATGCCAGATGCCAGCTTGCGGCCCTCCTCAAAGGCATCTTTAATCTCGTCCAACTTGGTATCCCACCTAACGCCCTCCTCGTTCGTTTCCAGCGGGTCTCGATTGAGGGTCTCCACATCGATATGCACGTCTGAGCCCAACTTCATCGTTCCTCGCGCAATAGGGGTGCCGAGGGTGTCAATTAACCCTGGGCCTTGGGCATCGTCCGCCTTGGGATCCTCGTACACTTTGACGTTGAAGACCTTGTCCTGGCGGAAGAAAAAGTCCTTACTCAAGAGGACATCATCGTTGTTCTTCTTTGGGAATGGATGCATCGTTTCCTCGCGGTACCCCGTTAAGGTGAGGATCAGAGCATTGTGGTTGCGCAGTCGCGGACGCACTTTCTTGAGGAGCTCCTGGTCGAGCTGCACGTCCGAGGCAGACAGGTTCACGTTCGGTGCCTGCAGCAGCATATGCGAGATATGATACTGGTCCTCGGAGCCGTACAAGTAGAACGGCATAAAGTGTCGTGGATAGTGGTCGTCACGATTGGCGGAGTTCAACGGACGACTTTTCACGACGCGAATCATCTTCACAGTACATTGGATTGGAGTGCCGATAAACGCCTCGCCATTGCGGGCTCCAATGACGCCCTCTACCTCCGTGGCTGTCTCCGACTTCGTTCCTTCCTTGATCTTGTCGATCAACTCCTTGAGATTATGGGATGCCGTGGATTTGAACACAATGTCCTGGGTCAAAAACTTTTGCTTCAGCGCAATGTAGTCCTTTTTCGTGTCTTCCGCCAGCGTGGCGGCTAAAATGATCTGCTGGCGTTGAGTCGCGCGGTGGAAGCTCGTCTGGAAGTCCAGGAAGACTTCATCGGTTCCTCGCAGAAGGAACTCGAGTTCCTTCTGGTCACGGCTGTTCCGCGTGCGACAGTGTTTAACCTCCTCAATGATCACTTTCTCGAGTTCCTCCTTCATAAGCTTCCTGATGAAGTCTTTGGTGGTGGGGAAGGGGCTCATCACAACATTTCGCAAGACCCAGAGATCCTGCGCGCAGGGAGTGAGCCCGAGACGCCGCATGAAATTCTGAGCACATTGGCCGTACATGGCTGGCTCGAACTGTGTTGAAGTCAGGAAAAGTAATGGTTTCTCGGCCTTTCCCTGGGTGGTGGTGATGGACAATCGGTTCACCACCCTCCTCATCAGGTAGTTGGCTTCTTCCAACTCCGTATTGAGTTTACCATTCTCATCATACCAGTTAATGGCGAAGGCGTTGATATTGAGATCGGAGCCAATATTGCGCAGCCAATCCATGACTTTCTCATCCTTGCTGATTTCCTCATTGGTCTTTTTGATCACATTGTCGAGGATCTCCTCTCGACGCGTATTAACCTTATCGCTCAAGCTGCCATTACCCTCCTTCTCGATTGGCAACGGGTTGAAGGGAATGATAATATAGTAAGGCCGTTCTTCCTTCCAGCCTGGCTGATCGACGTGCATGGCGGCGTACCAGGCGGATAGCTTGGAAGGTCAGCAAATGTAGTCAGTCCACAGGGTCCACAGAGAGAGGTCTTACCCGCGCACTGGTAAAGGCTGCCTCGCCCAAGAGACGACCATATCCGCTCGGACTGAGGCCGATGGTCTGGTTGGACATCCAAGCCGCCATCGCGGCAGCACCAGGCTTGCTGCCCTCAACCCCATACACGCCGATATTCTCTGTCGACCCCTGCGTCAGATATGGGCTAGTCCAAGTGACCAAAAACCGCATGCGACCATCGCGATAACACAAACTGCCCGCGGGATAGGGGATGTAGCCCGCCTTGTGAGGATCCACCGTGATGGTGTCAGCCTCCTTGAGTGCGATCATATCGGTGAGCGTGTCCTGCCTCAACGCTAATTGGGGGACCTCGTCCACTGCGGTATTTCCATCCTCCTCATCGATGGGTTTGGTCGGGTCCATCATGTGCCGGGGGATCATGCTGGCAAAGTACCCACCCCAGGCAGCGTCCGCATGCACCAAGAACGACAGTCCCCGGTCCTGGAACCGCCGACGCATGGCCAGGATCTCATGCAACCGATCAACTCCACCTTCTTCTGTGGTCCCAATGACGGCCACGACTGCATACACCGCCTGATGTTCTTCCAGGCAGCGATTCAGCTCTCGCTCGAGAGCGTCGAGAGAGATGCGACCCTCCATGTCGAGCTCGACGCCCTGCATGTTCGCAGACCCAATGCCAGCGATCGCTATCGAGGTTAGTCGCGGATCTTCGCGACGTAGAGAGAGGAAAATACGCACCACCGCCTTTGGGCCACGAATAATGCCGTGTCTGCGCAAGGAAATACTTGGCGGGCTTCGTGATCCGAAACTCACGTTCTAGCACGTCCTTGCCAGTCGTTTGGATGGTGAATGGCGTCAAGGCCTGTTCGAGGAACTTTGAGGTGACACCGAACTGTCTATAGAGAGCATCTCCCATGTCCAAGATGACGTCGGGCTGGAGATTTAGTAGTTCCCAGACACCCAGGTCTTTGAACAACTTCTCCTCTCCAACACAGGTGGTCACCTGGAAATCGTTCGCGATGAAGCCAAGAGGCCCCTCCTTCATAGCCTGATACAAGGTGAGGGGATAAAACTTGAGATTGCGGGCTGCAGATGAGCAGGTAAGAAGAATGCCCGTGGCTATCAGTGTTGGCAGGCTTACTTACCAACCCAAATGGATTCAAGATTGGCCACAGTCCCATCACAGGTGATGTGACCCCAAGACAGAGGCAAGTGCGTGGCCTTCTCATTGATATTATATCCAAACATTTCGCATAGCTGCTGTCCCACCTTCAGCTCAACGACGGTGGTGAATGGACTTGCCTCGACAGCCACATTGTTCGGGTTATAGATCATAGTCATGAAATAGCCTAGGAGACCGGGCATGGTCATGTCCGTACACATGTGGCCTTGATAGCGGGGATGCCAGAAAGGGATTGAATGCTCGCCCAAAAGCGTGGCAGTCTTTTGGACAGCCTCCTTGAATTTCTGGTAGACCGGCTCTAACTTTTTTTGGGCCGTGTCGGAGATGAATATCTAGTGTCCGCGTTAGTCTATCCAGGTGCACTGTAGTTTGAGGAAGACGAAAAGGAAAGCCAAGGAACAATAGAAGGAAGAACAGTCATACCTCATCATGGCCACCGTAGTTGTCACGGGTCTTCTTAAGCTGGTCTAGGATGATTGCAATATTATCGCTGAACGGTTTCAGATTCTCGGACTTAGGCCCAATGAAGTACGAGCTGATAAGATCATGGTTACTGATCTTTGGTGGCCCTGCGTCGCCCATAGTGTCGTTGTTTGGTATGTGGTGCTTCTCCTCTTGGGATCCGAGGGAGAGATAGAGCTGTGATCGGCCAGAAGGTTCTCACGCCCACGCTCCCATATTTATACTATTCTCTCCCTATACGACAATCGCCCTTGCACCGCAAAACGAGCCGTCCTTTCCAGCCATGCAGCTACCCCACCTATTTCAGCTGACTCGATCAGCTCTCTATCATGCAAGAGTAGATGCAGGATTGACCTTTCAGAAGCGGGGGCCCATACACCAGGAAATGATCGGCCATCGATCAGAGCTGAAAAGGAAGGTAGATTGCTACCCAATAGCGTGATGATGCCCACCATCTCCAGCAGAGAACGACGAACAGATTACCTACAACGTATGCCATCACTCGTATCAGAAGAGACGTTTCATAATGTGCCATGACTAGACCTTGGTGTCTTGATGGCCTCGCACCGTCAAGACGCCCCTCCAGCTTGCTTGGTAGATAAATTGAGACGAAGCGTGAATATAGATGCAAGCACGTACAGCGACGCAATGTTTGAAATCTTGCCTGGTTGACGTACTACCTTCTAGACGTCGAAGGAGAGTACGGGGCTTGCGCATCCGGCTAGTTGATAGTAGAGTGGGAGGATCGTGTGGGACCCATTCACACTGCAAGCAGTGACGTGTCGGTGTGCCCAGATGCACGCTCAATCTTAGACTTGATCTGTCATTTTCAGGCCGCCAGGATGGCCCGATCTGCACCAGGTCCAGGGCTGGGGATGTTAGTTACTTGGTGGGAACGAATAAAAGTATATTGATGAATCGGAGACTGGAAGTATAGCGTAGGGTCCTGGCTTTACTGTCGTAGTCGACAATATGTGCCAGGCTCCTTCCCTACCATACCTTGAAGCAGACTCAAGCATATCGAGGTCCGGTCATAACTTGGAAGAGGAGAGGAGTAGTCTTAGATTCGAACTGTGGATTGTCATACAGAAGAAGATCTTAGACACCCAAAGATCAGCGGCGGGGCGTCCACAGAAGGCACCGCCAAGCCAGAAGAACAGTCTCTACGCCAGCCACTGCCGTGAAGACCCACCGTCCTGCAGGCCGTCACCAATGCAAGGCTTCAAACGTGGTCAACGGGGCCTGAACATATGGCTAGCATAGGACGGCATCCAATGACGTGGATATATTCGCCGACCCCAGCTCTCGGAACCAACTGATTCGGAACTATCCAACTCAAAACGCCCCCTCAGCTACTCAGGTAGCTTCTTCCCCAAGTAGTGGATCTCAGTACGCTGTACACTGCTCGCCATCCAAACTGCAATCCTGGGGTGAGTGTTCAGTATACCTGCCACGTCACTATCTGCGGTTAACCAAGGAAATCTACGAATGCTTCGTGCGCTCTTTTTTGAAATTCCGGGAAATCACAAACCCGTCAATAACCAGGGTTGGATGGTACCCACAATATGTGCGATTAGTAGACTGGAACCAGTCCTGCAAGGTTGAGTCGTGGTCAAAGGGCCTTGCAGGCTCCCTGGTGGGTAATCCATCGGCAGCCGGGCGAAGAAGTGGGATGCTATGGCTTAGCACTAATGTATGAATGCCTGCATTCATCTCGGTAGTGCATTCACGCAATGTCCCAGTAACAGCCTTCAAATCTGTTGGAAACCTGATCATATTTGCATCGTAAAAGATTCGAACGATCGAAATACTAGTGTGAGATGTGTATTTAGGCAAATTGACTTGTCAAGACTCGTACCAACGCAAGTTCAAGAACAAAGATGGACAAGCCTTTTACTTTGATGGTGCTGAATGGCGCTGCTGCGAACAGAAACTTGATTATAGTTGTGTATGACCGTAGAGACATGGGTCTCTTCTCCCGCTTGCTAGATAGACAGTGGAATGCTGCATTTAGCACAAAGGCCACGGTTTGGGCAACGACTAGATCCTTAATACAGCGGCATGACGGTTTAGCCCGGTGTAGAACCAACAGATAAACTCTTGCTAAACTATTGGCAAGCCAGGTATTACAATAGCTCACCTACCTACATGGCCTATGAGACCACGTGGGTACAGCGCTAAGGAGGAGCTCGAATAAAGCAGGACTAGCCTTCAGAAAGAGTTCATCCCCTTTGATCTTCAGCCGGCGGACGCTTTCTTCAAGGCCATGGAGTACCGGTGTTTATTGATATAATGAACTTGAGGTTGCTTGGCTGACCGCGTTCCATGTCGATGGTGCGAGAGCCGAAGTCACCCTTCCGTTATCGTAATATTTCGAACGTCAACGTGGCTGCGAGATGCAGAACTAGGGCTAACCCACGGTGCAGTCTCAGAGCGCCAGTCCTCGGTAACAACAAGTATTCTACCATCTCAGCTTGGATTTATGAGTTCATCTGTTCTGCTTTACCAACCTCGAGAGGAACAGCGGTATATAATAGTCAGCCTGATAGCGGAAGGATGTGGAATATCGAAAGATACAGAAAAGACTTGAGATGAATATCAACAGAGACATGATGTCCGTCTGTATAATCCGAGCAACCAACGGTCAACATCTTGCTGAGAGGTACGTGCTAGCTTACTTGCCAACGGCCCCCAACGGCTTATGTCTGGAATTTGAGCATATACCCTGGTCAGCACTGGCCTCTCCTTTAACTAGGCAATGTCTTTCTCTTCTTTCATCTTTACTCTTGCGCCGTGATTTTCCGTTTCCACCGCACAGCAGCTACCAGAGAGCAAACAACGGCCGCTCTCGATTGCTGGCAAAATTGCTATCCGGCTGACTGGAGGAACTTAAGCGACGTTTCGGATTTTTAACCGAGAGAGGCTAAGTATCACCATCCAGGGCACCTCTAACCCCCGGGTGTTTCTCCCTGGTGTATTTATTCGCTATCAAATTCGGCCCGAGGGTCCCCTCCCGGCGGGGATGGTCGAATGATATTGGGAGATGAGGATGATCGCCTCCATTTTCCAAGGCTCGGCACGCCGATCGCAACATTGATAAATTGCCTGGAAGGGTCATGACTGCCTCTCACGGAAATTCCGCCAACGGTGAATGTAGGCTGGACCTTTACATGAAACGCTTGGTCTGAGATGCATCGCATGTGCCATGGCAGTTTCTCTCGGTCGCGCCGGCACACGGGGGGACGGAGACACATAAAGATGCCACCAGACGTGCAAGGCCGGATGGACAGAATGTCCCAGGAAACGTAAGCATGGGATCTTTATACCGGCGTGTGGCTGTGAGTGCGTCGCTTTTCGCAGTCGCGACAGCCCAGATCAGGGTTCGTCTGAGCCCGTCCACCGTGAACACCCTCGCGGAACCCGACTTTCACACCTGGGCCATTGAAAACGAAAGCCAGAATGCGTCCACGACGATTGACTCGCTCGACTTGACGTTGTCTGTGTCGTCCGATTCGGACTTAGAGGGCAACAGCTACAAATATCAATATACGCGGCCCGTCTCCCATCTCGGCGAAAGAGTCGTCAACCAAGGGATTACCACCTCCAGTGACAACCCCGGACCGATTACGTTGACTATCCAAGGCTTGGAAGCAGGGGAGCACACCCTGTTGACATGGCATAATGCCTGGGACAATTTGGACTCCGCTGCCACAATTTCGGTGTCGGTGGACGGTGAGGACAAGGCGTCGGTACGTCGTTTCAAACGAGACTCAGCCGTAATCAAGGCTCACATGGCGCGTTTGTCTAGGAAATTGAACAGTCCATTCGCGTGGATAACATTTGGGAGACCGCCACATCTTATGTGACATTTACTGTGGACTCGGTCGATCAACCGGTGGAAGTCATGTACACAGCCTCCAGTGCTGATGGACTTGTCTATCTCAACGGCTTCGAGGTTGACACCCCTGCCTTGAAAGACCAAATTTCATTCCCTGCCCCATCGCATCGTGATGAGCACCTGCAGCTGGGCGATGACGATAGCATCACAGCAACCTGGAGAGCACCGTCCTCTACGGATGCGGTCACTTACAATGTCTACATGGGAAACTCGTCCGATGCCCTTAATGTTGTAGAAGAAGGGCTGAGTGAAACACAGGTAACCCTATCAGGTACAGTATCCTTCTCCGGCCCGATTATCGAACCACGCTAACATAGCCAAGGGCTGAACACAATGGACACTTTCTACTGGCGTGTGGATGTGATTTCTGGCAGCAGCACATACACAGGTCGGATATTCCTGTTTCGGCTTGCGCAGTTAGCATTTCCGGGAGCGGAGGGATACGGGTGAGTCTTCATGCAGAGCTATGGAACACGCCGATTGTTCGCATAATAACATCAGACAGTCGCTTTGCCCGTGGCGGTCGCGGGGGCAAAGTCATCAAGGTCACCAGCCTGGAGGACAGTGAAGAGCCGGGAACACTGCGTTACGCGCTGGCAGTCGCGACTGGTCCCCGGATTGTCGTGTTCGACGTGGGAGGCGTCATCACGATCAATTCACGCCTCACGGTGAGTGACAGCTATGTCACGGTGCTGGTCAAACGGCGCCCGGCAAGGGCATCGCCGTCCAAGGCCATCCGCTGGGTCTCTCTGGTGCATCAGACGTGATCTTCAGGCATGTGCGTGTCAGACCAGGAAGTAGCTCGGGCGAGACGGTCGATGGCATGGGCATGGCAGGATCGAATTACTGCATTCTTGATCGCTGTTCAATGGTGAGCTACTATAAACCTCCAGGACCTCTATGCGCAGTGATTGACCGACACCATAGGGGTGGGGAATCGACGAGTGCTTCTCGTCCCGCACGGCGCATAACATCACCTTCCAGCGAAACATGATCTCGGAGCCCCTCAACGTCGCGGGACACAAGAACTATCCTGAAGGGACCGCTCATGGGTATGCAGCAACCATTGGGGGCGACGTGGGCTCCTTCCACCATAACCTGATTAGCCATGCGGAAGGCCGAAGCTGGAGCATGGGTGGCGGTGTCGACGACAACTCGACCTTTGCTGGCCGCCTCGATATTCGGAATAACGTGGTGTACAACTTCGGTATGGCGATCCCTTCTATCCTGTCTACAGTCCAGTTAATAACCCGGTAGGCTCGCGGGTTACTGATGGCGGTGCGAAGGAAGTGAATTTCGTGGGTAATCTGTACAAGCAGGGGCCTGCGAGTAAACTAACATATGCCCTGCAAGCGACGGTGAGAGCTCTGTCGAGCTGAGTGTATGATGTTATGACTAACCGGTCTGGACGATACAGTACGAAGATAACTTGCCCGGAACCCAGCAATATCACTGTGCTGGAAATTCGATGCCCGACGTATTTGACCAGGATTCCGTGCAATACCCATCAGGGGATGGTACCGGTCAGACCTCAAAGATCGCCTGCTATGCAGACGTCAGTATTGACCCGGCACCTGAGTACCAAAAGTTCTTCGATGAGCCGTACGTCCGGACCCCTTCGTCCTATTCTCTTCGGGCACGAGTGCTAACTAACCTGCGAGATCAGTTTCTTTCCGTCATACATCGAAGAGCATACGTCTACAGAAGCCTACAAGCGTGTGCTCTCGGACAGTGGCGCCAGTCAGCCCGTCGTCGATGACCACGACAAGCGTATCATCCAGGAGACCCTGAATGGAACGGCCACGTACAGCGGCTCGAAAACCGGCAAGCCGGGTCTAATCGACAACGAAGCAGATGCCGGTGGACTGGAAGACTTCCCGACGACTACGCGGCCGACAAGTTGGGACGCCAACGACGATGGCATTGCCGACTGGTGGGACGGCTCCACTGGCGGAGGTGGGTATACGGCGATCGAAGGCTACATCAATTTTATGGCGGAGCCGCATGTGTTTGTGGCTCCAGGGGCATCGGTCAAGTACGACTTGGCCGGCCTGGCCGCCGGATTTTCCAATCCAGCTTTTAAGGTATCCGGCGGGGAGTTGGGCTCGGTCTCTGTAGACGGTACAGTGGCAACGTACACTGCGGGTGACCAGGCCGGGGTGGACCGGTTCAATGTGACCATCTCAGATGATGAGGACAGTACCTGGGAGAGGTCAGTGGGTGTCGCGATCTTTGACGACGCTGGGTCGGTAGAATGATGGCAGAGCGAGGCTATCACGGGTATGCCATGTGTACGGTGCAGCTCTCCTGGACTGATATACAGTGAGGTTTACAGTCAAAAGCAACTATGCAAAATTCATGTATTCAATGAATCCCAATAAATTCAACGAGAATATTGTAACTACTATCCAAACCTACGCTCATCGGCGAAGTATGATAACGGTACGAAAGTCCTGGACTGCTGAACGCCAAACCCGCATCGTAGAGATACCGCCACTCTCAATCGTGAGATCGAAATTTGCGACAAGTGGTGTGAAACAGGGCCAGAAATCATCATGTCACCCTGGCTGGACACCCTTTCTCCCATGTCAAATGTTGCTAATGGTTCGACGGGGTTCGGGATTCGGCCAGGAGGCGAGGTGTATCGACTTTACAGGTTCAGATGAAAGAGCTTCACATATCCTGAGGCATTCCATCTGATAGGGGAGGTCCTACGTAAACTAGAATAAGTTAGCAGAGAAATCTCCTCTTGTTGGGCAAGACGGTATACCTTTCCTGGCGTGAACCAGATACCATACAAATGCCAAGGCCGTGAACCCCATGAAGACCACCGACGCATAGTTCATCGAGACGGGTGTGACAGGCAAGGTGGAAGGCATACTGAACAGGACGAGCTCAAAGGCAATCCACGCTAGAGCAATGAGATTCACTGTCGTTCCTAACGCTCGACCACAGTTCCATCGTGCTTTGGATACTTCGGCGCGCTTGTTGTAAAATAGGGAGATGCTGATTGGAATGGAATAGGTGATGGCCAGAGCAATCACACCAACCGAGACGAACGCTGTAAAGGCACTGCTGCTGCCCAGGTTAATCAATCCCAAGAGCATCTGGACTACGGTCACAAGACCCAATGCCCATAGTGGAATGCGGAGGCGATCGTCCACACGAGAGAAAAGCCTTGACACGGGGAGGGCCGTATCTCGTGCGAGAGCCCAAGTACAACGAGAGGCGGCGTTGGTAATGCTGATGGAACAGAAGAACCCGACGACGAGAAGGAGAGAGACGAGACCGACGGCGCCGGCCCGTGTCCCCATCACCACCAGGAACACATAGGGAATCGGTTGGCCGCTTGGCGCATGGGTGATGTCGACCAGCTCAGGAAGAGTGACACAGAGAGGGATCACAAAGAAAAGGCCGGCGATGCCACCGACCGGGATGCAGAGGGCCATGGCCTTGGGCACCTTGATCGCCGGGGCATGTACTTCCTCTGCCATGGAGGAAACCATTCCTATCGCAGAGAAGACAAAGGCTGGGGGGAGCAGACCGATACAGAATGAAAAGTTTCCCCAACCGGATAGGGAGGTATCGTACTGCGCAAGGGCATCGGAGGGTGTGTGGCGACCAGCTTTGGCGGAAACGGAGACTGCTACTAGAACTACAAGGATGCTAACCAGCGTCCAGGCCGCACAAAGGGTGTCTACAACTGGGAGGAAGCGGTTGCCGAAGCCACAGATGAAGAAGGCCAGGATACAGATTGCGTAGAGTACTAGAAGAAGCTGCCAATCTGTAGCTTCCCAGCTGGCATAGATGGACACCGTGGCAACTAAGAGTTGCGCAAACGCGAAGTTGACCCCAAGAGTGATGGTCCAGTTCCCGATCAGCCACACCCACGCTGTGATAAATGAGAGAAGCTTGGCATGTTTTCCAGATAACTGGAAGGACCAGTAGTAAGGACCGGCCGAGGTGGGATATCGCGAGACTAACTCGGCGAGCGACATGGCCACGCACTGATCCATGAGGCAGACCACGATCCAGCCGACGAAGATTGAGAGTTGACCACCGCCATAGATGGCTTGCATGAGTGCACCGCTTTCAGCGAAGGGGATTCCAGCAATCGACAACGATTGAAACAGGAGCGTGAAAAGCGAGCGGTTTCGACGGAGTTCCGAGGGATATCCCAGCTCCCCGAGCGCCTGATCAGGGTCATCTTCTCGCGCCTCCAAGGGCTTCTCTGCGTCGATCTTGTCGGACATTTCGGGCTCACAACCATGAGAAATACGGAATGAGCGCGATGCTCATGGACTTCGGGGCAACCCATATTGTATACATATAGTCCGTACCGTAGATAAGGGCCAGGTCATCTGCTCCCCCTTGCTTGTTGCCTATCGAATCCGTCGTCAATGCTATTGGCCCATCCGGGCCAGATACCGACACATCGTCACGAAGCATGTAGAAAGACGTCACTTGCAGGTCGTGTAGTCTGGAGAGGCGGTAAATATTGCGCGATCAGGTTAAGATAGCGTCGCTAAAACGCGGGGAGAGCTTCGCATCCGAGCTTGCCGATCTGCACTGAGGAAGCGAGATAGCCTCGCCTAAACCGTTTACGGGAATTTTAACCATATAGACTTTGCAATCTCCCCTCACGGTCTCCACTCCTTGACCACTATCGGCTGTTTGCGATTGGATCGATCATCAAAGCTGCAAGTGGATGCGTCACCAACGGTCGAGATCCAGAGTAATATTGCGCACGAGCTTGACCAATGTATGTACATTGTCGCCCGGCTAATTTAATCTTCGATTGCCGAACACGACCAGAAAGACAAACAGCGTCATTGTTGTAAAGATAGGCCGAGCGAATCGTGGTGCACAATGCCCCGAAGAAGATAGCTCTCACATAGTAGTGTTCAGGGACCGCTGAAAGAAGCAAGCATCCAGAGTTTGCACGGCGTACCCCATCTAGGACGGTCACGAGATGCCACCCTTCACCGTGAGCCTCTACTATGTCACTTTACCAGGACCTGGTATTTCTCTCCACCAAAACCAGCTACTAGCCAGATCATATCTGCTTGCCATATTATCTTCTCCCATTATCTTGTGTCCATGGGTTGTTCTCTCGCCATGCCTTCGCTTGCTGGCCTGTTTCTGTAGGCGTCTGCTAGATTTTGTCGCAGATATCTAAACCTACAATGATCCTGATGATGACTTATGAGAGAATAACAATGATGTAATGATTCAGCACTACCGCTGTTGCCTGAAGAGTCCCCTTCGTGGACGAACCTGCCTGTCTTTCACTTCTCTCATCCCGCAGGACGGCTCCATCAACCTTTCCCCAGAGACACTCGATTCACTATACACCTCCAGTGTCTATTGAATCCACGCTAGTACGTCATGTCGGCTTTCGACGATATGCCTTCCTTATTCATACCAAAGAAGCGATGCCACGAGGAGATACCACACCTGACGGGTAGGAAAGACAGACTCAACTCTGAGTCAGACAAGGCGAGGAAGAAACTGAAGGCACACGGTTCTTTCGATGCGCAGTTCTGGACAGCAGCGGCCGAGGTCGAAGCGATCGTACTATCCAAAACACGAGTAGTTTCCGAGATATCTCTTGCGGAGTTTGAAGGGGAGCCCTCAGTTTAGGAATGCACGGAGGAAGCCAAGATGCTTTTCGAGCAAATAAGGGCTCAACACCTTCGACTGACATCGTATCAAAAGCAGGCATTGACCCTGACGAGAAAAGAAGGAAGTTTACGCGAAAGCTTCATGAGCCTTTTTACGAGCAGCCGAATGGGCCTCGGGATTGCAACTGTAGTGGGACCCAGGGATTCTAGTATTCAGAGTAACTTTCGACGTAACCTGCTAGCAGACTATGAGAGCGTCGGTGAGAACGGGCTTGTTTGGTGCCCAACTTTCAACACTGGTTTCACCCAGATTTTATGACTGCTTCCCATCTATTCTCATACAGACACGGACAGGCGACTATGGACGGTATATTCGGGAAAGTCCGGCCGGCTGAACTCTTTTCATCAAGGAATGGGTTGATCATGTGCTCGATTATTAAGCGATATTTTAATACTGGTGTCATGGTCCCCGAAAGACAAACAAAGTCTATGCTATCGAACTGGATCAGACAGGAATCCGGGAATACAAATTCCGTATCATCGATAGCACACGGGACCAGCTGGATAGAGTTATCAATAACTGTGGCCTCACTTGGAGGAGGCTCGATAACCGAGTCTTGCAGTTCAGGGGGAGTTACAGGCCTGCAGGTGTTACGACGCGCGTGGAAAGTTGGCCCCGGCCAGAGAGCTGCATTCCATCTCACCGACGAGTTGAGAAAGCCCTTTTAGGGTACTCCTGGACGTTATATTGCCAAAAATATGCTCCGAGCATTGGTGGAAGAGCTTGGGCAGGAGTTTGAGCACTTGATGGGGGGCGCAACTTTAATGAGTAGGGGGTAGATGATATACTGCTCAGCACGGCAGCAGCCCAGGTGGTGCAAGTTGATGGGTCGGATGACGACGATATGGATGATGATGACATGAATGAAGAGGACTACTACTAGACAGCTTCATCATACCTTGCTTCTGATAAGACCGGCTTTTTTTTTTTTTTTTTTTTCGTTTGCTTACTTTCATTATGTGATGCCATCCAGAGGGAAATTGTTATTCTATGTCGAATAGGTTAGCTATATCAATAACAACTTCCCAGGATTGTTCAGAAGCTACTCCAGGCTGCCACCCGCGTGTTCACCGGACATCAGCCGCCAGGGCCAGATGCTTGTTCGTAATCTTGCATAAGTTAGTACCGGATGGCGCCAAACTTGGTGGTTAGTGTCGTCTATGGTGAGAGCCTGCCTCACGTGCGGATCAAGGAAATTTTGATTATCAGATTAGATTGATACGTTCTCGCGCGTTTTGATAGGCTCCTGCACGGCCCCGACCGTGTCCAGAATCGAGTTATCCCTGTACAGGAGTACTAGTAGTACAATGGAGGCCAACCCACGGCCAAGACAAATAGTGAGATGGAAAGCGCATCTTTGCGCCTGGTACCACATTTTCGACGTTTCGCCGGTGCTACGCCAGGTTGTCGATGTCTTTCTACGACGACAGCATATCCTATGGTCCACCATTGGGCTGTCACGTACTTCACTCGTGTCTTGAGCCTCCACTACGAGATTCAACGAGGGTCGCCATTTTCCTCCTTTTCAATTCGTTTTTCTTTTTGTCGTTTTGAGCATTCGTGCAATAGGTTGGAAATCGGAAGCTCGCCATGGTAGGTGCTGCTTCACTCAATCCTGTTCAACCAGCCAGCGCAGGGGAGCACGACACCTGTACCGGATCCTGAAAAGCCCGGTCTGTCAGCTTCAAATGAGAGAGCGGTTCCAGAAAGATCTATCTCGGTAGCTATCTCACAGCGAGAACATATCTATTGGGCTCGGAAGTTCGAACCGCCATCAACCACTCGTGGAGGGACAGCCAAAAGTATAGTTGTATCGCGACGACCGCGGTTATCGCCCTCGGAGTTCCGTGTGTAGCTGTCTGGAAGATCCTGAATATGGGCCAGAAGCAGAACTAGGGAGTCATGCTGTAAGGTCGGAGCCTCTCAACAATTGATTCCAACTCGAATCTTAGTAATCGCTGGGGCTCTACCCCGGTGTTCCGAGAACAAGAAAATCCCCCTTCTCGACGATGAGAGGCCTTTCATCACCTTCAACAGTTCCGATAAAATTCTAAAGAGCTTACGGGATATCTTTCTATTCCCAAAAGTATTTTTGAGACTTTTTTTTCCACCATTGAAGGTGCTAGTCAGGCTTGAGATATGGTCAACCCCCCTCACTCGGATATCCTACTAGAATATATATGTCGCAGCTACGGAACTAGTACAACGCCCAACTTATTTAGAAGGGCAAATTTCGTAACATTAAGGGGTTCATAATTCTGAGAAAAATTTGCACTTCTCTATCAAAGAATGTATTATGAAGATTTTATTTTCCGATGAATTTTTCGGATTTTTCTGAAGACACGATCGGGGATAGTAAACAAAACACAATGCCGGCGTCAACCGGTGTCACGTGCATATGCCGTGTTGTTTACTTTCCGACGAATTACTCCGTCCCTAGTTATACAATGTCTTTCTTCCTCTTTCACTCTCTCCTCAACCGAGGATTAACTTGACGTTCCCGTTCACGCACGGGATACCAACGCAATGCTGATCTCCACTAGTTGTTCTTCGCACATCCGGAGAGCAGTCCCCAAAGTACTTCACTTCTCGATTATCCCAGAGGCTCGGAGCGCAGCCCAATTATGGCACCAACCAAATCCCCGCGCAACTCCACCCGGCCAGAATCTGGGCTTCAGGATAATTCACCCGTTTCGACCGATCCACTCTCAGCCCGATCCAAATCACCATGATACACCTCAAAGGCAACGGTTGTTTGATTTATCGCTTAGCTTTTCGCGAACGCAGCTGAGTGGGAACACGGACATGCAATACACGCGCTACAATGGCCATGGCGTGGCGATGCCCTTCAACCGGCTGACGAAGCTCGACATGGTCAACCAATTTGGCCTAAGCGCACGCGATCTGCGCACACTTGATGTCCCATCGGATGGCTTCCCACATCTCCTCATCCGAGAATCCACCCTGCTGATCCATATGTTCAATCTACGGCTGCTGGTGCAAGCCGACCAGATGCTGGTCTTCCACATAGAACCAACGCCCACACAAGAACCCGATACGATCTCACGCGTCTTCCTCCGTGATCTGGAGTCGAAACTACGCGGGGACCCCGGCTTGGGAGTGTCCGTGGGCTTGCCGTACGAACTGCGCGTCCTCGAGGCGGCATTGGCGGCGGTCACCTCCACCCTCGAAGCGGAATATGTGCTAACCAAGGATCAAGTTATGAAGACCCTACGAATGGTGGATAAGGAAGAAGGCGAGATCCATTCGAATCTTCGAACATTGTTAGAGCTCGTGCGAAAACTCGCAGCGACCGAAAAGCGCGCGCGGCAGGTCCGCAGTGCGGTCCAAGACGTGTTGAATACGGACGAGGATATGGCCGGGATGTACCTCAGCGACAAGCAAGCCGGAAAGCCCCACCACGTGGAGGACCATCAGGATGTGGAATACTTGCTGGAGGCGTACTACAAGGCGAGTGATGCGGTCGTCCAGGAAGCGGCGAGCCTAATGGGAACAATTCAACAGACGGAAGAGAGTATACAGTCGATGCTGGACGTGCGACGCAACCAGATCATGGTGCTGGAAGCCAAGATTGAGATCCTAATGTTAGGAATGGCCGTGGCAACGCTCGTAGCGGGCTGGTACGGCATGAATGTCGTCAACTACTTCGAAGAGAGCGGCACGGCCTTTGCAGCACTGGTTTCATCCTGTCTGGTCGCCATCGCGTTTCTTTCGCGATATGGCTTCCGGCAGCTGCGGAGGATCCAGAAAATGCATCTATAGAGCGAGACCTTCGGCAGCCACCATGCCACAGATGACTTGATGTATCTCCCAAGCCACCGACAGCGTAACGAAAAATTGAGCATTCGAGAGATATCATTGTGATATTTCAATGATATGGGGGTCTCGGCGTGCATATGGGCGGTGAATTGCATGAGTACAATCTACACACCCAAAAGTTCAAGTTGAGTCTTGAGCTTCTGCTGGAATATTCGAGAGGGCTATACACCACCGCGCTAATAATAAAGCGGTAGGCTTTACTGTGTGAGATGAGATGTACTACCATTCCTCAGTCGCTGATGTCACAGCCTTAACGGTAACTTCTAGACTATCGACAACGGTTGCAGGTAACAATATGCTGGCATTCATGTCTGGGCAGAATGAGACGGAGCTTCCTCTCGCCCGTTCCACAGGACAGTGGAATATTGGAAGACATCGTACAGTTCTTGGTCGCCGTAGACACTGATCCGGACGTCAGCGGGCACGATGCCATAACGCTGGCTACAAATTGCGGCATTGCTGGACACCTCGAGGACCTCCGAGATCAGGTATGTGAGGAGTCGAGAAATTCCACCGAGAGACTCCGCTTCAATGATCACTGGCTGACCTGCGACCCGAGACTCCAGAAAATGCTGGATCTTACGACTCACGTAGTCCGCATCGAAGGTAGGGACTGGCGCCGTATGGGCTTGTGTTAAGCAGCAGTGGCCATAGACATTCAGTAACTTTCCCGCCGTGGGCTTTCCGAATAGAGCGTCGGCGATCCGCGAAGGCGTCCTGAACGATAAAGAGGGAAGAACAACCCGCTCCAGATAGCTTAGGATAAGTTCATTGACCAGGTCTACTACGTGACCCTTCCATGGGTCGACCAAAACTGCAAGATTTTGATTTTGCTGCGAGCTGGTTTCGAGAGGGACGCCGCCGCTGGTGGCTATATCCGGAGGCACATGCGGCATAAATGGGTGAAGTCGTAAAGCCTCAAGTTCCTGAGCTCGAAAGACATGCTCTCCCAGAGGATATGGTCCAAGGCAAGCTGACTCTGGTGGGGGTGGTGGGCAAAGAGAAATCATGTCGGCATCGTCCGGAGGCGCTGAATGCATATGCAGTAACTGTAGCCCCGAGAAGTCGAAGCCCTCCCGAAGCTGCCGCTCAAATCGGTCGACATGTGTCTCTGGTTTCCGTAGAGGGTGACTGTGCCCAGCAAACGATGTCTGAGTGAAATCAGTGCCGCCGGAGAAGAAAAGAAAGGAGTGAGCAGCACGGTCCCTGTTGAAACCAAATCGGCCGAACTTGTACTCTGCCACTGGGATTCGCATCCACACTCCAGCGGCACATCCGCGCCGTCTATCCGGCGATTGTGCCCTCCAAGCTGCAACTTGGTTCTTCGCTTGTGTGTAGTCCACAACCCCAACCGACTCAGAAGGCTCGACATCCGCTCTTTTATGCTCCAGATCTGGCCCGTCCAACTGGTCATTGATCTCATCCCGTCTGCGAGCATCGTGATAGCCCCAGTCATACCGATTGATAGTCAGCACACCCGCAGCACTGGTCTTGTCATCGTTCAAGGTATTCCCAGAGTCGGGCTCGTAAGGAGAACCGGAAACGCGGAGGATCCGCCCAATCTCCTCGCTAGGATCGACGTTGGAGTGTGATAGAAACCAGCCCGAAACTATTTTGGTCTCAATATCTACCAGTTGGAACGCTTTCCATCTGCCATTTTGCGCCGGAATGTTGAATTTCAAATGATGTACTTTCACGGTTCCAGACCAGTCAGGCTGAGTGCTAGGGAACCTTTGGATAGGCACCGAGCTGCCGAGCCATATGTTGTGTAGTTCGCCGAAGCAAAGACATCCTGATTCTATAGAGAAGGTAGCGTAGCTTTGAGGCGTGGTTGTCATAATGTCGAGATATTCTCTGGCATATCAAAAGGACTTCAGAAGGCAGCCATCCGGACACGTATATATATTCTTACAAGATGAAGCCCGCTGGTCCAGTGCGGGTCCAGCAAACGGACGATCAGGAGTCCCGCTGTGGGTCATCTTCCATGCCATGATAGCGGCTATATACTACGTACTGGAAGAGTGGTTGGTTGAACATGCATCACAGCTGATGTTTTACTCAGTGGCTAGACTAACACCTTGGCTGCACCCTAAGGCCTCCCATGTCAACGCGTGAAAAGATCTGTCATTGCTATTAGGAATCAGGTTTATTCCTGGGTCCAACAACAAAGTCAGTCCCACCCCGTTTAAACAACCTCTCCGCGAGGCTCAAACGTTCGACCCGGAAGTTATAATTCTCCTTCACTGCCACACAGTTCCGAAAATGTTGAGGTAAATCAGCCTCCAAGAATGCTCGATAATAGGCCTCTCTGCTAGGGGGGTGTGGGTGGAAAATGGTTTCCATGCGTCTCCAGTCATCTGCATTGCCCTCCTCCCAGTGATACGTGCAAGCCCTACAGTACGTGCCGGGTTCCAATGTTCGTGTCCGAAAGTCCCAGTATGGAAATGATGCTGACGCCTGCAGTCTCCATGAAGGTTCGTCCTCCTTCTCCGCCAGTGGTGCAGGATTCCACCGGCGCCGGGGTCGTCCACCAGTGTGGGCTCCTTCACGCCGGTGCTTTTACTATTCCCTAACCCGGCGTTGGTAGTCTCTTTCATGCCCCTTCCGTCGATTTTGGTAAGCCCGCTCCATTTCCTTCTCACCCCCATGGAGCTCTATACCCACAGCCTTTGCTCGAGCAACATCCATTACGTGGTGTGGAGGCTGTTCAGGATGGTAAATGATGGGGAGGTTTAAGCGATGAAGATCCCCTAGAGTCAATGCGAACTTTAAACAGATATCACGCATGTGAGCTACTTCGTACTCGGGCCGGAGATAACTGCATTTATAACATGAACGGCTTAGGGTCGGGAAATAAAGAAAAGGGCCGAAGTCGGTACAGGTCCGGCACCAGGGATGGCAGAACTCAGTGAAAAGCCGACCGATGGAAAAATATGATGCGCACTTGGTAATATCCATCATACGGAGCGTGTCGGAGGCCAAGTCCCTCAACAAAGAGTACGCCGGAAGCGATTCGACTAAACGCCTTCCTCTTGAACTGACTCGACGCAACCTCCCGAGACTGGGTAGATCGAGATTGAGCAAGATTAAGTGGAGGATTTCGAGTGGGAGCCGATCAAACAGAGGTGTATATCTGGGCTTGATTCCGGATTTCTTATGAGGGGGAGCTTTGTATACCATCATCGCGGGCTTGGAATCATCTGGACTGAGGTAGAAATCCAGGGTCTCCCTGCACGGCTTCTCGCACCGATATGCTGTACCTGACGCCATGTGAAACAAACTGTTGTTCGAGTGGCTTGGATAGAATGAACCAGGTGAACATCAAAGAGTAATGCTCTCGTCCCTTCTTTTTTGAAGTTCTCGGCCTCTCTTTCCAGTGCTTGCATCGTGAATACGTTCTCCCAGGGGCGGTACCAAGACTCTTGGCCGGAGGGAGGTGGTGCCTTGGTCGAATGAAAGGGGAGCTACAGCATCAATTGATTCCATCGATCCTATGATGGTGTAAGCACACATTTCTGTACCGTGATCGGTACTAAATAAATACGATCTGGGCTAAAGGATCATCAATATCATCCGCTTCCTCTGCTTCCTCCTCCTGCTCCTCCTGTTGTTTCTCTTCCCCTTCCTCCTCCTGCTGGTTGCCCTCAGCGCCCCCGCCGCCGTGGCCACCTCCAACTGGCCAGTATGGCCCGTTCGGATGGTCATATACCACCGTTGCCCTCCTTGCCACAAGATGGTCAGGGCAGTAGCAGCCCACTGGCCGGGGCTCAGGTGGGCCAGCGCGAACACACTTGGAGTTTGAACCTTGTCTATCTTCACATTGGATAAATGGACCGTGATGCTTGCAGCCGCACGAATATTGCTCCTCGATATAGTGGCACCTTCAACCCATAAGACAGCATCCAGTGATGATGGCCTTTGTCCTACTTACATAGCGGATTGTATCTGGAAGCTTAGTGGCTGTTCTGGATTATTAGTTTCAACTTAGAACGCAATGGGCATGCAGCTTACGAAGCTTGTTGTAGTAGAAAGCTTTACTCGCCAAGCTCAAGCGAAACGAGAATGGATGTGGAGGATGGTAGTTATGTCGCATACCACAAACTGGAGCTACTCCTATACTTATACAAGCCTTCCTGCTGTCTTGCACCTTCCTTCTTCTGTGGGATGCAAAGGGTTGACCGTAAGAGGCAGGGGCGTGTTCGGGTGCCGCGAACAAGAACACTGCCGTCAGACGCTGATGAACGAAATGAAGTGCACTCAAAATTAAAGAAGCATTCGACACATATGTACAACTAAAGTTAACCATAAAAGGAAGGTAGGCCCTAGTATCCGATTGACCCCGTGGTTGACGTTGATTCCGCAGTGCCTTACGCAGTGGCGCCGGAGATCTTGAGGGTGTAGTCCAGCCCTTGCTGCACCTCCTCGGTGAGCTTGAAGGCATCATACTGGTAGAGTCTCTTGGGAGTGTTGGCAATCACGACGCTGGCTTCTTCATTCCTGGCAACCACAGCCGAGCCCGACCCATTCTCGAGCGCGACATACCGAACAGCGCCTGTGTTGGTGTTACGGATAGCCAGCGTTGCAGTGAATACTCCGCTGGCGGTAATGCTCACTTGAACGTTGCCAGCTCCGGTATTGCGGAGGGGGATGATGTTGGCACCCATATACTGAGGCTTGCGAGAAGACTGGACCACATAGGTACCATCGCCTTGGGAATCAGTATTCGCGTAGTTGAGGTCGCTCCTTTGGCTGAGGAATGCTTTCTGAGCAATTGTGTGGCCGATGTCCACATAAGCCATGCGAGCCCAATAGCGACCGACAATCTCCTGCACGGATGCAGACGCCGAAACGCGCGCAAGGGTATGGAGAGGCGTCTCATTGCTGCCCTTCTCATATTGCTGGAACAGCTGGCGAACCACATCGCTGCCCAGGGCCTCATAGTTGTCCGGGTTGTTAGTCAAATATGTCAAGAACGGCCACGCCTGGTAGTAGTTCCCACTCCCCGTTGAGCCATCCACGATGACCTGGAAGGAATCTCCGATCACTTTGTTCAGCTCGATCATGGTATCACCGGTCTGTTGGTTGTAGTTGGACCGTGCCTTCGCACATAGTGGAGAGGTGATGAATGTATCCGCCACCCAATTGGCGACCGTTTCCCACCATGCACCTGTCGCAGTCTGGTCCACCCAGGTCCGACTGTGATAGGTGAGGGCATGTCCATACTCATGGACGGTGACTCTCGGATCTGCGAGGGAAGATGGAATCACCTCCAACCAGCTGAGACCGGTGCTGGGGTCAGACTTCAGCACGCCTGCGGCACCGCCCAGATCATTTACTTCGTAGACATTTTCCTTCCACAGGGTCGTCACTGTGTTGGGGTCCGCGTTATATGGGATCCCCGAGGTCGTCCACCCGAGGTCACCGACATAGCAACTATAGGCAGCTTCCAGCATGGTTAAAACCCCGTCCGCATTGCTCTGGTCCGACGAATAGAGGCGAAAATGGTCGGAGTCCTTGTAGCTCGCTCCGCCGGGGCCAACATTCGGATTAGCCGTGAATGATATTGGCTGAGCACCGGAAGTAGCTTGCGGGGCTGGTACTGCAGAGGCCTGAATTGCCGACAACAGAAGGATAGGAATGATCTGTTTCTTGGACGCCATGGTGGTCGAATGGAAGGTGATGATTGCTTGTTGCACCCTTCATCTGGGGGCCCCGGTCACCGTTTATTTATACTTATCCCGGTATTTCGAAACACAGGACCCCTTAGCGCCAAGAAGGGCTTGGAGCGACTAGGGCACTTGTCAGTCATCTGCTTGAGGGACTAACATGAATATGAGACATTTTCAGACAACCAGTCCTGTCGTGCTCCTCCACTGCAATACCTGAGGCCGGATCTACGATGTGAAGCCTCTTGGCTCAGGAGAAATAATTAAACCAGGTTTGAGCCAGGCATTGGGAGCATGACGATCAGGTGATGGAGGAATGGCCCCGGCGATGTGATATCCATTGCTCTCTTGAGTCATGACAGGGCCCACCACCTAGTAAACCTCGTTGTGGAGTTGAACCTAAAGCGTAAGTTTTGATCAGGCCTCAAGGAACTTGTGGGGGGAACGGAACATGGCATGGGAGAGCTTACCGAAGGCTTGAGCCTGGAGAGTATGAGCAGGTCCCAATCAACAGATATGAAACGGAAAAAGGGGGAGATTATGGGGATCATCCTCCGTCTCAATCTGAAATCCCCCCCGACTCCCGTGGTTTCAGATCTATCTGGTTCGGAGCATCTTCGGCATTACCACTTCCTGGTCACAGTTCAGCCTTATCCATGAAGCCAAGAGTTGTACTACTACCCAGCACCCCAGTAGACGCTGCCTGAACATGGGGACATTGCCCCGGCTATGTTAGGATCCATATGCCGACCAGAATTCAAACCTGATCGCCCGGAGAAGGTAGCTAGCGGAAGGGAAGGCTCCCCAGCTAGGAACAGATATGCGGAGCGTATGGACCGAGTGGTTATCTGAGGACTTCCTGTCATTTGATTTGTGAATTTTTTTTTTTTTCAATCTTGGTACTGCTCTGAGAAGCAGACTGGGGTGCTTCTGAGGAATGCACTGGGCAGAATTATTCACTAGGGCTGACATTGGGAGTTGAATGGCTGGGAAAAGAACCCTACCCGACGCAATCCGGTACGAGCCGCGATGATCACTGCACAACGTAAGGCGTAGTGCATATTCGACTAATAATACTCTTGGTTACTCGGGTCTTATGCATGGCGTGCGTTGCTCTTGGCCTTTACCCCGCGATGGCCTTCACTTGCATTCACGCCCGATCAGTGGATGATGCCTGTTGATTGTCGCTCCACCGGCCCTTGCAAGCGCAAGACACAAAGCCCTACTTTCAAGTCTTCGTATTCTACGATCATATCCAATGCTTCCACCAAGTAAAGGTGATTCTGAGATTGAGAGAGTCAATCATGTTGAGAAACAAGATGGGGACATTCTTGCGCCAGTAAAGCCCACTCCGGAACACAAGAATGTCGGAACCTTGCAACGTCGTCTGAAATCCCGCCATGTCCAATTCCTAGCGCTCTCTGGCGCTATTGGAACGGGTCTGTTTGTCGGCACGGGCCAAGTGCTCTCGCTGTCAGGACCACTGTCGATGACCCTGGCGTTTGCTCTTGGCGGCTTGGATCTCTACGCCGTGATTAACAGCATGGGAGAGATGGCCACTTGGCTGCCTCTGCCAGGTGCTGTCCCTATCTACGCGGCGAGATTCGTGGATGAAGCCCTTGGTTTTGCACTGGGCTGGAACTATTGGTATCAGTTTGCCATTGGCGTGCCCATTGAAATCAGTGCTGCCGCGATGGTCATTGAATACTGGCCTAACTCCGTATCGCCGGCGGTCTGGATCACGATTCTTTTTGTACCCATGGTAGTGGTCAATAGCCTGCCCGTCCGGACCTACGGCGAGGTAGAGTTCATTCTGGGGGCGATCAAGCTGACGACAATTGTCGGCCTGATGTTGCTCATGTTAATCATCACGCTCGGCGGCGCACCTACCCACGATCGGATCGGATTTCGGTATTGGAACCACCCCATGGAGGAGTATCTCAAGACCGGTGCGCTGGGACGCTTCCTGGCCTTCCTCAAGGTGTTTGTCCAAGCGATCTTCAGCTACGGTGGAAGCGAGATCGTCGTGGTGGCCGCGGGAGAAACGGAAAACCCACGACGAAATATCCCCAAGGCGGTGCGTCGCGTGTTCTGGCGCATTACCATATTCTATGTTGGCAGTGTGTTCCTCGTGGGCATGTGTGTCTCTGCGCGCGACAACCGCTTGCTGAACGCCATAAAAGCCGGTGCGAAGGGGGCAGGAGCCAGCCCTTTCGTGATCGCCATTCAAAACGGTGGGATTCGAACACTGCCGTCGATCATCAATGCGGTCATTCTGTCCTCGGCTGTGTCGGCCGGCAATTCCTTCTTTTACGCCTCGACACGGGTCCTTTACTCGACGGCGCTCGATGGCAAGGCACCGCGGTTCCTTCGATATGAAAAGTTCGGGGTCCCGTATGCCTGTGTCGCCATCACCACCGCACTGAGTCTCCTTGTGTATCTCAATGTGTCATCGAGCTCCGCTGAGGTCTTCTTTTGGATCAGTAACCTGAGCTCCGTCAGTACCTTGGTTGTGTGGACTGCCATTGGGGTAACGTACCTCCGTTTCCACCAGGCGTTGAAATATCATGGCGTTGCTCGGTCCAGCCTCCCGTATAAATCGCCACTCCAGCCGTATCTGGCGTATTTTTCAGTCATCTTCTCCTCTGTTATGGCACTTCTGAACGGATTTGATGCCTTCTTCCCTGGTCACTTCAGTGCAAAGACCTTCATCCCACCCTATATCGCTATCCCCATCTTTGGAACCCTATACCTCGGCTACAAGTTTGTCAAAGGCACCTCAATCGTCAATATAGAAGAAATCGATCTGTGGTCAGGGAAAGAGGAAGCCGACCGTCTGGAGGCGATCTGGGAGCAACCGAAGCCACGAAATTTCCTCGGTATGGCCAATTCCTGCAAGTATGTGACCTGACTCACGCTAACATGGAGTAGAAAGAATCTGGTTCTGGATCGCATGACGCGACGCAGTTCTTTTACGTGTTCAATTTGTCCTTCCTATGTGGCCTTGTGGCGAGCTGTCATGGATCCAGCTTTAGCCATCTTAACTTCACTTGGAGCGGCCACCAATTGTGTTTCATATTTCGACTGGTCGATGGTTTCACAATACTTTCTGTAACTGGACCCAAAGTTCTACTACGTTCAATCGATTATAACTTGCGACGTATGAAGCAAGCAAGGGTATATCTGGCAACAGAACCTGGGCCCAGGTAGAGAGTCGGAAGCGCGCGTCCGACTAGACTTTACTTGTGTAGGAAAGCTGAGCACGCGAAAATTCACTGTATAATCGACGTACGCATATACAATTCAATAACCCTTTCATACTGGTGCTTCTGGCCCATATGTTCTCCGCCGTGATATCATACCGGTTACCGGTGCCCTTACTATATCTCATATACCCGCTCCCCTAAACCGACGGCAGTTTTTAATTGACTGATGGTCAGGTCAACCAAATTATCTCGAGTGTACTCTGTGAATAGCTTTCACTGACATCATCGACACTCCTACTGGTCGCTCGTACTGTGGACATGCTTGGACTTCGATGTGGGGGACAGGTTTGACGCGTGATGCTGAATACACCATCGGAGATGATCAGCCACCTTCCAGTAGACATCCTCGACCGCCGATTTGCCCACAATGGTGTCCAAATGTCCGTACCCCTCAACCTGGAACCTGCGGTACAGATGCTCTCCGAACCGGCGTCGGAGCATCTCGTAGTCTCGCAGGGTTGACTCCGGATCGAATACCTCATTCGCAGTTCCGGTCATGAACAGCACTGGCAATCCCTGTAGATACAGTAGATTTTCTGACGTGACAAGTGGGCGCAATTGGTTATCCAAGCATCCACCACGAGTGCCCATGCGAGTAATATGCTCCAGAATCTTGGTGTGAGTACCTGAGAAGAACTGGCCGATATTTTCATGGATGCGGGCATCCAAGTTATCATGATTCCAACAGAGCCCGAAGGCGAACGATGTCCTATGACATACAGTCGAGGTGCAGAGATCTCGACGTCGACGGACAGGATAGAAGCGGAGAACGGCATCGAGCACCCTTTGGACAAGACGGTTGTCGTGACTCTTGCCAATTGGAAAGAAGCTCCCCGCGAGGGACTCGTAAAGACGGATCAAGACTGGCGTGGCAGCCTTGACGGAGTTCCAGTAAGCGAATATTTGGTGAATGAAAACCGAGTTCGCCGTGACACCGAGCAATTGAGTCGGGTCAATGGTCCCATCCAACAGCCCCATTGCGAGGGCGACAGACCCTTGACAGTGAGCCACCACGTAAGCCTTTTGCTCCTCCCGACTAGAAATGTGTTGCAATGCTGCTGCAACGTCTAAGCGGCAGTCATACACGGTACATTTCGCTGCGATGTTGTTATCGCAGCCCCATCGTGGTGTCAATACGTAACACCGAGAACCGCGCGCCGTGAAATACTCAACCATATTGCAACGCTGGAAAGGAAGGGCGAAGATGCTATGTCTCGCGCCAACACCGGTGACTCCAGGTAAGAACAGGACTGGGGGATTGCCCAGGTTCTCGTCTATGTATCCTTCCTCGGTGACCGCCAAGGGCTCATATACCTGAAGAAGGACCGTGGTACCATCTTGAGCTTTCACTTCAAGCTCGGTCGAGGGTATTCGTTTTGGTGCGAGGGAATTGCGAGCATAATTCCCAGGCTGCTGCATAGGAACGAAGGGGCGAAAGAAAAACACGCTTAGCTGGAGGGCAAAATATAGTAAAAAGACGAGCAATGAAAAGAGAACGCCTAAACCAAATGGCTCTGTCGTACGAAATGTCTTTATCTGCTGTTGAAACGAGGGCCAGGATATGCGAAGGACTCCCATTCCTACCTTCATCGAGTCGTCTCGAGTGATGCGAATATGGATCGCAGTTGTCGCCTTCCACAGCTCACGAGGTGAGCATGATACAGTTGAGTCAATAGCTTTGTACCCCTCAAGATGAAAGATCGTACCCTCCACTGAAAGTAAACGTAGCGAATATACCATAGTTGTTACCTCTACGCTTGTCTCTGCCTGATCAAAGAACCGCACTCTGCCTTCTGTAACCCTCATCGTCCCGGTCGACAGCGCACAGCAGGACACGGTACCAGTGCAAATACCCTCGTACTCAAGCTTGTCAGGGCTGAGTATGGTAGGCCTCTTACCAGTAACAGATGTCCTGGCGGTCGTGCTTCTTTTTCGACAAATTTCGATGGTAAGGAATATCCGCATCGCGGATGACGCGCTTTGCCCCAAAGCCTCAGACACCGCAAAGTCCACATTCTTTCGCTGCGTGCTGATGTATCCAACTAATAGCTCCGTGAACTGCCATCCAATTGAGCGGGACTGTTCACGTATATCTGTATGATCTTCAGGGTTATCCTGATCATGGCTTAATACGCTTGGTTCGGAGCTGGCATCTAGACTTCCGTTCATACTCGACATATTGATACGATACCTATAGCTTTTAGCAAGGTGATCAAGTGATCGTTCGGCGAGCGCCGTTATGGTCGCAAGAGGGTTAACACCCAAAGATGTCGGAACAACCGATGCATCGCAGCACACAAGACCATGGTGGACCGCACTTCCATGGCCCATGAACACTTGTCCGATATGATTTGTGACTCCCTCGCGCCCTGTGCCATCTCTGCTCATATTAGCACCCCCAAGAGGATGAACTGTGACTTCATCTTTATAAAGGCCTACAACATATCTTAGCAGAGGCCTTAAATCGGGGAACACGTACTCACCGTAGAAATATGAAAATCCCATTGTTGCTCCTGTGCGACTCACCATGTCGTGCAGGATATTCAATATACCAGCGCAATTCTCGGAGCGGCCTTCCGCAGGCCCTCGAAAGCATGGCTTGTCATTCATCAAGATCATGGTCAATTCATTGCTGTCGTGAGACATGACCAGGTATGTCGCTGTGTGCTGGATTGCACCCCCTAGTGTTCTGGGTCCCAGGATAAGGGACTTGATACCGGAGACGGCCTTACGCCACTGTTGTACGGGACTGTAAAATATCGGTAAAGTACAATCTCTGAGGCTTTGCAGTGTAAGCATAACTTGGATGACTGGCAAAAAGGGCGCTGGAATACAGCCATCCTCAATGACATAGCCTGCTAAGGTCTCCGTCAACGAATTAGTTTCTCGATTATCAATCACTCCAGTGATCAATGGACCGGGTCCGTTTCCCGTTTCCGAGGTCTTTCCTGAGATGCCTTTGATTTCTTCATTCCCGTTGTACCCTAGTCTGTTGTATCAGCCAGATAGTACCGATATGGGTCACCGCAGCTCACCAAAGACCAACATATCTCCATTGCTGGACAGGTTTCTGCCGACCATCGGAGAAGTTGGCAAGCCGTACTTCCGTGAGCGAAGCAGGATCTCTGTTGTGCCCAACGACCCAGCCCCAAGAAAGCATAGATCGTTCTGTGTCCGATATAAACAACATTAATCATTGATGTGACAGACCCTGCATCGACAGAGCACATACAGCCTTTACCCAGAACAGTTGAGTCTTGAAGTCCTCCTTAAATACTGATCGTCCGCTTCCATGCCAGGCAAAGTAGACCACGTATCCGCGGCCATCGGGCGCTTGTTCAACGTACCGCACCTCACAGCCGCAGAAGATCTCCGCGCCCCAGTACCAGGCATCTGTCAGATACGTGGTGACAACCGAGTGCTTGGATCCATCGTTCAGACCGGTGCATTCATTGCCCGATCCAGTGTTTGGCTGTATCGTGATGCCCGCGTTGTTGCGACCGTGCTGAAAGGATGTTGTCAGCGGCACTCGGTAGAAATTCCGCTCTTTGCCGAGATACGCAGCTTGCTTGCGTAGATGCTCCAATTTTGCTAGGGGAGGATGGTCGGCCGGATACACCGATGGTTGCAGCATGTCTGCTGCACGCGAGTAGTCTAATTGACTCAGTTTCAAAGAATGGTCCGGTGATGGAATACACGGGTCGCATACACATCTGAAGCCCGGAGGGGTCATCCTTTATTTCTGGTGGCCATGAACTCAACTGCAATGTGCCCTGGTCCGCCTCAAGGAAGACTCCGGCATTTACAAGCGAGCAACCACCAAGCCCTGTCGGGCGTGAAATGAACGGTCAACATCGAACACTCACACCGAGGGATATCTAGGTACGCTGAGCCCTAGGAACCATACAGTACCAACATACCATGAGTGACGAAAGCGTGTTGTCCGTCGCCAAGGATCAATTGAAATAGTCGAGTAGCCTTGCCTGCAAGCGGCCAACTTGAACTCCCAGAAATGTTGAGCTCTTTCAGACACTGCGTTGAAGTATATGGGTATGCGCCAGCTACGAGACAGTTCTAGTCATCGCATCGGACTCGGACCACACGTTGGAGAATATCACTCGGAGAGAGCACTTACGTCGCCACTCCCAGCCCAGTTCCAGCACTGCGACGCTCTTTCCCGCTCGTGCCATTCGACTGGCTGCAACACCCGCTCCATAACCAGAGCCAACGACGACAACATCGTAGGCTGCCTTCATGGACTGAAAAGGGCGACTCAACCGAGGGTAATCGTCGGGTCTTGCCTCGTTATCGTCGGCCATGGTAGTTGTCTTGCTGATATAGGGGGAGATGCTGAGCGTGAGAACGTTGGAGGGCAACAGGGGGTGATTGATTTATTATATGTTGAAGCCATGGAAGCTCACCAGATGCTTTCAGCCACGCTGTACCGAAACCTAAATCGAGGCCACGAAGGTTACTCATTTGCTCGGGCATGTAAGCCGGCTGAGGTGAGGACTCGACTGCATGCAGGCATCCAATGGCCGAGTGACAACGATGTATCCCTTTCTCTACCAATCGCTCACTGGGTAAGATCTAGATCTTTAAACTTCCAGATCGGAGAGACAGTATCCTCGTGGTCTCGCCGTATTGACATGCCACCACTTGTCCATGCAGCTAAACAGGTTGAGCTGGTGATCTGACCCGACCGATTGAGAAAGATGGTTTATACTATCTCTGACCATCATTTGTGTAGTCAGTGGAAGATAGCCGATCACGGGTATGTATTTTACCGCTGTACGTTACGGACCGTTACATTCGCCTCGTCACCGGTATTACCAGCCATTGGGAAATTTATGCTTTCCCAGGGCGTGTTGGGGATCCAGAGGCGCTTTTCCCATTCTATTTGGTTGGGTGTGACAATATATATAGAGAGCTTCTGCGCCTGCAAGATCATTCGATCGGAATATCACCCCATTTCGCAATCCCAATCCTTATATGAGGTGAATCGGTGCCCTAACAGGGGGATGCCTATACCGTCCCGGGCTTAGCCAAATGTCCCTCTGTCCAGTTTACTCGTCATCGCAGCAGGTCCAGCAGCCCTACAGCGCAGGTATAAGTCAAATGTGGGTCGTTTGTAATGATCAATCAGGCCATCATAGTCAGAACATACGTTAGAAAGCTGGGCTTGCTCGGTACCAGGAGGGCACGAGTAGTCCCAGATCTACAGTGGGGGTACATCGTTTCCTTCTACGGATCTTGCCAGGACCCTCCCTTATGGCGGTGTCGTCGGCGACCTTGTTTGTCGCAGATCCATACTAAAAGCGATGATATAAAGGCTGTGATAACGATTGATTCGCGCCTATGGCACTATCTAGTGAGTAACACTGATGGAAGCCAGATCCTGGAATAGGTAATCGACATAGAGGCTTGGTAACCATCATGGAATCCACAGTGAGAAGAGGATATACATGAGCGGCCCCTGGGGAAGCTCTTTGGGGTAAAAAAAAATAGGTATCCGACAAGAAGGATTTAGAAAGGTTGTGAAATTATCAAATTATGGTCAGTCTGCAGACATCCCCCGAGGACCTGGCTAAAACAATATATATACACTCTAGCAGGCATCAGAAGGCACCTTATCGCTGCCCACCCGACGCGATGCATGATATTCAGCGCCTTCACCCAAGCCACGCTTCGCAAACGCTTTCCAAATCTCGCACTTGTTAGCACCATCGGTAAGAGCCTTATCGGCATCGAGGATGGCATCGCGCGCCTGGACACAGTTGGGGTTGCAAGGTTGCCTAAATGCCACGATTAGCCGGGGTGAGAGGGAGACGAGGGACGAGACGGGGTTGTCACTTACAATGCCATGCCATCAACCACGAGCTTCATGGCGAGATACTTGCCGTCAGTCGGCACTCCGTCCTTGAACTCCGGCTTGGGTCCGTCGTTCTTGCCGTGTTTATCAATCAAGTTCCACAGCAGCTCGTACAACACGGTAGCCCACACGGTGCCGATCGCATGCACTTCGTCCAACTCATTGAGACTCACGTAGGTCAGAGGATTGGTCTCCAGGGAGGTGGAGAACGGGTAAGCACGGATGCCGCCTTTCTTGTTTGCAGCCCATTCGCCCATGGTATAATCGGTCGAGTGAGTATCGCCGGACTTCAGCCGAATGGCCGTGGCCATGAAGTCTCCCCAGCCCTCGCCCATTCCACCGGATTCAAGAGCATTCAAGCAGCGGGCGTAGCGGGTCCGCCAGTAAGCCGGTTCGAGACTGTGTGCCGCGTGGTTAGTGGAGACAGTCTTATCTTGGGGGTCAAAAGGGGATACATACGACCGTGAGTATACTCGTGAATCACGATACCTGCCTCAAAGGAGCCGTCCCGATAAGGCTGGGACTCCGTCCAGATGTACATGCGCATGCGGCCGGGCTGTCCATCCGGGGGCGTCGCGAAGTTGGCGTTATTCGTGCCAGAGCCGTCCTGAGCATTCAGGATCACGTAGTCGTTTCCAGCGCCGCCTTTACCGTTGTTGTCGTACTGGAAGTTACCAGCCTCCTCGTTGAAGCCCAGGGTGTAGAGAAGGTCGTGGTACGTGTTGGCAGTGTAGAACAGCTGCGTGATAGACGCATCGATATAGGACTCCGGGGGTGTCGCATTGAGCGAAAATGGGTACTGGAATTTCAGATCGGGGCTATCGGGCCGATAGTTGTTCAGGTACTGAGAGCCACCAGTCGGGTTCGACTGCGCAATACCATTATTCCCGCGCGTAGTCGTATAGTTCTTGTCTCCGTCACTGATCCAGGTGAATGCAGATGCGGACGAATCCCATGGGTCGCTGATGACGGTACGAGCACCCTCTGTTGGATCGTTCAGGCCCCATGCACTGAGGGTATGTGTCAGAGTTGATTCAACCGTTGAAGGATCATGGCGAGAAGACTCACTATACTTGGTAGTCCGCTTCGGCGACGTAGTCAACCACACCATGGACATCTTTGCCGGTATTGGCATCAATGTAGGTCAACAGCCAATTGCTGTCAATATCGGTCTCGACCCTCCAGGTCAAAGCAAGGCTGCCATCTTCCTTGAGCAGATAGACTAGCTGAGCCTTGGGCTCTGACACGGTGCCGGAGACTCCCTTGAAATTAAACGACTCTTTGTCTTCCGTAGCCTCCGTGGAGACTTGATCCAGAGTGATCGAAAGCTGCAGAGCTTCGGAGGTTCCCCTGAGCGCTGCTACAGGATCGGTGTAATCCCGCTTCGTCAAAGGGTTGGCCTCGGGAATCTTGCCTGTATAGAAGGAGTGGCCATAGGAAAAGATCTTCCCATTTTTCCCAACCTAGATGATGCGGTTAGCAGGGAATAGACGATGGCGGAACTGTGACATACATTGACATTGAAGTCCGCATTGTCAATGTCAAGGCCATGGGCCGTTTGACGAAAGTTAACGTGAGCGACCCCATTGCTCCCAATATAATGGTCCTTGACAACACGGAAGGTGGCGTCCGGCAGGATATTCTTCACGAGCTGGGTCGCCGTCTCCACGTAGCTCTGCTCGGCGAATGGAGAGAAAGAGGATGACACATCATTGGAGGAATCGATCGAGTTGATATACTTTGCTACTTGGTGCAGACGGAATGAATTCAGGTCAACTGTGCGACGTTGAAGTCCTTGTGCATGATGAGTAGGATGCGCGATGGCGGCCAAAGGTAGGCCAAGGGCTCCAGCCAGTAGAAGACCCCGCATGATGAACGGCGAGAAACGTTGGACTCAATGCAAATGAAGAGAGGATGGTCTGTAGAATGATTCTGCCATGAATGCTGCGACGCTCGGGTGTTATTTATACCAGTTCACTGGGGAGATCTCGACGCGCTGGGCCAACGTAAAGAAGCATTTCGTCTTGGCCCGAGACAGGCCGGTGCTAGACATATTGCGACGCATCCATCATTCTGGGGAAAAGGCAATCAGCTGCGCGTTCAGGCTCCTGCAATATCCGACAAACTTCATCTCTAGCTGCGTGAGGTTACCTTCCTGCACCGCATGGTGGAGCAGTCACCCAGGGTCAGACCACTCCGTGCAGAGTATGAGAGAAATGTCCAGGGCCGTTGAATCATACTCCTTTCCTTCGAGCCATTGCGACATTGCATTGAAGAAACCACTCCGTCGGCGTTCCGATTGATCTATTCAGGGTCTTCCCAAACGGGGTAAGTTGCTAAGACTTTAGATTGCTCTTAATACCACTTTAGCGCCAATCCTGCGATGCGGGAAATGAATGCCGAGACTTTTATGCAAGTACCCAATGGTGGAGGGCCGATGATTCCTCACAATCATCTTGGCGTTCTCTTGGGTTACATGCAGGTACAAACCTCGGCGGCGCTTATCAACGTCCAAATTGTGAGTCCCCAGGGCAGAGGACAGGGCCACAGACCACTTCACCCCACTCTCTGTGAACTCCCCTCGCATTCCCACCCCATCAATGGTCAGGGGAGTCCTGCTCCGCATGTTTCAGGCACCGTGCCAAGCCCGATAACCATGCACTGTGCCGAAGCCGGCATGACCTCATGCACAAGCGTATACAACAGAAGCCTATCACGGCGGGTGTGCACACGTGAGAGTTGTCTGGTCTAGTTTACCTATCACGATACCCCCCGAGGAGAGGGGAATTGCCGAAGTATGGTAAGTATCCTGGAAAAGCATGCCATACAAGAAGTGGATCCCAGTCAGGGGCTACACATTATGCATGTCCAGCCGCGGCGGAGACCGGATCCTCCCCGACCTGGGCTTAATACCCACCCATATAGGGCACTCTCCCAAATGAAGTCAAACAGAGTAAGACATTTCTTGACGTACACGCAGTCCACCCCGCCATGTCCAGTAGCTTTAACGGTGACAGGTGTTATTTGAAAGGAAGCGGCGTTCGATTCTGCCCTTCAACTAGAGGTACACTATATGAGGTGCCAGAGCACTGCTATCTATCGTAATCATGTATATGTACACCAGCATCAAAAAGAAACACGAAAGGTGAAACCAAGAGAGAGAAGATGGAAACAATAGAGACGCCAGAAGCCACCGGATCTAAAGCCTCAAGGGAGTCCTCTCCGAACTCCGGTCCTTATCCCAATATAACTCCGCAAACGCTCCGCCTCTCTCGAGCAGGGCCGCCGGCGGACCTTGCTCCTCAACGTGCCCGGCATCAACAACAATAATCTCGTCAAAATCTACAATGGTTTCCAGTCGATGTGCAATGGCGATGACAGTATGATCGGCAAATTCACTCCGGATGAGCGACTGGATGAGGTCATCCGTTTTGGTGTCGATGCTAAAGGACGGCCAGGTTAACAATCACATCGGAAAAGAAAAGAAAAGAAAATAACAGTATGGGGCCACGGACCTGCTCGTCGCTTCATCAAGAACTAGAATCTTCCCTTCTGGCCGTACCATAGCGCGGGCGAAGCAAAGGAGTTGCTTCTGACCCGGGGAGAATGTATCAGGCGTAATCGTAGCATCTAAGCCACCGAGCTCTCGGACCACATCCCAGAGTTGGACCTTCTTCAACGCATCAATGAGAATGTCATCGTGGATTGAAATACCGGGGTCCACGTTGAGGCGAACCGAACAGCCCGGTAGGAGGAAGGGCTCCTGGGGGATACAATTCAGCTGGGCGCGCAGGTGGTTGCGAGCCAGCAGGGAGATGTCGAGCCCGTCGATGTTGATCGTGCCGCTGGTCAGTTCAATCAGGCGGAAGAGGGACGATACGAGCGAGGATTTTCCACTGTGATGTATTGTTAGTCTTGATCAGATGAAGGGCCTCTATGGAGGAGCAAAGGACGATAACGAACCTTCCGGAGCGACCGCAGATGCCAACCTTGGTACCTGGCTTAATTGATAAAGAAATATGATCAAGCGCACGGGTCGAGGAGTTCCTATCGCCACGGGATGTTAGTCGAGGCACGAACTGAACAGGGCGACAAGACATAAGAGTCATACTTGTAGGAAGCCACCACATTGCTAAACTCGATTGCTCCCCTGGCAGGCCAATCTGGCGGAGGCACAGCTGTCTCGTCTTCCAGGTGCTCCGACTCAATAGTCGACTTGAAGTTGCGAATTCGTGCCACTGCCCCAATGGATGTCTCCAAAACAGTCCATTGCTTGATCAGACCCTGCAGATTCTCGGTAAAGGTGACGATATTCAGCAGTGCCAATCCAATGAAGCTGGCGCTTACTTTGCCGCGCGTCGCGACGGCGATGGAAACGAGGACGACGGCAAACCCGGCCACCATCAGGGCAATGACCAGTTCGAGCCAGCGCTGAATGGCGAAGAGCAGATAGAAGGGCTTCTGGGAGTCGTTGAGCAATTGGCTGTTGCGTCGGCGGTAATGGTGCTCCCACTTGTAGCTCCGGATGGTGGACAGGCCACTGAGACTTTCCAGGAAGTGAGAGACTAGCGGGGCTTTGGCTTCGATATCTAAATATCGGATCTGGCGTGAGGTGCGCAGGTAAAACCGTTGGGTGAAATAAAAGGCGACGATACAAGCGGGTATGGTGGCAGCGATGTATCCCGTTGCAGTGCAGATAACCACCATTTGGGCCACACAGGTGAAGAAGGTGAGGATGGTATTCAGGACAGAAAGCGGGAGCTCCATGTCGATCAGCTGCAGGTCTTGACTGAATCTAGGGCAGAGGTCAGCACGCGTTCCCGTTCACGATGTATCTGCCTTCGCTGCTACTCACCGGTTCGTCGTGTTGCCTAGATCGGTGGTCTGGAAGAATGACATGGGGGCACTGAAGAGTTAGCCAAGGGAAGACAGGGCCAGTGGAGAGGACGTACTCTAGAACACTTTTCAAGAGCTCAGCGTGCATATTTCTGGCACCCCGGGCCACCAGATTCGCCATTAGATGCCTAGTGGAGGATCAGCATGAGGGAGATGCTAAATAGAAGACATACGATCCGGATCTGAGAACTCACCAGCAGGAAGTGACCAGTGTGGAAGTGGCCATCACCGCGATAAACGCATAGATCCCGAGCCAATACCCCAGTCTCTCGTTGGGATGATCGATATTTGAATTTGCCCACTTCTCCACCCAGAGGGCTAAAGTCGTCAGCAATCACTGATGGTCACTTGTGCGAGTATACTTACAAGGGTATGTAATGGTAACCACATAGGCCATGATCAAAAGAACAAACACCGCGGACCGGAACACTCCCAGAACTTGGGCATAGTACCAATAGATGGACATATCACCCGTGCGTCGCCCATCCTCCTGCGGTGTTGGTTCTAATTGTACTTCTGGGCTGGCTAACGAGAGCCGATGTTGAGAGAGCCGATTCTGCGAGAGACGGTTTGGCACGAATTGGCTTTGGCCGAACTGATTCTGAGAGACTGATCATGTGAGATCTGTTGGGAAAACCGCTGGGAGAAAGGTTGAGAAAATTGCTGAGAGAATCGCTGAGAGAATCTCTGGGAGAATCGCTGCGAGAACCGATTTTGAGACAGTCGGTTTCGGGGCCTGGGTCTTGGGATAGGGATCTCGGGGGCCTCCAGGTGAACGGTTGCCTTCCGTTTCGGCAAGGCAGCCAGACTACGGATATAGCTGTCGGCTCGAGAATGGAGCTCTTTGTATGTTCCCTGTTCCATGATGTTGCCTGATGGGCCCATGGCGATGATATGGTCCGCAACAGAGAGGCGGGAGGCTGGCACATGGTTAGAATGGGGTGAAGATTCCAAAGGATATCGGGGCAATACGTACGGCTGTTCGTCGTCAGGATCACTGTCGTACCCAGCTTCCGTAATAGACCCCCTGGGGCCAACAGGGCATGGAAGACCGCATCCTCCGTGGTGCGGTCCAGTCCGCTGAAGACGTCGTCGAGGATAATCGTCTCTGCTCTGGAGTATACAGCCCGGGCCAGAGCCTTTTATAATGCACTGGGTCAGCATATGACTGTCCATGGAAAGGACAGGAGATCAAAAGTGAACAAAAGGAAACATACCACGCGTTGCTTCTGCCCTCCACTCAGAATAGCGCCTTGAGTCCCTAACATGGTCTTGTCCCTATTCGGCTGTTTGCGGATATCATCATAAAGGGCACATGCATCGATCACGGTATTATACCAACGCAGGTCGAAGAGCGACTCTCCCAAGATATTGTCCTGGATGGTGTTATTCGTCAACCAGGGTGTCTGCGAGCAGTACGCAATCAAGTCGGGATCAGCTTTCAACCCTCCCGAAAACACGGGCGTCTCTCGCAGCAATGCGCGGACAAAGGTGGACTTCCCAGATCCAACGGGCCCGACGACAAACGTCACCGTGCCTCGATGAATCTCAAAACTGAGATCTTGTACCACGGCTGGTTTACTCGCTTCCCAGCCAGCGCTGCGGCCCTCTGCCACAAAGACCGGACCGGTGACTTCGTAGTACAATGGTAGCTTCTCGCGACTGGAGATACTGGGGACCCCCTCCACGACCGACATCCCCTTTCCGTCATAGACGACTCCAATCTCCGTGAGTGCACTAGATAAAACACTGGCAGGGATGCTGATGTTGCTCCGAGTCCCTCGGGGTTCATGTGCGTCGTCCCTTCGTGGGTCCGATTGCAAAAACTCGTTCACTCGTTTAATGGAGCCGATTGCAGTGGCGACTCCCGTTGCAGCTTCGACCAGGTTAGAGATTGGAGTGGCAAGAAGAGTGAATAAGGTGAGCGATGTGAACGCCTTAGTCGCTGTCAGGGTTTCGTCTCCTTTATGCCGTGCGATGAGGGCGTAGATAGTGAACGAGGCCAGCGGAGAAAGTGTGACGTTGCTGTATGCCACGCCGACCACCAGGATCAGGAGTCGACGGAATTTTTCCGACTTGACGACCTCTTCGATACGCATCGTCTGGACGAGGTTGAATAGTTTGTCGGTCAGTCCAGCTGTGCGGACTCCTTTTACTGATCCCAGAACCTTGGCGGTAATATCGACTCGTTTTTCAATGGCCTCGAGCCAGACCTGCTGGCGAGGGCCAGCCAGTGCGGAGATGAGCAATGACAAGGCCATACAGACTACTCAGAATTAGTGCTATGTGAAAAAGTAAGGGAGGAGCACGTGTACATACTAAATACTACGATGATCGGGGCGATGCTGGCGACTCCCAGCTGACGCCATAACAAATACAGCGCAATTGGAATCTCGACAATACAAGCCCAGGCATCGTGAATGTAGTGTAGACCACCCGAAATACGCTCCATATCTGCACTCATCAGAGTGACAGGGGCACTGGTTTCAACGTCGATGTCACGCATGATCATGACATGACCATAGAGCATGTCGACCAGACTGGCCCGTATCATGGAAACCAATCGATATGCCTGATGATGGGCGAAGGCCGTGGAAACCTGGCATAGTCGGTATCAGCTATATATCATCTCCATTTATGGAATGAACAAACTCACCGCGATACCCGTGTAAACTATAGCGAATGCTCCAATCAGTGCGTATCCCTGTGCCTTGGGGTGGGTAAGCTCGTTCGATCCCACCCAGGTTGTGGTTGCTTCCACCAGAAAGGGCTGTGCGAACGTGAAGGCCACCTGCAGCACTCGAGGGAAGACGCCTAACAGGATTGGAACCAAGTAGTATCGGCAGCATGCCCAGAGTAAACTGTGAGGGGAATCCCGGTTGGGTCCTGCAATGATTGCGCTGTCGTTAGCACGAACAAAGCGTGAAGAAGTAGAGCAGGCAAGCTTACCCTTGCTCCATAGGGCATACAGCCCGTCGTCACCGTGCCCCGTAGAGCGAAGTGAGTCCTCGATTGGGGGAAGCAGCTCAACCGTAAGATCTACGCGATTGCCGAGCATTAAGAGCGGGTTGAGCCAGCAGTAGAGACATTCTCCCAGAATCCCCACGGTCGATTCAGGAGGTGCATCTTTGTAGTTTCGTCTCAAGAGGGACCTCTTGGACATCGTTTCGGTAATCAACAACACCACCTTTATGCACAGTGTCACCGTATAGAGGACCGCAATCGAGCGATTCCTCTCCAGGAAGTATAACGTGCGTGTCTCGGCCAAGGACAAAATCGAGGAAAGGAACAGATAACCACAGTTGATGGTAGCGGGCCGGATAGTACAGATATGCTCATAGTGAGAAAGAATACCGAATATGATGGACGCCAGCCAGGAGACGACAGCCGTTGCGATAGTAGCTCGAGTGGTTTGTCCCGACGGCGCCACCCAGAGGCCGACGAGGGTTAGCTGAAGGACGGCCAACAGCGCATATCCACCCTAGCGAGCAAGTCAGTTTGCATACTTTTGTCAGGAGCTCTTTCGCTTCAGGTGCATCGTACTAGCTTTACAAAATACCGATATCCTCCCTGCACCTTTATTGTCTGTTGTCTCAGGTGGTAAATGCGTGGCAAGGCCCAGAAGAGAAAAAAGAGCGTCACCGGTATTGTGAGGACTGTCTCTTCGAAGTACAATGTGAAATCAAAGCCATTTTTGCACTCATGGCTGACAACAGGCCCAAAGGTATCTTCGACAGCAATAGGGCATGTTGCCGCCGCTCTGGAATGAAGCCAGAACGAAGACATGGGGATTGTGAACTAGTGACGTTTGATTTTTTTTTTTTCATCTATGGACGTATCCTCCACATTATGAGATGGAAAGTAGATCATGGTGATCGACTTTTGTTCATCAGCATTTGAAACTTGACGGTTTGAGTCGTGGCGGTGCTCGTGGGTCCGAAATGGCCGTACTTTATATGCACGGTGAGCCGCCGAGCTTAGGGTTTACGACGCCTATTCTATTAATGGCAGTCTACGGAGATCACACTCGCCGAATCGTATTATAAACTCATTCTCCAGGCATATATGACATGCAGGCTCATCAAATATCTACCAGTTCCTTCTAGTTCCTGCCAGATCTGCCCCCCCCACCACCCCCACTCCAGCTCTGACGAAGGACTACTTCAGGCTCCTCTGAAACAATTATGCCACGCGATGAAGACCATCTAATCCGGCCATGTGCGCTGCTAGTGCTAGGCCACGTTTTTGTTTACCTTCCAGGTGCTCCTGCTGATCTTCTTGGCCTCTCATCTTCAGCCCCAAGCCCGACCCTTCAATGCTAGCATCAGCGTAAGCGTCAGCATTGGCATTGACATCAGCATCAGCATCAGCGTTATCACCGTGTTCCAAAAGTTCCAGAAACTGGAGAACTTCGGCTGGTGCTACCGTCTGCCGGCCCTTTTTGAAAACATACTTCGAGATAGCCGACGCAAGCACACCTTCCTCCGAGCCCGCCGTCCCATTTTCATGGTGGCTACCGGGTTTCAGGAAATGGCTAACAATGTATAGCCATTTGTCATCCCAACACAGGACTCGTGACTCGACATCATATCGCTGCCAGGGCTTGATCTCTCTTCGGAAGATACACGACACGCCGCCGAGCACAGGAGTGAGATGTTTTAAGGATCTGGTTTGTTTCCCCCCAACTTTCTGGGCATTTCCGCTGCGAGCCCTTCTCGGTGGTGCAGATAAGGGGGTAATAACGTCCTTGCAGAGCAGTAGTAGTAGTTCGATGCGGCTGATGTCCAGATCGGCGTAGAATGTGCTGTTAGACTTGTGCAGATTGAAGTCGACTTCTGCCAGAGAGCAATAGGATCGGGTCCGGAGGGGACGAAAGAGGGCGGAAGGGCCGTCGCCTGAGGAGGGTTGATTGCGTTTCCAGACAATATGGTTCACGAGGATTGCAATAATTCGAGCCTATTAATTCGTACTCATGCCGTGGTGGTTAACCCAATGCTTCGTTCGAGGTCAAATACGTAAGGGAATGCAGAGTCTATCACTAACATGCCATAATCCAGGAATAGCTTTGGGGTCATAGACGAAAAAGAACAGCAGAATACCGCCCAACGCGGGGAGGAAGGAGTAGACAGACATAGCGAAGATTGCAGACTGAGGAGTAACGGGAGAAGAGTTGTCGCAAAGGAAAGATTGAAAAATGATGGGGGCCACCGGCGATATAAATACAAGCCCCCACCATGGAGCTGAAGGTCTCGCACAGTAAGAATCAAACAGCCCCATCCTTGCCTTTTTGGGCACTAGAGTAGAAGCCCGATTTTTAACGTGAGTTGATCTGATCCTACGTGGGTGTTGTTTGGGAAAGTTCAGTGCGGTAGAGGGTATATTGAAGGAAGCAGGTCTATCGGTACAAAACAACAATCATGGGTACAAAAAATCAAAACACCTTCATCGACTGAATAACAGACTCAATCTTCTCCATTCCACAAGTCCCAGCAGTGCTCATATAGGTTTCCCACTATTGGCTACATTAGCATTGCCCAAACAACCTCATGCGATACGGATCGGCAACTCACCTCGTTCAAGACTCCCATCAGCGCAGCAGACCCAGTCAACTCTCTCACCATCTCGAAGTACTCTTTCGTCAACTGGAACGGTCGTGCCGTCAGGTTGGGAACGTACTTGCCGACCAATCGCTTCGGGTCCAGCGCATGGCGGTCGATCAAGTCCAGCAAGCAGCGTCGGAAGCCAGGCACACCGGGGAGGAGATGTGAGGAATGGAAGGGAATATCGATCCCCTTGAGAGGAATTGTCGCGCAGCCTCGTGTGAGGGCGGTGCCAGTTTGTGTAGTAGCAACTTGGGATTTTACTAGCGAGGTTAGCTGGTCGGGAGACAGGACGCTCGAAGGAAGGAGAGAGGCAGCGGTCGCGTTGATATGATCGAGAACCGATTTGAGGCACTGGAGAGGTTGGATCTAGGGCAGGTTAGCGCGTAGAAAGGAGAGGGCAGGGGTAAGTGAGGCTTGCCTGTCCTGCGCACACATATTGCAACCCTGCAACGTTGAAGTTGACAATCTGCAGCAACTGTCCCGTCTCGGCTGCAATGGTTTGCACCACCAGCTGCAGCGCTGCTTGGTCAAAGCCTAGAGAGTTCCTGTGAGCAATGGCTAACTTCAGCCTGCCAGACACATCAGGACGACGCCTACCTGCGCAGACCCGGCTTGGATCAACCGCACACATCCGGAAATCGGATTGCCCTCGGTCATCGCGCTCCACGGCGAACTGCATCAACAATCCGCGATAGAATACCACTTGCACCAGGCTCTCCACACTGAAAATCTTCCCGACCGCACCGAGGGCTGCATACTCGCCCAGCGAGTGGCCGGCGTACGAGCTCCGCTCCGAGATTAATCCTCTCGCCTGGAGATCTGCAAAGATCGCCAGCTCCATCAGCGTCAAAGCTGGCTGGGTGAACTGCGTGGCCGACAACAGCCCCTGGGGTGCATGGTACGTGTAGAACTCAGTGTCCTCGTCGATCTCGGGGAACAACGGGAGAAGCTGGACGTTGCCATCGGTGCCCACGGATTCTCGCTTCATGCTCATGTATTTCTCGCGGATGTGCCGACCTTGCGGGCCTCCGAAGTACACGGTGAGCTCCTTGGGGTCATTGCGGACGATGTCGGTTATGCGGAAGCCTGACGATGGTTTAGTAAACGCTTACCAGCTAAAGAACACCATATCACAGGGAGGATCAATGGAAACCCACCGTAGTTATCGGAGAAGTAGGTATCAGCGTAATCCCACACTTGCCGTGCCGCCTCGCTCTGGGTATACAGCTGCATTCCCATCCCCTTCTGCTGACTTCCCTGGCCCGTGAACAACAGCGCCGTCTCCTCAGGTTCCACTTCAGCCTCCCCACGCAGCACGGTTTCTCCACGCTGGACATGCTTCGCTTCGACGGAGATGATCTTGCGGCCCGCCAGCATACCCACATGCTGGAAGATAACCTCGATTTCATCGCCCGGGAGCACCATGCTCGTGAACGAGCAATTGAAGCTGCGGAACGCACCGATGGCCGACGCGCAAGTGTAATGCTCGACGAGACCACGGACACGTGCCGACGTGTACATGCCGTGCGTAATCAGCCCCGGTAGATCCGCATACCGCGAGAGGGAGGACGAGACGTGGATGGGATTGAAGTCCCAGGAGACATGGGCGTAAGCCTCGTTCGAGTCCGGCATCCTCATCATGAGTGACGACCCGTCGCCAGTGAGTGGCATCGGGTTGTTAAACATGTGCCGTTTCTTGACTGGGCTGCCATGGCGCTGTAGGTAGTCCATGACGGGGTTGCCACGGCAGGTGGCGGCATAGAAGGCCACTGTTGCAACAGAGCTTGACCGACCAGGCAGTGAGGACTTCAGGCGCACATCACCTACGGTGGTAACGGCCTTGAAGGTGTCCCTGCTGGCGTATTGATAGGTCGACTGCAGTACGAAAATTAGTGTCTGGTCCTGCAGATCTAGGTCAGCATCGCGCGGCTTGAACCACGGTTTCGACTTTAGCAGAGCCACCTCCATGGGTCCACTGAGGCACAACTCCATTTCTTCTTCGTCGACCTTACGGAAGGTGTTTTCCCAGTCCGTGTGCGTGCCGCGGTACAGGAATTGGCTGGTCAGTTCCAGGACGACCTTCCCTTCCTGGTAGACGTCACCGCGCACTTCCACAAGCTTACCAGCATCTTCGATCGTGATGGCCTGAATACGAGACTTGGTCTCGAGGACAGCGCCCTCCTGGATAGGCTGCGCGTCGGGTGGGATACGGAAGCCGTTGGTGAGATGCACCAATGTCAAGAGATCCACGTCCAGCTCGTGCGAGAACAGTGGCTTCATCAGTGCCTCCCAGCCGACAACCACCCCAAAGTCCAGCGGTGCGTACAGGGTCTTTCCACGGCGCTTGCTGGACGCATCGCTGGCGTTCTGCACACAGTGCGCAAACTCTGCAATCGAGTCCGCCGTGACTTCGAGCTGAGTCTCGCAAAATGTATCGTGCACGGATGTCCACTTCTTCGGCTGCGAGCTGGTGAACCACACACGGTAGTAGAACTCTTTGACCCGCTCATTCCGACCCTCCATGATCTCATGGATAGGCGCGTATACAGCGTCGCGCCGGTACTGGTACATCAGCCGCAAGCCGATAGCCGCACCCCCAGCGTTCCGGTAGTTGATGATCTCCAGCGTGATGGACCCGGACTCGTCAGCACGGATATCGACGACCTTCACCGGTTCAGAATGTGGGCGGTATTCGAACAATGAAACAGTCGTGTCGGACCGGTGACCCGTCTGGACCATCACATAGGAATCGCGCGTCGGCTGGAAGAGGCGGCGCAGTGGGTTCTCAGAGATCGCCCGGCCCTGCACAATCGTAGGCGCATTGAAGAAGGCCTGGCGCCAGCCACCCTGCGTCCCGCCCAGCGCAGCTAGCCACTGGTCCAGCGACGGCATCGGAGAGTTCATCTCGGGAGATACCTCATACAGAAGCGAGCCAGTGTTACCAACGGGGACGCAGTTGATCCCTGCCTGCGCCATGCTCCACTCACTGACAACGGGGTAAGGGCCAAAGCAGTGCACGATGGGGATTCCATCTTCGAAGTAGTCGGGATCCCGCATCTCCAGACGTTCAATATGTCCCTCATGGATGGCATCCAAGATCTTTCGCGCTGGCTCATCGACCACCGTTGAGTGGCGCGCGGCGACCGGCCCGTGCAGAATACACACCCGCCCAACATCACCGTCGACCACCGCGTTGAGGTCCTCCGACTGCCACAGCGAGTCCTTCTTGAAGTACTCCTCGAAGTTCTCATCCAGCACGGGCACGAACGGGACCGGCTTTTGGCCACGTCGTCGGCACAGGTGTAGGAAGTATTGTGCGTCCTGTGTACCCATGAGCTGGTCAGCGGCACAGGGATTCTGCTCCAGGAACCGTTCAATCGCTGGTTTGGGGTCGCGAAGGTCGTCCACGCCGGCGACCACAGAAGAGGTAATCTCCATGTCGTCACCGTCTTGGTGCTCCTCTCTTTCATGGCCGATCCGGGCTTCTACGCGCAAAAGGAAATCAAACAGGAACTGCTGGAACGAGGCATCGATCCAACGGCCTTCGAGGGAAACGTATGTCAACTCGACCAGCCGCGAGATGACCTCGGCGTAGGTCATCTCCTCCAGATCCACCACGTTGCCGAGCTCGTCGCGTCCAAACCAGACTTTGTGCGAGTCGGCGTTCAGTCGGCGGATCAAATAGTCGCGCTGCTTCTGGAGTTGAGTGAGACGCTGTGCGCGATCGAGCTTGAAGATTGTCCGGTCTAATTCCGCCCAGAGACGCACACCACGCGTCGCCAATTTGTGGATTGGCTCTCCCATCTCGGAGGTCACCGTCATAATTCCTCCTGCCGGCTGGGTGTAGGTCTGCTCCCAATCTGCCTCGTCAGCCACACCTGGTGCCGCAACAATAGCTTGCTTCACCGCTGCGCTGGTATGCGCTTCCTTGGCCGTCATCAAGCGGCTACCCAGCAGGATGCCGTCGAAGGGCATGAGGGGCCGATTGTAGTGCTGCGCCCACTCCCCGGTGAGGTAGGGGAAGGTGTCCTCGGCCCCTCCGAAGCCACTGCCTGCCACCAGGATCAGGTTCGAGCAGCTGCGCACCGCACCATACGCCTGGAGGATTGGCTGGTGGAAGTCTTCGAAGGAGTGGTGGCCACCCCCGCGACCGCCAGTCCATTGGAGGATCACCGGGAAGTTGGGATGGGCCCGCGCGATGGCAATGACCTGGTGAATGGCCGGCAGCGACCCGGGTTTGAAGCTGATATGGCGCAACCCAAGATCACGGATGTAGCTGGTGGCAACCTCCAGCGAGGGAACGCCGGCGCCCACCGTAAGACCCTCGATTGGCACTCCCGATGCCCGGAGACGTGTGAGCAGCGGAACCTGCCAGCGCACTGCCTTGGGGGCCGCATAGATCATATTGACAGTAATTCCGCGCCCCGGGGGGATCTCGCGCAGGAGACGCTGGATCGCCGTTTCCAGCTGGTCCGGGCGATGGTAGCCTCCCAACGCGAGTTCGACATGATATCCAGCCTTCATCACCGCTGCACAGAAGTCCCATGCCGCTGTGGTTGGGGTCATGCCCGCCACAATGACCGGTGGGAGTCCCAGCAGGCGACTCAGTTTGGTGTCGACCATGGGGCGGCTGCCAGACACCTGGACCAGCTGTGGTCGGTACTGCTCGCTCCAAATCTGGCCATACGCCAGCCCTGGGGATGGGCTCCAGTCGAAGATCTCGCTCCGATAGCCCAGATCGGTGTTGGTGCCCTCTGCGACCGTGGCCAGGATGGTTCGAACCCCAGTGCCATCCTTGAGTCGATTCGTCAATGCCCCAATACCGGATACGCCTCCTGGGCCGAAGTCGATGATGTGCGTGGCGCCAGGCAACTTGATGGCTTCAGTCCAGACAAGCTCCTGCGATGTAATCATTGCGACCAGGTCGGGCACGATATTCTGGCTTCCAAAGGCCCGCAGGTCACTACCCGTGCGCGTACAGAACACGGGAATGCGAAGGTCGTCGCCCCGAATCGTCACGTCGGGGACATTGGCGAGAACTGCGTCGGAGACATCGGCCAGGTAACTGCTGTGGAAGGCGGCGGTGATGGGGAGGAAGCGGTTATTGATCTCGGGTTTCCGCTTGCTGAAGGGAATGCGATGCTGGGTGCCCTTCGCAGGGGCCTTGACACCGCGCAACCAGACATTGAATCCATGCAGGGACAAGGGTGGGCCGGCCAGTACGGCGCTCTGCGGTCCATTGATCAGGGCGATTGCAATGCGGGCGTCCTCCGAGAGATGTGCGTTCACGGCGTCGACGTATCGCTGGAGCTGGTCCAGGGGGCAGTCGCTCACACTGAGCATGGGCCCCGGAAAGCCCTCGCCATGGGCCTCCGCATCGGCGACAATCACCGGTGGCAGCTCGGCCACGGCAAAGTGGTCTTGGCTGTAGGCTCCAATGGCCAGCAGGAGGCGCAGGGCATCCAGGGCCAGGTTGTCAAATTGGGTCCATGACTGGGCCACGGCCGTAACCGTTGCTGTCACAATGCCCTGCGAGTGGCCGGTGGTACCACCGAGCGCCGCCTGGATCTGTGCTGGAGTGGACCCCAGAACACGCCCAATCACACGATACCAAGCCAGTTGGAGAAGGCCGATGAGCGGCATGCTAAGTGGGGCGGAGATCAAGTAGGCTGAGTCTGGGGCCCGCTCGGGATGCTCCAGCCAAGTGATAATATCCAGACCCTGGTGATAAAAGCGGCTGAACCGCTCGTCGAGGGACTGGCGCTGCAGCATGCTGGATGCGGAGACCACCAAATCACGCACTAGCGGTCGGTAGGTGCTGTACACCACTCGCAGCTCGTCGAAATAATTCTCATCGTTACCCTGGCCGCCAAACACGGTGTACAAGTGTGCCTTGCGGTCCAACGCGGCGGTCATGAGCGCCGATGGCGGGTGGGATGGTCGACTGATCTTTCGCAATGCATGACGCGCCTGAACATAGGCCGCTAAGATGGTCGATTTGACGTCGGTGCTTGCGTCCAGCTCCTTGACCACTGCATGCACTTCCCGATTCCACAGGATGTCTCTCTCGAAGGTGTCCATCGCCGTAGCGAGGAGCATCCGCAAGTCATCCTCTTTCAGCCCACGGCGCTCCCGCTCCAGGCGGCGCACGGTAAAGCTGAGGAATCGAGCCCAGAGCTCCACCAACGACGACAGCTCGTCATCCCCGGGAGTCTTGCTCAGGTCATGGAGGAAGTCGTCGCGCAGCTGCAGAGCCGTGGGGTAGGAGCCGCTGGCGACGGTGAGGGAGTGCTCAAAGGCATGATAGGTAATGGTAAGGGTCTGACACGCATGAGAAGAAGTGGAGGAGGTGGAGAGAAGCTCTGGAGTCGCCCAGCCGGAGGAGAGTGCGAAAGAGGCCGCGGAACCAGCGCTGGCCAGGGAAGGGGAACGGGAAGCGGACGAGGCATTCATCGTAGAAAACATTATGGCGGTAAATCGGTTGGGTCGTCGTTCTTTCTTTGTTTAGTATGGATCTTCTTTGTTTCTGCAAGGCTCATTTCCGGCTCTTTGTTTGAAGATATTCGCAAGATATTTATCCAACGGGTCGCGCTATAGAACCCCAATTAGGAAATCAGCCCTAAGCGTCTCACGTCGCAGGGACGCTAAGATGCAGCGTGGGCTCAGCCTGCAGCCCTCGAGCCTCACATCCCAGTCTAGTTTCCCCCCAACTAGAATCTGACGTGTGTTGGCTCTCTAAAAATATGGTGGGCCAATGGGTTTAGGCACCGTCATTCTGTCGATCCTGGGTGAGCCTACTAGTTTAAGAATGCAGCGTGTAATCCGCTTTCTTCCCTTTGCATCTCAACAACTCCTTTTCTCCTCCCCTCTTCTCGTTCCCTTTCTCATTCCTCTTCCTTTTTGTCTGATTACGCTGGAAAACCTCTGCTACGAAGACACTGGTTGTCAATTAGCGTCATGGGTTTAACAGCGAAGTGCGGTAGGTTCCTCGAATTTCTCTAGTGCCATTTTTTCTACCCTTTTTTTTTTTATTCTCTGTGTTTTCCGAGCCTAATAAAAATTCCCCGCTATCCCACGTTCTTAATTCCCCGTTCCCACATTTCTATCGACGCTACGATGTTGATTCCCTCCCCAGAACTACTGTTTTTCAACATTTTTCAACCTCAAGTTTTCCCTTTTCTATGAGCACGGCAGAACTGACGAATTAATGCAGATCTCACCAACGAGAATGCGCAGTATCCCTACTGTGCCAGTCCCCCGGCGGCCATTATCTTCTCCGTCCTCTTCGGCGTGACGTTCGCAGGCCACTTGGCGCTGGCCATTCTCTACCGTAAGAAGTTCTGCTGGGTGATCATCGTGGGCAGTGGTTGGGAATGTCTGGGTTTGATCATGCGTGCCTACTCGACACTGGACCAGACCAAGTCATCCACCCTCGCTGCTGCACAGCTGCTCGTCCTGCTCGCCCCGCTGTGGATTAACGCATTCGTGTACATGATCTTCGGCCGTATGGTCTACTACTACACTCCGAACAAGAAAATCAAGGGCATCAAAGCCGAGAGCATGGCCAAGATCTTTATCTGGCTCGATATAACGTGAGCGCCCTCGCACCATCTCTGCGAGATCCTGTCGATTCCGGGGGGACACTGACCGTGGCCTAGCGCCTTTATCATCCAAGGTACCGGTGGTATTCTCGACTCTGACGGCTTCGGCGAGAAGCTGAACCGCACTGGTATGAACATCTACACCGCCGGGATCGCCATCCAGGAATTCTTCATCCTCTGTTTCCTCGTTCTGTTGATCGTGTTCCATAAGCGCATGCTGGCGGGATACCGTAATATCGAGCGCGGAAATGGGTGGAAATGGATGGTGTATGGCATGTATGTGACATTGCTCTGCCTGACGGTATGTGTGCTCTTCTTTTCGCAACCTCTTCAGAACCATCATGCTGATAGCGATGTAGACCCGTATTGTCTACCGTCTGATCGAGTTTGCCAACCCCAACCAGGCCGGTAAGACCGTGCTGAGCACCAAGGAGGCCCCGTTCTACATCCTTGAATGCGTCCCCATCTTCATCGGCATGATGCTCTGGAATGCCTTGCACCCTGGCCGGATCATGCCGGGCCCCGACAGCGAGTTCCCCAAGGTCTCGCGCGCGGAGAAGAAGCAGATGAAGCGGGAGGCCAAGGAGGCGAAGAAGCAACAGCGCCGAGTGGGCTTTAGTCAGAAGTATACCGCGGTCAACGACTCGGAATACACTCTCACCCGCCCCAGTGGTGAGGAGCATGAGGCTGGCTACGGCGGGGGACGGTGGCCCCTGAACGAGGTGGAATCGGGCCGAGGAGGCTATGGTAATGAGTATGGCTATGTTCGTTGAGGACAGTTAGGGTCGGGATGAGACTGTGTGGAACAGGGAAAAAGGCTGGGCCTGGCTGGTTCTTGGGTGTTTTTTTTCTTCCTTATTCATTTGTATTGTTTCTTTCCTTTGTTTTGTAGAACGTTAAATCTTTATTATGTTATGCTCTACTTGACCGATATCAACATATATATGGGTTACAGATATCCACAATGAATAACGAAATGCAATGCTTCTATAAATATCGAGAATAACTCCACATAGAATTCTTCACAGCCACTTGCCTCCAACGCCAGCACCTAGGATATATATAAGAAAGAAAGAAAAAAAACACAAAGGAAATTTGAAAGAAAGTAAGAACGACGTAAACCATCAAACGCATTCAATCGAAGGGATATCACTGGAGGAGAAGAGAAGGATTACATGTTCTTCCCGAGACATGCGGTATGCAAGGGCGTCTGGCCTTCGAGATCGCGGATCTCTAACTGGGCCCCGGCTTGCACCAGCATTTCAACCAAATCACGCCGATTTCGCTCACAGGCAAGATGCAAGGCTGTACGGCCCAACCAATCCTGCGCATCCACCTGAAGAGCATGGCGACGCGTCGGACAGAGCAACACTTGCACCACCTCTGGCCGGTGGTGCTTCACAGCCAGGTGCAGCGCCGTTTCGCCCTCCCGCGTTGTCACATTGATATTCACACCGCTGCCGGTCGGCGAGCCCAGCAGCAGTGTGACCAGGCGGGCGTGTCCCTCCATCGCTGCGAGATGGAGAGGTGTCAGCCCCGCGCTATCGGCGATCGAAGCGTCCGCGCCCGCACTGATCAACACCCCCAGGACAGACTCATGGCCGTACAGAGCCGCCCGATGAAGGGCAGTGTTGGCGAGCGAGGACTCCCCGGTAGGGGTGGAATGTGACGGAACGGAATCAACAACGGTTGGGGGGCTGGGATTCGGGGTTACACTAGGGGTGGGCGCGTGGAGTGGCTGGGGAGCTTTGACCGTGGCTGCTGCAGGGACGGCGACGGCTGAGGGGTGGGAATTTGAGAGATTGCCGTTGCTAGTATTTGCCAGCGCGTATGCTTCCTCGATGGGATTGTATGAAGGCCCCCTGCCAGTCATCGTCGGTCGTTGGGAACCATCGAGTGACGGCGGAGTCCATGACTCGGGGAAGGACAGCCCGTCCAGAGGAGGAGAAAAGAGCTGAAAGTCCGGAGGAGTTTGAACTTTCACTGGGGTCTGAAATGAGGGTAAGGGCTGTTGCTGTTGTTGCTGTTGCTGTTGTTTCTGCTGCTGCTGCTGCTGCTGCTGCTGCTTCTGCTCCTCCTTAGGAGCGTTGGCTGCTGCCTCTTTAGCTCCTTCCAGCTTTTCCTTCTTTAGTCCTACATGACAATGGTTAACGGAATCAAGGCATCATCTTCTTCCCCCAGTACTTACGTTTACGGTATCCCCTCTGGGCAATTCGATTTTGAGCCCTTCGCCGCTCCACCCGATCATCGATATTCGCCCAGTTCTCGCCAACGACCTGAACGGAACTACCACCCACCACCGCTGATCAGCAAAGGAACATGAGAAGCAATGGGTCAGAGAAGAATAATACATACGTGATCATCGCGCAATGGGGGTCAACTGACATTCTCATCGCGATACTATAAGATATGGGCGATCCGTTTTCACGACCGGGGGCCATCGCCCGTCCCTGGGCCCTCTACATATATGTATGGGGAAAACATCACGCCGTCATCTTCACTGCATGCAGTCCAGATCTCTGCCCCCAAAATTGCTCGGAATTGTTGGATTGGTATCCTAGCGTATGTTCATCTTACGAAAGAAATTACAGAGGAAAGCCAATTTAGGGCGCCGGCCACATGGTTGCCACATGGGGAGGTCCATAACGAGGAAGATCACTTCCTACTTTCACCAAATGAGCCGATATCCAAAAGTATGGCAGAGACGGACTAAGTCGAAGGACACCAATGGGACAATATTTTGCTGGATCGCAGTCGAATTCACGGATCCTGTTAGTCCGAACTGCCTCGTTTAGGAAGGGGCCGTTGGCTTACGGTGGAGTTGTGTTGGTAATATTATTCGATGAGATCATCCGAGGACACTTGCATTACGACGGTTATTGTTTCTTGATCTTTTGCCTCTCTTTCTTCAGAGAGACAAGACGGGATCCGAGTCTGCGGTTGACCCTATACGAGAGGATGTATATTGGTTTGCTGCCTACAGGTACCAAAAAGCCAAACAAAACCCTGGGTTTCAACCAACACGAACATGGGGTAGATCAAAGCACTATGCAATTGTACCCTTGAGATCGGAACTAACGTATGAAGCTCTAAAAAAAGAACTCTATAGAGTTAAAAAAGAATCCGCAGTCATAGAATAGCTAGAACGCCATGCGCGGGAATCCCAAGTATCAGATTATGCAATCCTAAAACAGTGCCAGAAATACACCACAGCGAACCATGGCGTAGAAGATTTCCGGTCCGTTTGTTTCAGACGTGAGCCTGAGAGATTAGAGTAAGAAAATGAACTGTCAAAGCGTTGCGAAAGGAGGTCCTGTGACATGGTGGGAAGGCAAGTTGCAATGGCTACTGGCTCATGTTGCCAGTATCAAGGATGACTCGGGCGCTGGGGGTTGACCGTAGTTTGGATATGAAACACGCAACTTACTGTTCTGGGTTAACAGTGGTATTGCCCAGTACCTCGACGCATGCCTCCGCATCCCTACGAGCCAATCGAGCATGAAGATCTGATGGCCCACGTAGCAGCCGGAGTGCCCGACCAGTCCTGTTTCCTTGTTGAACGCACCCAAAAATAGAGTCACCCAGTGGAAATTCCCGAGACGTAAGCACTAAGGGACCAGGTACCGAACTAAGGATCGGGATCCATAACCAAGCCCCTCAACAGAAGCACGATGGTTGGTGGCTTGGCATTCTTGTCTAGTGGAGCTTCCGAGATAGGATTGCATGACAATCCCCCTCGTCTTCCCAAGCTGCCTGACTCAGAAGGCCATCAGTCCAGCACGACCAGACTAGAAGCTGGCTGTCGCAAGTCTTTGCTATGCTACAACGGAGGTTTACACTTGAATCAGGATTAAGCACAGCAAGAACCCACCCAGCGGATTGGGAACAGTGCACTTACACGAGATCATCCCTTCTTACTGTCAGCATGCATTCCACTCGTTATTCGCTAAACCCGATCTGATAGGATCCCCCAACATCCCAACTCCGCCTCTCTCATAAAAATTTCTTCCCGCTTTACGAGGCAGAAATCTGGCAGAAACAAGGCAGAAACGGGGTCGATACCTGATCTTAGGGTTCCACCGGACACGGGCCTCTCACTAGCATGAAAAAGAGGCAAGGAAAGACAGTCAATCCCTGCGCGGTTTGCCTCGTCCTCGACTGGAAGAAAAAAAAAAAAAAAAAAAAGCACGATCCTAGTAGAGGACTATTACTTAGCTCAGACATAACTAATACCCTCCTGGGTCATACGTTCCGCTCATATGTTGGAAAGTAGAGAGAATCCAAGGAATTATATATCTTGCACATCAGTTATCATCATTCCAAACAGAAACACTCTACGAGGATGCGTAAATATAGATTCAAGGTCTTAGTATGTAAGCTTGAAATTTGGACCCCTACTTGTCTCCCGTGATATATATAGATTGCCTATCCACTAGCAAACATACAATCCAAGCAATGAGCTACTTCACCCTTCATTTCCGAACTGCGCTAAACCAATCACAACTACCCTTCTTGGAAGTAGGGCATCATGACTGGCAGACGCGGGACATGAATTTCATTGTGGCGTAGCCTATTGAAATTAAAACCGATTATCGCCGAGTCTACAAACAAAAGAAAAATAACGTAGTTAGCTAACTAAACATTATCAATGACGAAATCAATAAACACGGCCATGTCAGGTGACTAGTATACTACATCTTCACACCAGAAACACCAGTAATAATAGGATAGCCTACGAATACCAGCCCAATACTTGTACGTAGAGACCGGTAGTACTACGTTTATTGAGCACTGCACGAGTTGAAATGAAATGAAATCTATTGTCTAGCCTTTCCAGAAGGTCATGCGAATCACAAAGTAGATAGAGAAAGTACACGAGACAAGAACACAAACACAGAGACAAATGAGATAATTACAGAAGAGGCAAAATCAGACAGACCGATGAAAGCTTTTAGAGCCACAGGAAAAGAAAAGAAAAGCAACCATTACATCGTTCAAGGAGTGTGAGTGTATAGGAGATTCACCATCTGTTCCATTGAGGAGTGATGAAGGAGGTCCTCCAGGCGAAGCTGGGGTGCGTGCTCTTGCAGTCGCAGCAGCACTTGTGACAAGCCCACAAGTTCACCGCCCGCTGCAAAATAACATTCTGTTGGAGACGCGACTGACTTCTTTGTCGATGGGAGAGTCTCGGACCACGCCTGGTGCACGACCTCTCGTAAAGCAGCCACCTTGGGCTCGGAAGAGTCCGCAGGCGGCGCGCCAATGATGACATCCGGTACGGAGGATTCCCTAACCATAGGAATCAAAGGCCGGCCAGCTTCAAGTTCCTCCACCGATGGTAAAAAGGTAGTGGAGGGGCTCGACGAGAAGGAGCGGATTGTCAGACAGAGTTGGTCAAGCAAGTCCTCCGCCTGGATTGCGGACATGACTGAGGTCGCTGTAATGAGGTCGATGTCAACGTGATCGCCTGCGGGAGTTGATAGGATCGATACATCCATAAGATCAAGTTCCGAGCCAATGAAGCCAGGCTCATAGGACCCATCACCCATCATCATAGCCCGATCTGGCTCAATGTTTTGGTGCTGGATGACACTGCTGAAGCGCATCCAGCGCGGCCAATCAGTGCACTGCTCGACGATTGGGCGCAATCCGAGTGACTCAAACGGCATGTTGGCCACCTGCTGGTTCTGGATAGTGCGAAGGAGGTCCATCACAGTCCAGCGGTCCTGGAACTGGGCGCGGACGGGGACCACATTAAGACAGGGGCCAACAATCTGGTCGATGTTGTCAATTGCCAAGTTCCGGCCTGAAATGGTGTGACCGAATACAACGTCCGGTCGAGCTGCCATGCGAGCCAGGACTAGGGCCCAGGCGGACTTGGCGACGGTTGCAAAAGTGATGCCCTCGCTCGTGAGTGTGGTATTTGGCACCCGGCGCCGGACGGCGATGACCTCATCAGAGACATCTCGGAGACCCGGCTTGTGGCGCTCCACAAAGTTTGTCATCGTAGATCCCGCTAGAAGGGACCGCCAGTGTTCAATTGCAGCGGGGTCATCGGATGCCGGACAGAACGACGTGAAGGTCGAGAAGGGCGGGCTGGAGGGTAGGGCTTGGCCGGTATACGCGTTCTGCAAGGCCTCCCAAATGGTGGGCAGTGAGACACCATCATATTGTGCGTGCGAGATGCGCATGATGAGGCGATGTGCGTGGCCGCGTCGCTTCTGTGCCAGAACAAATTGAACGAAGGGGTTCTCGATTTGAAGATTGCCAGCCTTTCCTTCCTCGTAAACTCTCTGGGTTGTTTCGTCGAGGTCGTCGGTGGGGATAACAAGGAAGACCGGGTCAAGTTGCCGGAGGACTACCTGCCAGAATCGGGATTCATGTTCCGTGAAGACGGTGCGAAGAATGCTGAACTGCCGTACCAGTTCGAAGCAGCCCTGGCGGAGACGGTCCACATCCACTGGGTCGGAGCTCTCGAAGTAGAAGTAGTTGAGCATCCATCGGGGCCGCGTCATGGCACCGATCAGCGCAATTTCCTGCATACTGGTGGTGGGGCAAATCTCTTCGACGTGGCCTTCTTCGACTCCAACCTTCGCAGCGATTGCGTCCAGAAGGCTGGAATCACAGGTTGATGATCCTTTGCTCGGAGACAAGAGAGGAGTCCCATCCCCAGGGGTGATAGGTGCGTTGGCTGTGGCCAGAGCAGCGATGTCGACAAGAGAAGGATGGTTGAAGATATCAGCGACACTCACAAAGATCTTGGAGGCACGAGCGAGGCTGACTAGCTTCATGGCGACGATGGAATCACCACCCAAAGCAAAGAAACTGTCATCTGCCCCAATCGACTCACGATCGATCATAAGCACTTCCGCCCAGAGACTGGCCAGTGTGAGTTCCATCTCCGTCTTGGGGGGCCTCTTGCCGGCGGTGGCCAGCGAGTAGGTCTGCAGTTGGGCGTCTGAGAGTGAATCGACCATGCGACTAAGGAGATTCCGGTCTGCCTTGCCAAAGGAGTCGGTGGGCATGGTCTTGAGTGGGATGAAGAGGATGGGTTGCAAGTAGTGGGGAATTGAGGTTTGCAGTGCAGCCTGGACTGTGGCAAGCTCCTGCTGCAGGTTGGTAGTCATGGTATCGGTCAGGCTGTCGATTTCAACATCTGGAGACTGTACGGACTCATCGTAGAGGTATGCAACCAGCATGTTCCTGTTGCGGGAAGAGACCAATGTAGTGTCCACCAAAACATCGTATGTTGAAGGAATGTGAGACTTGATGGAGTGCTCGATCTCACGGGGGTCAATACGTTGACCGTACATCTTAATCTGAGTGTCTTTGCGTCCCAGATACTCAATGCTACCATTGACATTGAACTTGACCATATCACCGGTCCGGTAAACACGAGCGAAGCCATCAGCAGGATATGTGTGTTGCATCCAATCGGGACGATCGATGAATGCCACCTCACTGGCTTGATCGTGGCACAAGTAACCTTCCGACAGGGTAGGTCCTTCAATGACCAGTTCACCCAAGCAGCCCAAAGGCGCGAGCTTGTTGACATCTTCCGGCTCAGTAACCCACAACCGACAACCAACCGGGAACCCAATGTTGGCAAATGAGTCCTTAGGATGGGTGAACTGTGACACAGCGCACCATACCGAGCTTCGCTGGGCCCATAAGCATTGAGAAGGGCATCGACCTTGCCCGCCCAGACCTGTAGGTTATCCTGGGACGGACATTCCCCACTGAGAACTAACGTCTTCAGCTTGGGAACGTCAGTCGGGCGCAGGCTGTTGGCGACGGTCGGGGTCAGACAGGCCCAGTTTGCGCCTACCCGGTCAATAGCAGCAGCCAGATCCTTGGTCTGGTCATGTTCAGAAATAACACACACAGTACCACCACTGAGAAGGGTTGTGAAGATCTCCGCATAGCTGACATCAGATGTGTAGGAGGCAGATTGCAGCACGCGAGACTTGGATGTAATCTTCAATGCGGGGCCATGGTTTCGAATACTGGTACAGATGGCCCTGTGGTCGATCGCCATGATCTTGGGTTTAGCAGTGCTGTCAGAGGTAAAAGCGAGGTACGCGGGCGATGAAGGGTCAACGGCTGTCCGAGCTTGGGGCAGGCCAGCGTTGGTAGCTGCGAGCTTAGAAACCGTGGTTGTGTCGGCGATGACAACATTGCTGCACCCTATAGCTGCAGCCAGATCAGCATATTGTGGCGCCACAATAACATGGTCAATGCCAGTGTCATGAACAATTTCTGTCAGGCGGGAGACAGAGTCCCCTGGATTCAGATTCACGCATGCTCCGCCAGCCTTCAATACGGCGAGCTGTGAGACAATGGCCCACTTGGATTTATCGAAGCACCAGCCTACAGTGCACCCCGCCGTCACCCCGAGCTGCACTAATGTATCGCTGAATCGAGAGGATAGATGATCCAGTTCTTGATAGGTCAGACTGCCATCCCAAGCATCTACTGCCTTGCGCTGTGGGTGGAATCGAGATTGGACATTGAATAGATCGTGCACACGGGCATTAACGGGTTCAATAGGGGCACCCATCCAGTCGAGAAGCTGGTCCACATCAGTTTGGCCAGTCATAGTGATTTCCATCATGAGAGTGTTCTGAGGCAGGCGGAAGAGCTGGTGGATGAGATTCTCATAATGCTGCAGCAGCCATCCCATCTGTTGTTCGGGAATAAGCATATCGTCGTATCTGACACGAACATCGAGTTCTGAGTCACCAAGGTGACACTCCACAATCAGTGGGTAGGTGTCAAAATCAAATTGCACCGAAGAGACTAGTTCCAAGTCCAGATCGTTCTCTGAGTCCTCCAAAATAGGTTGGATGACAAACAGATGACCGAAATCAGCAATGGCCGAGCCGTTGGGCTGGATTCGGCGGATGTTCTGTAAGCCAAACTGTTCGAAGGGTGTCATATCCAGGGCCTGTTGTTGAATGCCGCCCATGAGCTCCTCGATTGTCTGGGCCCGATCTAAGCGGACACGGATGGGTACCGTTGCAATCATCGGCCCCATTATGTCTGCAGCACCATGAAGCGAAGTACTACGGCCGGAGAGAACATGGCCGAAGACGATATCATCAGATGTAGTGTAGCGGCTGAGGAGGAGGGACCAGGCCGATTTCAACACGGTAGGTGTAGTGAAAGTAAGATTGTCCCTCTGCGGAAGGTGAATGTGCAAGGACCGGGTCTGGTTGGGTCGGAGAGATTTAGCAGAGTGAGAGGAGGTAGGGAATTGGGCGGGGAGGTTTCCCTCAATCTGGGAGCGCCAGAACTCCTCGGAAGCCTCACGGTCAGTGGTAGCGAGATGCTGGATAAATTTGCTGTATGGGATGACTGGGGGGAGGGCGGACAAGCCTTCCCGGTAGATGATACCGACTTGCTCGAACATGAATCCCTGACTCCAACCATCGTAGACAGCATGATGAGAGGTGTGAATCAGGCACGGGCGTGGATCGTGCTGGTCGCCAGGAACGATGGCGTTGCGCATCAAAGGTTGGCCATGGACCATAGGCGAGAGCTTATCGGCCCTCACGTAATCTTCCACGGAATTCTCCCATCGCCAAACCAGTGGCTCAGCAATAACAACCTGGAAGGATTTGGAATCATCTGTGTAGACGATGCGGGTGCGCATGATCGGCTGGAGCCGGGCCAAAGATTCCCAGGCTTGTTGGTATTTCTCTAGATTGACATCAATGGGAAGTCGGAAGACAAGTCGCGACACATAAGCCGTCTCATCCTTAGCGGTGAGTGCCATTAGTGCCTCCTGCGAAGAGGTGCAAGGGTACATATCCTCGATCACACTGGCGTCCACCGCACATTGAGTGGTTGCTTGGGCCACAAGATCCTTGACTTGATCGTCAGGCAACAGACTGAAAGGCTCCGGTGGCGCATCGTCGGTCTTCTTCCTCGATGAAGAACGATCGATATTCTCCGCCATCTGGTTCAATTTAGGATAATTAGTCACGTCTGCGACGCTCATGGAAAGCCCTGCCTTGCTGCCGGCGGCGACAAGCTTCATCGCGGCAATCGAGTCTCCGCCGAGGTGGAAGAAGTGGTCATCTACACCGATGCTGTCGGTGCCGAGCACACGAGCCCAGAGCTGTGCGAGCGCCTTCTCTGTTTCGGTTGAGGGTGCCTTTTTGTCCACCTGGGAAAGAGCATAGGAGGCTAGTGTCTCTGGCGAGAGGCCGTTCCCAACCGTCCTTAATACCTTTCGATCCAGCTTGCGGGAAGGGGATAAGGGCATGTGTGAGACGGGGATGAAGAGTTGTGGCACCATATGCTTGGGCAAAACCTCCAGCAGGCGGGCATGTAAGGCCTGGAAGCTTCGTCGAAGTGAGCCAGAGAGGGGAACAAGTGGCGAGTCGACGTCCCCAGAGACAGCCTCAGGCGCACAGATAAACGCAGTGAGGATCTTAAGACTGCCACGAGACTTCGGTGTTAGAACCTCGACCGCCACTTGGTATGAGTTGTTATCGTATACGGTTCGAATACGATGTTCGATTTCGCCCATCTCAATGCGTTGTCCGTGAAGCTTCACCTGGGTGTCTTTGCGGCCGATGAATTTGAAGCTTCCATCGCGGTTGTATCTGACCAGATCACCCGAGCGGTACATGCGACCGTTGCCTTTATCGTGGGGAATCCACCATTTGGGGGGGTTGATGAATGCTGCCGCTGTCTTCTCGGGCTCGTTCAGATATCCCCGGGCAACAATCGGGCCCTCAATGAGAAGCTCTCCAGTGGAGCCAATAGGCAACAGCCGGTCGAGGTTATCTGGGTCTACGACCCACAGAGTGCATCCCAACCCTCGGCCAATGTTAGTAGGGTCCTTGGTGATACTGGTCTGAGAGTTGCAGGTGGTGCAGACACAACATTCACTGGGTCCATAGCTGTTGATTATCTGAACATGGTCAGACCATAAATTGACGACCTCTTTAGTGAGTGGTTCCCCACTGAGAACCAGAGTATTGAGGGTGGGGATACTACTTGGTACCAAGAGACTGGCAACAGTGGTGGTAAGTTCCGTCCAGGTAACCCGGTACTTGGCCATGGCATCCGTCAGGGCATTCATCCTCTCGTACTCTGAGGGAACACAGACACATCCTCCGAGCATCAATGTTCCAATAATTTCGTCAAATGAAACATCGAAGGTGTAGGACGCAAACTGAAAGGCGCGGGTACCAGGACCAACTGACATCTCACTGAGATGTGCAACAAGACCGGTCACAAGGGAGCGATGTTCCAAGATACTTCCCTTCGGCTTTCCAGTACTTCCAGAGGTATAAACGATGAATACAGCATTGGAAGGCTGGGCAATGGCACCAACCGGCTCATTTGGGCAGGGGAGGCTGTCCAGGTAGTCAGCGCCAATTGGGAGCACTCCCGATGGAGGGAGTAATGAAGAGAGCATTGCCGATGATGCCTGGTCGCACACGACCAGGCTAGCATCGAGATCATCAAGCAAAAGCTGGATTCGGTCCTTGGGATGCTCGGGGTTAAACATGCAGCAAACACCGCCAGCCTTCATTACCGCCAACATTGCGATAATGGTCCATGAGCATTTATTGAAGCAGAGAGGGATAATCATCTCCTGTTTGACACCACGTGAAATAAGTTCGTGAGCCAACTTCTCAGCCAGGATGTTAAGTTGGCTGTACGTAAGCTCAACATCATACGAGGAAATGGCGGGAGCGTCAGGTTGGTTGCGAACCTGTTCCTCGAATTGGTAGTGAACACAGGATTGGATAGTTTCCGGGCGATCTTTGTTCCATTCAAGAATCTGCTGTAGGTCTTCCTCACTGATGGTTCCAATCTCCTCTAGCGTGCTGATATCTTCGTCGCCGCCTGCCTCCTGAATTGAGCTGAGACGCTCAATAGCACGGCTATAACGACTGATGATCCGCTTAACCTCCTCACTAGAGATGACGTTATCGTCAAACTGAGCTTTGATTTCGGCACCATCGTCGAGAAGGTTGCACTCTATGATCAACGCGTAGGGGTCCTGATCATCGCCGAGGTCAACTGCCACATTTGTGAGTCCCAAGAAATCGGAGGCCCCAACTGGTGCCGTGTTTGGCTGGATGACGAGAAGATTCTGGAATTCAACAGCTTCTTTAGCCTGTTCACTCATAAGGCGAATGTTCTGAAGACCGGTATGTTCAAAAGGTACCATCTCCAAATTCTGCTGTTGGATGCTTCGGAGGAAGTCGAGCGGAGGTTGGCTACCATCTACTGCGATGCTCACGGGAACTGTCGCAATGGTGGGACCAACAACCTGGTTGATACCTGGGAGAGCCGCATTGCGACCAGAAACCGTGATCCCGAAAGTCACCTTCTCGGTTTCCGTTAGACCAGCAAGAACAAAGGCCCAAGCTGCTTTCAGAATGGTGGTGAAGGTAATGTCGGACGGCTGTCTTGACAAATGCACTGAGCTGGTCGTAGCTTGATTCGGGTACGGTTGGTAGGTACGATCTTGCAAGGTAGGATATGTCAGAGAGGGCTCTGCGAATTGAGCAGTCCAGAACTCAGTGGCAGATTCAGGGCTGGTTGCTCTGATGTATTGGATAAAGCGATTATAGGGGACCTCTGGCAGAGCCATTTCGCTATTGTATTCAGCAGAGACCTGCTTGGCAAGGATAGGGATGGTCATTCCATCATAGATTGAGTGGTGGGCAGTCCAGACAAAGTATTTCTGCGTGGGGGCAGATACGATTGCATAACGTGCCATTGGCTGACCGTAGTCTATCGGGTTAGACGAATCCTTCTTCAAATAGGCATCCAGATCCTGAGCAGACTCCCAGGTCATGGTCTGTTTCAGGACAACTTGGAACAAGCCATCAGAAGCGTTCACCATGCGAGTACGCAAAATGGTGCTTCGCTCCGCGACCTTTTCCCAGGCTTCTTTGAATCGTGGCAGATCCAATGTGTCTGGGAGGGCAAAGACTGTTTGATTAGTGTAGGAGGCTGCATTCTGGCGATTCAAAACCATGAGACCTTCCTGGAGGGGTGTGCAAGGGTAAATATCTTCGACGGCAGTGCGTGAAATACCACACAGTGAGGCAGCCTCAGTAGCGAGTTGCTCGGGATCAACCTGGGGTGGTAGCAGGGAGAATGGCTCCAGCTGGTGCTCCTCACTTTGATCAAGCAGACTGAGTTCCTTGGCCATTGCAGACAAGGTAGGCTTCTGGAAGACTGAATTGATGGTGAGAACAAGACCCTGGTTCCTAGCGGCGGCTACAAGTCTCATGGCTCCGATAGAATCACCACCGAGGCGGAAGAAGCTGTCGGAGGGGTTAACTGTGCTGCTATCTGAGACTTCGAGAACATCTGCCCAGAGAGCAAGCATGATCTTCTCATTTGCGGTCAACGCTGCACCTTCCTGGACGGTCACGAGCTGATACTGCTTCAGTTGCTGCTCGTTCAGGCCGTCAACAAGCTTCTGCAGGGCTGCCCTTTCCAATGGGAGACCGTTTACGGGGAAGTAAAGCGTTGGAATCAACTCCTCTGGCAGATGACGTCCGAGTGTTTCTTTTAGATCTGTAAATTTAGCCCGATGTCCGTCGGTGACGGGCATCAGAGAAACCTCTGCCTCAGTGTTGTTGGTCTCGGAGCAGAAGACGGCCATGCATTGGCGTCCACCCAGCTGATCCAAGCTTATCACTTCAGCAATAGCGTCCTCCGTGTCCAGGAGGGCCATCGTAAGTCGCTTTTGAATGGCAGCCAGGTCGAACGTGCGACCGTTCAGAGTCCGGCTGACATCCTTCAATCTCTGTAACTCTTCGCCGCGCGAATGTGATATGACATCCACGCTCGACAGACTCATCTCAGGGGTATCAGCGAGAGTCTCCAGTACATTGGTGAAAGCTTGCATCAGTTCGTCTGCTTGAGAGCCGCTGAGAATGGCCGTGAGATATGTCATGTGGATCTCGACACCAGGTACATCGTGGGTGGTGATACACAAACTGATGTCATACTATCGTGCAAGTTAGTAAGATCTGGGATTGCTTTCAGTTCTAGGACAAAGATAAATACCTCAGTTGGATCGGCTTGGTCCACAATATGGAAATCAACCTGAGAAGGTGGGCCTCGGCTGGGCTGCCTTTGCAATGACAGGACGGTATTAAATAAGGCGACATCCTTGTTGCCCAGTTCATGCTGGATTGCCGCGAGGGATGTTTGTTGATGAGGAAGGCTGTTCATATAGCTCAGTTGAATATCCTTCAACAACTTGTATACCGACAGGTCATCGACGAGGTGCAATCTGCAGACAAGTAGATTGATAAATGGGCCCACTGCATCGTAAATTCCATCAAGAGGCACGTCACGGCCGGAGGCCATGTAGCCAAACATGACATCTTCCTTCGATGTATACGCTCGGAGGACCATTCCCCAAGCAGCCTGGACAAGATTACTCATGGTAATACTTTGCGACTCACAGAACCTTTGCAATTTTCCATCTTCGTCAATATGAATGAGCATATCGTTGAATGTCTTGGTCTCGGACCCGCTGTCTCCGTTGCCAATACGCATGTTGGGGAAATGGCAAGGCTGAGCACCAGTCAAACGGTCGGCCCAGTACTTGAGGGAGGCAGATTTAGACAGGCCATCCAGGTAGCGAATGTATTCGCTGTACAAGGGACCTGGTCCAGAGGGCAGCGTACTTTCATACGCAGAAACAAAATCACGGACTAGGAGTGCCAGTGATGTACCATCGACCAGGGTGTGGCTCAGTTCAATCTGGCAGTAGATCGATTCGGGGCCTTCGCAAATGGTCAGGCGATGACCAGGAACGGGCTTGGTGTAATCTGGAGATTGCTGGCCTTGGAAAAGCGAGACAACATCCGTTCCGGAGAAAGCGAGTTGCTGAACCGTTGCTTGGTATGATCGCAGTACAAGCTGGTCATAGACCCCATCTCCAGACAATGAACCAATGAAGATCGTTCGCAAGATGGAATGACGGTCCACGGTTTGTTGCCATGCTTTTAGTAGACGTGGGAGGTCCACGGCACCGACATCCGATCTAGGTACAACTTCAAAAAGCTGGCGAACCTCATAAGTACCAGGCTGTCGGGTCTGACTAAGAAGGATGCCTTCCTGGATCGGCGAGCATGGGTACAAATCTTCCACGTTGTCAGGAGAAACTCCCAGTGCCGGTAAGACAGTGTTTGTGAAGCTCGACAAAGCAGGGTAACTGATCCTCATGAGAGGGAAGTCACTGAGAGTATGCTCCACCGAGCTGGCCACGAGATCTTGAACGGCATATTGAATGGCCTTCTCGCATTGGTTGACCCAATCACGGATCTGTTCTTGACGGCTTGTATCGCGGTTGAAGAAGAATGAGACACCCAGCTGACCGAAGGAGACAGCAGCAGAGATATCAAAGACCGCCAAACGACCCATACCTTCACTGATGTTCTGAATCTCCTCATCCGCGCGAAGGGGCTCTTCTTTCAATAGGGCATCACTTCGCTCCAGTTGTTGTGCTTGTCCGAGATAGTTGAGACAGATCTCCATGGCTCTGTGATCATTGAAAGCCTTGCGACCTTCGGCACTGTAATGGCGGCAGGTAAAGTATGAGAATCCATTATCGGTGAAGGAACGACGGATATCTTTTGTTCGCTTGATGCTATCCTTGATACTTTCATCCTTCCTCATACGCCTGTGAACTGGATAGAAGGTGGTAAACCATCCGACAGTTTCCGATAGGTCAATGGAGTTGTCCCAAGGTTCTCTGCCATGGCCTTCGCTAAAGATCGCAGGCACCGCACGGTCTGTGAAGGTCTGGTTGAAGGATTGCTGAATGGCCCCCAGGATAATGTCGATGGGTTCGGTTCGCAGTGCTGTGTTTGCCGCTCCAAGCAGGAGTGAGGTGGTCTTGTCATCAATGGTGAAACGAACTTCCTCGACATTCTTCCATGTGGGTAATTCTTGCATCCCCCAGTATGAGAGGTTAGCAGAGGGGATATCGTTGGGTAATACCGACTTTGGACCCAATTGCTCTCCGAAGTGGCATTGCTCTAGTGCCCAGTTGTGGAATGGCATCGGAGCATGAGGGCTGCTACTCTGTGACAACAGGGAGGCTTCCAACTGAGCGACAATTACATGCCATGAGACAGCATCAACGACTAGATGGTGCGCGATGAGAGAGATGAGCTGTCCCTCTCGGCAGTCGGAGCTTGACTCTCCTCTCTCCTCGTCACAAAGATCAAAGTGATCTACCACAAAGATCGGTCCGTTCTCGATGTCGACGTTCCGTTGAGAGGAGTTGACCACGTCGAGCATCTGCTGGCGGCTGGCTGCTGAATGAAAACCAATTTTAAAGGAGCCGTTTGACTGGCTCTGCACCATCTGCGACCACTCCCCGTTGTCGCTCCTGATAAACTTCGCACGCAACATGGAGTTCCTGGCCACAATTTGCTCGATAGCAGATGCAACTGCAGCCGTCGAGACGGGGCGGGTCAAGCGCAGCAAAACGCTCTGGTTGTAATGATGCTGGGTCTCCTGGCGTACAACGTCGTTGAAATATACCTTCTGGATGGGCGATAAGCTGAAAGGCACATCGTACGTTTCTTGTCTCGTGACAGCACGGTCGCCGGTTGAGCTTGCGCGACTAACCACTGCCGCCAACGACTTCGGGAGCAGAATGTCTTGAACGCTAAGCTTGATTCCAATGGCTCTGCAGCGGGAGACAACCTGCATAGCAGTAATTGAATCTCCGCCCAAGCTCATGAATGATCGGTTCAAGCCAATAGACTTCTCAGGGATGTTCAGGACTTGACTCCACACCTGTGCCAGCTGCTTCTCTAAGGTGGTTGTTGGCAGGTTAACACTGGCGGAGGAGATATTCACAATCCGGCGGTAGGTGTCTTCGGTTATGCTGGTAACCCAACGTGTGATGGGAACGCGGTTTATCTTCCGTGACGCAGTCAATGGGATGGAGTCCAAGACAATCCAGACTGAGGGAACCATGTAGCTAGGCAGTACACTTGTTAGTTCCTCCTCAATCTCCAAGATAAGTGGCTGGGCGGTGGACTTCGCATCATCGGAAACGAGCTCGACGCAATCACCTTCAAGGGCCAGTGGTTGCAGATCTGCAAGCGCCACCACTGCGACGAGCTTGCCTTTGCACGGGCCGGTCTTGGGAAGAGTGACCATTCCAGCCTCAACCGCTTTTTGAGCACGGAGGTGAAACTCAATCTCGCCTAACTCGATACGCTGGCCATGGAACTTGACCTGGCTGTCTTTGCGGCCAGCAATGTTCAGAGTTCCATCAGGGTTGTAACGAACGAGATCACCAGTGCGATAGAATTTGTACTGGGGTGTCTCCTTTCCGTGCATCCATGCTGGGTTTTCAACGAATGCATCTTTCGTCTTTTCCGGCTCGTTCAGATAGCCTCGCGAGACATTCGGCCCTTCAATGAGCAGCTCGCCCACACAGCCGACGGGGGCAAGGCGATTATAATCAGAAGTCTCCACGATCCAGTACCGGCAGGCGGTACCACTGCCGATGTTCGCAGGCGAGACAGTGGCACTCGGGTTTGCATGGGATGCCCAAATAGTGCATTCTGCCGGTCCGTAGGAGTCGATCATGTTTACTTGACTTGCCCAGCGATCGACCAGGCTTTGAGATACGGCTTCACCACCTAGAACGAGAGTCTTCAGGTGGGGAACTTCTTTGGGGTCCAACAGGGCAGCGACTGTCGGAGTCATGAACGTCCATGTGATTTGCATGGCGTTTATCACCCCGGCGAGATTGTTGACTCTGTCGTGCTCGGTGGGAATGCAGAGAGTGCCTCCCTTCATCAGCATGAAGAACGTTTCGCCCATGCTAACATCGAAGGTATACGAAGCAAACTGCAACACCCGCGAACCTGGTCCACCAAATCCTAAGCCTTCGCCGTGCTGCGCGGCCACGGTACAAACTGAATTGTGCTGAACGATGATGCCTTTAGGCTTTCCAGTACTACCAGATGTGAAGATCATGAAAACTGGATTGGTAGGCTGGACTTGAAGAGACGCGCGCTGAGATGTCGAGACGGGGGTCAACTCTTGAATTAGGGTTTTGGTGATCGGGACAACAGAAGCCGAGACGGACCCGAAGAGACCCTGGTGTTGTGGCGAGGTAAGGACGAGGTGAGAGCCCGTATCTTTAATTAGGGCCTCAAGACGGGTCACTGGGTGGTCAGGATTCAACATGACGCAGGCTCCTCCTGCCTTAACAACGGCGACCATGGTGACTACCGTCCAGACGGACTTGTCGAAGCACAGAGGCAGCAGGGTCTCGGGCTTGACAGAGTATTCGGTAGACAGATGATAAGCCAATCTCGAGGACAGCTCATCGAGCTCACGGTAAGTCAAACTTCCGTCCCACGCCTCAATTGCCATATTTTCGGGGTTGAGAGTGGCTTGCTGGGAGATCTTCTCGTGAACACACTCATTGACCGCGGTCGGTGCCACAGCGTTCCACTCCCAGATCTGCTTCTCATCCTCCTTGCTGAAGAGATCGATATCCCCTAGCTTAACATCGGCAGATGGGCGAATGATCTGCCGCAAGACATGTTCAAAGTGACCCAGAAGCTTCTCCGTCAGATCCACCGACAGAACATCGTCATCAACGCGAGCTTCCAAGTGAACGCTGCCATCCCCGAGGTTACATTCAACCACCAAGGCGTAAGGATCAAAGTCCGTCATGTCCGTCGGCACGATTTCGAGCTCAGCAAACGCCCGTCTCCCGTCTGCCTTAGGCTGGACGACGAATAGGTTAGTGAAGTCAGTCGCTGCCAACACTTGAGGGCTGATCTGGCGAATGTTTCGCAGTCCGACATGCTGGAAGTTCATCATCTCGACATTCTGCTCGTGTTGGCTCTCAAGGAAGCGTTGGAGGGACGTCTCGGAGTCCATGTGGACATTCATCGGAACGGTTGTGATGGTCGGACCAACAATACCCTCGATGTGGGGGACGAGGGCATCACGTCCCGAAAGCGTCAACCCGTAAAGAATGTCCTCGGAGTCAGTGTACCGTGCCATGACAATAGCCCAAGCTGCTCGCAAAAGGATAGCCATTGTTAGGCTAGATCCAGATTCTAAGGCTACCTCGACATCACGGTGGCAGGTTTTCTTCGCTCTGGGTTGGTAGGTCGCGTATGGCAACCGAGGGAAGGAGGAGGGTGGCTCTTGAGGAGCCATCGAGCGCCAGAATTCCTGTGATGCCTCAGGGTCGGTTTCTTGAATGTATTCCACAAATTGAGCGTATGACGGCGCTGTAGAGGGTTTGAGACCACCCGTATAGGCCTGTTCTAGCTGTTCGAACAAGAGTGGAACAGTCCATCCGTCATACACGGCGTGGTGAGCAGTCCAGACGAAGACAGAAGACTCGCCATCTTCAACGATCGCATAGCGAGTTAGTGGGGTGCCGCTGGTCACGGAAATGGCATGGTCGCGCTGGAGATATTCCTCCAAGGAAGAGCCTTGTTGCCATTCAAGTTTAGCAGCGTCTTCCGTCAACACAACCTGATACGATGTAGAGCCGATAGTGACAATACGGGTGCGCAGGATGGAGTGGACATCAACCAAGGTTTGCCAGGCGTCTTTGAATCGCTGCATATCAAAGCCAGCTGGCAGCCGGAATGCAGACTGAGCGACATAGGAACCAGTATGGGTGTTTGACATTGAGAACACTCCCTCCTGCAGTGGGGTACAAGGATATACATCCTGGATGTCACTGCGTGCAATGGAGCAATGGCCTGCAGCTTCCTCCAGTACCGCGTCAGTATTGGTGGCATTCTTTAACATCGAGAATGGTTCATAAACATTCTCTTGTTCGTCAGCCGTAGCTAGTTCAACACGTTGAGCCATTTGAGACAATTCCGGATATCGGAATATATCAGCGACAGTAAGCAAGAGGTTTGCTTCCCGTGTTGCGACGACCAGTTTCATGGCACCAATTGAATCGCCCCCAAGTCGGAAGAAGTTATCGTTGCGGCCCACAACGCTAGGATCTTTTCCTAAAACAGCGGCCCACAACGTCTGCAACTGCTCTTCCTCCTTGGTCTGGGGGGCGGCCTTGTCCTGGTTGGCCAAGGCATACATCTCCATCTGCTCATGGGAAAGACCCGGGACGGCACGGCGAAGCGCAATCCGATCAACCTTGCCCGAAATGGTCATGGGGATGTGAGAGATCGGGATGAACAGGCTGGGAAGCATGTACACGGGCAATTTCTCCGACAGAACCTTCTCAAGGGCCCGCAGTTCCGCCGTGAACTCAGGTGATAGTGGGACAAAGAGTTCATTTTCCGTAGGGAATGCGTTCTCCATCTTGAGGAAAGCTACCAATGTCTGAGGAGGCAAAACGACCGAGTCCACGGTGACATGCGCGGCACCCGGCAGATTCTCCAGGATTGCATGCTCTATCTCGCCCAGCTCAACACGCTGGCCTCGGACTTTGATCTGAGTGTCCTTCCGGCCAATGAACCGAAGCTGACCATCTGGGTAGTAGCGGACCAGATCACTAGTTTTATAGAACCGGCGTGGCTGTCCATTCTCGGGCTTAGGCAACCAGGCGGGGTCTTCGAAGAAAGCTGCCTTTGTCTTTTCGGGCTCATTCAGGTATCCCCTAGTGACTAAAGGGCCTTCAATGACCAGTTCACCAATGCAGCCAACGGGAAGGAGCTTGTTAGTATTCTCAGGATCGGTCACCCAGAGGCGGGTGCCAACGGCATGCCCTAATCCTGCGGGGTCACTGTCTGTGGTCAAGGGGTCCGTTCCCATGCTGTAAATGGTACATTCCGTAGGTCCATAAACGATGCGCAACTCCAGAGCCTCGGTCCACGGGGAGATATCTTCGCGTGAGATCGCTTCACCTCCCAGAACGACTGTCTTCAGCGTGGGAACGGTTTCCGGGGAGAGCAGGCCGAGAACCCGGGGTGTCAGGAAAGCCCAGTTGACCCCGAGTTTGTTGATTGCGCCGGCCAAATCATCGACGCGGTCTTTCTCACATGGGATACAGACCGTACCACCACGAGTCAGCGTAGTGAACGTGTCAGAGACACTAGCATCGAACGCGTAGGCAGAAAACTGCAAGACACGCGATCCCGGCCCGACACCCCATTCAGACCCGTGAGCTTGAATGCTGGTGATGAGGGAGCCATGCTCGAGGACAATACCCTTCGGCTTTCCAGTACTGCCGGATGTGAATGACACGAAGGCTGGATTAGACGGTTGTGCCTGAGGGAGTGTGCCATTGTCGGTAGGAGCAGGGAGTTCGTCGAGGAAGCTTTCGTCCACGACAACAATATGTTCCACGAGGCCTTCGAGCAGTTTGGCGTGCTGCGCTGATACGACTGCAACACGAGCCTGACATCCATCCAGAATATCTTGAATGCGGGATAGCGGATGCGCAGAACTCAGACCAACACCAGCACCACCAGACTTCATGATCGCCACCATAGTCACTGTTGCCAATTTGGACTTCTCGAAGCAATGGGGGATCAGCACCTCCGGTCCAGCCCCCAGCTTCACCAAGTGATGGGCTAACTTTTCGGACAGCAGATCGAGCTGGGAATAGGTGTACTCGCCATCCCAAGCGCACACTGCCTGCGCATCAGGTTGCTTCTTGACTTGATCGTAGAAGTATTCATGCACACAGCCTGACTCCACAACTGGCTCAGCCTTGTTCCATTCAAAGATCTGGGCTCTGTCCTGATCATTAAATAGATCAATATCGAACGGCTTGGCTCCGGCTTGGTCTACAATTCCGTAGATTGCGGCGCTGAATGTATTGGCAAGATTCATGGCATCGCCCTGTGTCAGCAAAGAGGACCAGTAGCCGATAGAAATCTCGACATCCTCAGTAGTTATGTCAATAGCAACAGCAAGATCGAACTATCAAAAGAAATCCCTGTTAGTGCCTTGCTCTGGGATTTGAAGTGGGCTTCAAGGATTTCACTCACATCTGTCGGATCATCTTCTTCAACTGCCCGGAAAGAAAGCGCGTCTCCAAACTGCTGGTCTGGAACACCTTTCTGGAGAGAGATAATGCTGTTGAACAAGGGCATACCGGATAGGTTCAGACCGTGCTGAATTTGTGCCAGGGAACAATGTTGGTGAGCCAAAGCGGTGAAATAGTCGCTCTGCATGGTGTCGACCGCGTCCAGAGCAGCCTGGTGCTGGTCCAACCGCACCCGACAAACCAGCATATTAATGAAGGCTCCCACAGCGTTCTCTATACCTTTCACAGGTACATCACGGCCAGAGGCCACGTAGCCAAAGCAGACATCGTCAGATCCAGTGTACGCCCGGAGAACCAAAGCCCATGCAGTTTGTATCACATTAGCAATAGTGACTCCGTGTGCTACGGAAAATTTTAACAGATCCTTCATTCCGGTGAAGGGAACTTTCACAGACTGGATCTGCTTGGAGGCCCCATCGCGAGGATACATGGGAACAATGGTCGGCTGAACTCCTGCAAGGTAGCTGGCCCAGTGACTCATGGACTCGCCTTGGGAGTGCTCCGGAGAAGAGATGTAGTGGATATAGTCACTGTACAACGATGCAGGCTCTGTGAACGATTTGCCGTCAAACGCCAGTGACATCTCCTGCAAAACCACCTCGGTGGACCCGCCATCCACGATCGCATGGCTGAGCTCTACCATCATGTAGACGTTGTCGCCACGGGTACGGCAGATGGTGAGATGGTGCTGAGGCTCTGAGGGGTTGTAGGTTGGCGAGGGTAGAGATTTCAGGAACTTGGTCACTTCCACTTCATCATCTGAGCACATGTACTCGCAGCAATAGACGCTGGCTGTGACGTTCTTGAGTACTATCTGCTGGAAGATACCACCGGCGTCGACAAAGATGCTTCTGAGAGATTGGTGGCGATCTACAACACCCTGCCAGGCACGCTGAAGACCCAAAATCGTGGTGCTCGCATCCATAATAGAGAGCACTTTAAGAACACGTCGAATTTCATACGTGCCAGGGAATTTGACCTGGCTCAGAAGAATGCCATCCTGGACAGGGGAACAGCCGTAGACATCTTCCACGTCGTCCTTGCTAGAGAGTCCAGCTTTAGACAGAAGCGCGTCGTCGATGGCGGCAGTTCGCTCAGCAGGCGTGGAGGCCGGAGCAATAACGGTGCCCTCCTCCACAGACACCTGTGATGAGCGGACGGTCTTAGAAGCCAAGTCAATCAGGCTCTTGGCCCGAACCACATCTAGCACCGAGACCTTCAGCTGCTCCCGGCGGCACCGCGCCACCACTTTCATGGCCGTAATAGAATCACCACCCAAGGCAATGAAGGACCGGTTATACTTCAGCTTCGACAGTGGAAGACCCAACTCCTCCGCCCATATTTCTTGCAGAAGAAGCTCCATTTCGGATAATTGCACGGTCTCGCTGACTTCCTCTTCTTCTTCCATGATACCGGCAATTTCGTTATAGGTGTCTTCGTCCATATCACGAACCCATTGATTCAAAACAACACCATTGACCTTCCCGGACGTTGTGAATGGAAGGGCAGCCACCACCACCCAAAAGGTGGGTACCATATAGCCTGGAACCTGGGCGGCGAGACGGGTGGATATCTCAGGGATAACCCCACGTGCTTGCTTTCTCTGGTCGATCAACAGCTCGTGCACGTCGGCGTCTCGTGGCCCCTCATAGGGGAAGGCATGGAGCGAGAGGACAGCCACCAGGTTTCCCTTACAAGGTCCTGCCTTAGGAAGCAGGACACGAGCATGACGCACCATGGAGTCCACGGAGAGACGCTGCTCGATCTCGCCTAGCTCCAAACGCTGGCCTCGAAGTTTCACCTGGCGGTCCTTTCGCCCAATAAAGCTGATTGTGCCATCGCTGTTGTTTCTGACGAGGTCACCGGTCTTGTAGAATCGGAATGGGGCGGGCTTGGAGGTCATATTTTGGAGGAACACAGGGGCCTCGTCCAGGAATACCGCCTCGGTCTTCGCGGGCTCGTTGAGGTAGCCCCTTGCAACAATCGGGCCTTGGATGAGCAGCTCACCCACTGCTCCGATTGGGACAAGACGGTTGTGGTCATCAGGGTGGACGACCCAGCAGACCGCACCGTAACCGCGCCCGATGTTCGCCGGGTCGGCAGCCGGAGTGAGGTGGGGGTTGATCGTTGCCGCGACGGAACATTCACTGGGACCATATCCTAATGACATTTGTTAGCAATTGATGCGGCCCATATCAACAAGCACGGGACCTACCATTAATCAGATGCAACTTGCCCGCCCAGGTCGTGACATCGACCTGGCTCAATGCTTCACCTCCCAAAGCCAGAGTCTTCAGAGTGGGCACATCAGCGGGATCGACCAAGCGCACCACCGAAGGAGTCATGAAGGTCCATGTGATGCGCAGCGCGTTGATGATATGAGCGATTCCATGCTGTGCCAGCTCATCGCTGGGGAAGCAAACGCAGGCACCGGTAGTGAGAGTAGTGAAGATTTCGAGCATGCTCACATCGAATGTGTACGGTGTCATCTGTAGGATTCTGCTAGTCGGGTCGATCTCACCCGCGGTGACGTGCTGGGTTGCAGCCGTGAGGAAGGACTCGTGTTCCACCACACAGCCCTTGGGAGTTCCGGTACTACCGGAGGTGAAGATAATATACAGGATGTTCTTGGGTGTGACTGCAACCGCTGGGGGTGCTTTCTGCGCTGGAAGTGCCATGACACTTTCCTGGTGAACAGAGAAGACATTGCAGTTGTCCTGCCAGAGGGGTTCATATTGCTGGGAGGTTAGGATCAAAGGAGCTTGCAGCTGCTCCATAATTTCCATTAAACGGGAACGAGGCTGTTTGGCGTCCAGATTCACAATGGCGCCGCCCGCTTTAACGACAGCGATCATGGTGACGATTGCCCATTTGGACTTCTCGAAGAACAGGGGAACGGCCACTTCAGGGCCCACACCCCGATCCACCAGAGAGTGGGCCAGGCGATCTGTGAGCGCCTGCAGCTCGCCGTATGTCATACACCCATCTGGGCCTTGGATGGCAAGTGCTCGGGCTCTTTGCGGGCCCGCTCATCGATGAGATGATGCAGGCAACGAGAGACCACCTCGGGCATCCGCTTGTTCCATTCCCAGATCTGGTGCATTCCATCCTGGCTCATTAAACTTACCTCGGAGAGGGGGGTTCGGGGGGTTTTGATGATCTCACCAAGTACGTGGCTGAGAGTCGCCGCGCAGTGTGTTGCCTGCGAGGCGGGGATCAAGGAAGTCGGACATTGCAGGTCGACGACAAACTGGTCCTGTAGGTACCGGGCGTGAATGGCAAGATAATTGCCCGGCTTGGTGCTCCTTGTCAGTGACATCCCGGTCGATCACAATCATCGCGTCCAAGTCCGTACCTGTTCCCGCTCGGGGGATTCTCCATCATACAGCATCACAACGCTGTTGAAAGCTGGACCACCCGCTCGGGCGGACAATGCCTGGAATTCGGCCGGTGTCATCAGGGCGGATGACGAAACACTGGCCTGCAGCTTCTCTTCCGCGTCGACGAGCGTCTTCAGCACGGACTTGCCCCCGTCGATCTCCGCCTGGTAGACACCCACATGAGGCACACCGGCGACGAATCGAACAAAGAGAAACCCGATCGTCTCGGTATCGGCGTACGCAGAGAGAACCATGGCCCAGGCGACATTCAGCACGCTCAGGACCGACAGTCCATGGCGTTCGCAGAATGCAGCCAGGGCCTTTCCCTGGGACACGGTTCCCAGGTCCAGGGGGATTTGCGCCTGGTCGGTCTGCTCTTTATCTACAATAACTCCGTCAGTGAGGGTGGGGAAAAAGAAGGAACTCCCCTTGGATCCCATAGGGATTTGGGCCGTGATGGCCTGGAAAGCGGTGTAGTCTCCGGCGTCACCCATTGTGATTAGTATAACTTGGTGATCGAGTTTAAAGGTACGTAAAAGTTGGTGGGATTGCAATTAAAAGGGTAGAGGAAGAGATAACAGGAGAGCGAGAAGTTAGCAAGACAATGACGGACGTAGTGTAAGGAGAGAAAGAATGATAAAGTCTGATTGCTTCACGGAAGATCAGAGCTGAGCAGTTCTATAGACCAGGCACGTTTGGTAGGTATGGTAAGTACATCCGCCAGAAAGGTGGGAAGAACTGGGTAGATATTAATCCTCGACGGCGGTGACTGCACCGTGCTATTCAGGAGCTGCCCATGCGTCCACCAATTAACACGCCTCTCATCCAACATCGAGTTCCAGTCGTAGATTCCATGTGCATGTCAGACTGGATGCCCTGCCATCCGCCTTGGTGCGTGGGGGCGGCTCTCCCATTAGGGCTGACGGTACCCCCTGCCGACCTCGTGTCAGCCACGTTTTTTGAACAGTCTGTAACATGTCACAGTCTTGCAGCTAGTCTGAATGGTGCGCCGCAGGTGGTCAGTAGCCCCCAAAAGGATTCGTGCGGTCAGCCTGGGGGCCAGAGTTGCCTGAGGCTACTTGTGTTCTTACGCGCATCTTATCTTGCAGTAGCGTCGCGGTAGTATGGAATCGTCCGAGCTTACTACACAAATTGACCGTATTTAGAAACACGAACGAACCACGACGAGATAAAGAAGAGGACTTAGCTTCAGTTAATAGCAGAGCCGCGACGCCATGGGATGAGGACTGTCCTCTTCTGATAGGGGTGAGTTCCGGTAATTAGCAAGTCATCCGAAACCGAGTCCTCCGCCCAGGAGGAAATATGTAGAATAAGCTCCACATAAGTTAAGGGAAATCCAATGACAAGGTTCCATCTCTCGTGACATATGCAAGATCCATGCGCGAGTCAGGAAAGTTGGTCCAAAGACACCTTGGGAGTTGTCTTGCTCGCAAAACTAAACTGATCATTTTCCCGGGGGGGCTAACATGAGAACGCCCGATGTCTGCAGAAGGACCCGCTGGTCACCGCGCCCCCATTTCTCCGCCGCTAGAGTTTCAAGAGGGAATGTCGCGGCTGAGCACCTTCGTTGCATTAGCTCGATGCTTCCGCACCACCAACATTTCCTTCCTCAGTTTAGCTCGCACCCATGAATATCATCTTACTATGTTGCCATTGGGGGCGAGGACACAGTTGCCCAATGGTATCCACGCCTGGTCGAAGTTTGATTCCATGACTGCTATTTTGAGACAGCTCGGACTGCAGCCCGTGGTGGGTGCAAGGTGATCTAAACAGAAGCTAAATGCCGAGGGGGGACGGGACCCCAGTCGCGTATAATTCCATGCAGTATTACGGAGTAGAAGGGTTATATATAGACGAGAGGCCGATCATTTGCGACGGGTCCTCCGCCATCTCTAAAGGTAATCCACCATGAGTGGATCTTGAAACCACGTCGAAGGCTATTGAATTCGCCTTTCGCACGGGCTTTCTGTCGACGGTGACAGCGCTGGGACAGCCTCTCCCTGGCGCTGTCAACCATGCAGTTGTGCATCTGGCCGTGTGCCAAAGTCACTGCGCAGCGACATGCTTCTCCGAAACGGTTGGAGCCAAGCCATCTTACCCATTCTAAATTGCTGGGTCGCAACGCGCATCATACGCGTCGTCGATAACCTCACGATTCTCCTTCCTGACACATTATTGTCTTTAAACTAGGCGCCGAAGCAGATCCAGACCACATCGGTAGAGGGTTGTTATTTGCGATGAGGTTGTTGATGGCAATGGACGGGTTTGCGGAACAGTTCAGGCGAAGGACCATGCGACCGAGAGGCACTGCATAATTCCAACCGTCATGGTTGGGTCTCACTAGGGTGTCTGTGACGAGTTAACGAAAGGAAGATCTATCAATAATATGGAGTAACTGTATAGTTCGCGTAGTCCGATCATTATCCGTGTCTTGCCATTCTATGGCAGCGTGGGTCGCGTGGTTTCCAATTCCATCAGACATTCAAACTGTAGAGACACAGATACTGCCTGACATAATAGCTGACCGCTTTGATTCTCTACGTATGAGCTTCACCGCCATGGCCCCGATGATGAGCTCTTTTGACAGGGTTGAACCCCTGGTTGAACCCCGCTTGGCGTTTTCTGGAAGTCCGCTAAGTCGCTTAAGGAAAAGCTTGTTCTGTGACCCTTTTTCATTGGCTCAAATTAACACCGCTCTCGATTAAGACCGCCTCTAACTTATAGCAGTATGGCCTGTCGGGTATGTTGGCCAATAGCAGTCATTCGTTCCATGGCAGCATATTTCCCAGATGAGCAGAGAGGGAAACTGTTTACTCTGTACGGCGACGACGTTGACCTTTGGGACGGAAATAAAGGTGTTTAGTAGATTGCAACGAGTAGGCCATTAGGTATACTGCCAAAGGAAGGAGCAAAAAGCAATAACTTTCAAGAATTAAGCTGTTTACTGCCTCGGCCCACATCTACACTTTGCCTCGCGAATGGAAATATATATTTCTATATATCTACACCACAGTGCCGTCCAAGTCGATATCATTATCACGCAAACCGAACTCAGGCATTGAAGGGCTGACTAGAGCTGCTAGTTTATGTATACTAATTACCATGACTAGGTAGGAATTGAGAATTAAAGGCAAGCTCATTCAAAGAGGTGCAAAGTTGTATAGGGAGTCCGTACGACGCGGCGCGTCACCAATCACTACACCAATTCATGGTAGGTATTGACTGGACGGAAGGTACGACTCGTTACTTCTTTGATCAGATATCCTAATTGCTCATACTCTCGTGTATTTTATGTTCTTTTATGATCATCTCGCGATTTTATCTTATCTTTCGAACGTTTTCGTTGACCAGAGGGCGCATTGTACAGCGTACACCGTACGTGGTACACAAGGCCATACGGTATCCACACCGGCAATCTATTACCAGGAAAAAAGGAAAGAAAAAGGAAAAACAAAAAGAAAAAAGAAGAAAGAAACAAGGACAGGAAGAAAGGAAGCGGAAATTAAGCAATTTAAATGTCTATCGGACAGGATATAGGTATGCTTGCGCTGTGAATAACACACATCAACGCCCTGAAACCGCGTGAAACAAGACGCGTATCGCGAAACAAAGACCGAATTTTCCCCGAGTCGACTTCTTCCTCTGTCCCCCCTGGAGAAGAGTCGTCAAGTCATGCAAAAGAAGGACAACGCCATAGGATATATGTGAGGAGAAAAGACCGTATTAAGGATGGGAAAAATAAAGGCCACAAAGGAAACCCGACAAACGAAAAGGTAAGGAACGACTGAAAGAAAATCGCTTCTCCGAAACGATCGATGCCCATAACACCAATAAAACACCGGGAGATGCAGTAGATGCCGATATAGACCAGGATTCGACCAGGATTCCCTTTTATCCGGTCCGACCCGACCGGGCATCTAAGCGCGCCCCATGAGCCACTAGCAACTGCACCACTTCAACATGGCCCTTCTCGCTTGCGACATGCAGTGGTGTCGACCCATGGTGGTCGCGGGCATTGACATCGATTTGTTCGGTGGTTAGGAGCAATCGTACCACGCCCAGATGCCCGCACTGGGCGGCAATGTGCAGCGGGGTCTGGCCGCGTGAGTCCTGGACGTTTACATTAACCCCGCGTTGAAGGAGCAGCAAGGAGACCACGCGTTCGGTACCGTGGCTGGGTTCCTGCGGTGTTCGCGGATTCGACTGAGGCTGCGAGGGCGGCGGCGTGGGAATGCCATCACGGGGTTGGTGGTGGATGTCTAATACATTTTCACCAGAGAGATCGCCCGAAGATTATGCTCGGAAAGAGACAGGGATCCTATCAAAGGGGGTTAGTTCAAGTTGGTTTGGAGATAGACAACCATATGTTTTGGACCGTACGAGGGAAACAGGAGAAAGG